AATATCAATGACATGCTGCTTGTTCTGCTCTATTTGAATTCTATGTAGTATATCTCTACTGGTATTTCACTTTTCATCTATAATGTACGATAATATCTAAAATTTTCACATGTATCTAATTCATAATCACCAATTTTAACATATAAGTTGTTATTATTATTAATATCACGATTACGAAAGTTACATTCTACATATTCCAATTTAGATGTACTAATGTAAAACATTTAAATCACGATATCACGATTACGAAAGTTACATGCTACATATTCCAATTTAGATATACTAATAGTAAAACATTTAAAGAAACCAAAACCAATTTTTGGCCGTCTCTCCTTAGCTTTCTCTTTGGCCGCCTCTCTTCTCTCAAACCCTAGAAATCAAAATCAATCTTTCCCTCGTATGGGGAAAATAATTTTCAGGTCTTTTAAACATTTTTATTGTATTTCAATTTATTTTTAATAAAAACGGGGTCATAAGACTATGATTCACGGTATAGCGGCACCATCCTTGTTGATGTTTGCTATTATGGCAGCGACATCTTTGTTGATGTCTGCTAGTATGGCAGCGGATTCCAACGGAATATTCGCTAGTATGGCGGTGGTTTCACCAGTGATGTTTGAAGATATGGTGGCGATGGATTCATTGAAGGGGTTTGTCGGTTTGGCATGCTTAAGCCAAGAAAATTTAGTCATATTAGATCTAATTATTAGGTCTATGCTTTGTGAGTTTCATCTAATGGTTAGTTTTGCATCCTTGATCAGATTTAGATTTGCTACGTGCTATAACCATTATATTATGAAAAACACAACAATGACATTATGACCGGTTGTAAGTTGTGTGTTTCTGGATGTATCTTGCTTTTGTCAATCATTATTGGACGATTTTTAACAAATTAATGTATTTATCTTTTATTTAAAAAAAATAGTAAAACATTTAAATCGTAACATCTACCTTTTTCTAACTCGGCATATGGTCCGCTCTTTGTCATTTGGGAGCAATTATGAGAGCCCAATTATGGGAACAATTATGCCATGAAATGAACTCAAAACAAATCGTGAGAGCCCAATTAGTCCTTCACATTTATAAAGGTATTTCCTACTCTTAGCTAGTTTAAACAAAGGAGTTGCAAAACTCCTTATGAAAATTCTAAAGGGAAGTCCTATTTCGAAATAATTGTTTAATATTTCAGTTCAATACAACAAACTGATTGGGCAGATAACAAAAAAAAAAAAAAAATCTGTGCGCAAATAACCCTCCTCTACACAAAACTGGAATTCTTTTTTTTGTTGACGACTGAAACAATAAGTATAAACATGCACATCAGTATAAACTCACACAAGATGTATTTTTGACATGTGTGAGTTTTGAATAATTTATTACATTTTATGTCCAAAAATTATATTATCTTCGTCCTAAAAAAATAATCTACATCGAGAAAAAATAGACAATGAGTAGACTCAATGTAAATTATTATTTTTTTTTTTTGGGAGGGAGAGAGTATAATTCTCTTGTTAACATTCTTTTGATTATTCAAAAAAGGACAATCAAAATTCAAAATTATTAGCAATTAAAACCAATCATAATTAATGAATCTTTGAATAAAATCTCCGAGTACTTAGAGTTGGCCCCAAAACACAAAGCATTAATTAATTTACTGATGAATTATCAACGAGGCCACCTTTAGATTGATACAGAGATTTAAAGGAGTACCAACAAAAATAAATATAGAGAAGAGAACATCTATAAGAACATTAAATAGAAGAAACTTGGGTAGAGAATCTGGGAAATTTCATGTAGACGATATACGCCATCCGCGTCATCTCTTAAAATTTAACACCGTCAGCAATCCGGCAAGCTTACCGTTTATTGGCTTTGCTTTACATTTCATACATCAAGGGAATTCAACGGAAACGGAGACTTTCAAGTTTCCATCTTTCTTCATTCATTTTGGGTGATTTCAACAAAGCTTTAAAATACTAACATTTTTTCAATAGGTAACTCCGACCAAAAAGAGATCAGATTCTGATGGGGGCGGTGAACATCTGGAACGCCGTCCAACTGGCGGAGGGAGCTCGGGAGACTCATTCCTCCGACATTCCATCCTCTTCTCTCACCGTCATCACTCCCTTTCTCTTCCCGAAGATGAAGCCTCGCATCGTGTACGCTTCCTTTTTATTCTTCTTTCTTATCCCTTCTCCCTTTTTTCCTGCCGGATGTTTAGATAGTAATTTTGATTTTTTGTTTAATGAGGAAATTCTAGATCCTTTCTAAGGAGTTGATTCTGTTGTTACTTACTGTATCTTGTTAGTTACTGTATCTATAACAAGAATTGACTGGACATCTTGACGTTCCTGTAGTTTATGTTCATACTTTCTGGAAATTTGATGCTGAATGATTATGAAGGTACTTCGTTCTTGGTTAGCTTCTTCTTTCTGGACGTGCTGTCTCTTTTCCTCCCTGTTGACATCCACTACCCCATTCCCTAGTAGCTATTTTTCCATTGGTTTCAAGGCATTTGGAACAACTTCCTAGTTGTAAGAATTTCATTTTCCTTTCAAGAAAATGGAACTAAGATTATATTGGGATGTGTTAATGCTACATTTAGTGCGAATTTCTTTAGTTTTCTTTCTGTTGACTCAGCCTTAAATCCACTTTACGTTTTTCGTGTTAGAATTAAATTAATAATAAATATCATTCAGTATCTAGTAGGCTTAAAAAATTTAAAATATTTGTTTGGTTAGGCCTCGAGGAACATTACATGCAATGTAAATCTACATAAGAAGTGGTACACCTAAAAAAATGTTGAACTGTTGATATAAGTTTTTTAATTTTCGCAATTTGTTTTGAACCGTACGGTGGTAATTATCAGTTTCTCCAGAGGGAGGAGACTTCTACTATTTTTAAAGGAAGTGGTAAAGTTAAGCTACTGCCTTTAATTTTTCCTATCGTTGTTGATACAGCGACATGGATACTTCCTGACTACCATATCTGTTGATGGATGACCAGAGAAACTCTACTTTATCGATTTCGAATATGGATCATACAGTTACAGAGGTTTTGACATTTGAAATCACTTTAATGAATATGCTGGCTATGACTGTGAATACAGCTTGTGCGTCTTACTACTATCTTTTCCGTGGTTCTGGGATTTGTAAAATTTGTAGTGGTCATCAATTTTAATCTGCTTTTCAGGTATCCAAACAAGGGTAAGCAATATCATTTCTTCAGACTCTATTTAGATCCTGAAAGGCCAGATGAGGTACTTGTTTTTCAGTCTTTTTGAACTTGCACTGGTGATCTTCTCTTTCCATTAGCATTAGATAGTTACTCTGTTTAGTTTGTAAAGATGGATCGTTAGAAATTGCCAAATGAAGGTATCGAGTTGGTTTGTAATTTGTTGAAGACGGCCTTTTTGTTCTAAATTGTTGAAACAAATTTTTTAATTTGTATTTGTTTAAACTTTATGATGGTGATGGCTGCCAATTGGTCTGGTCGTTTGTTTTGCCTGATCACACACATCTGCTGACTCTACTTTGTAGTTCAGGTTGAATGAATTCATGGTAACTTGATGTGGCTTTGGTAAACAATAGCCGCAGGTTTGTCTAGAAGTAGCTTTCATCCTCTGTATTACGACAGTAGTAGTACAACATGTAACTTCATCATAAAATTTGCTGAAACCATGGCTAACATTGATATAAGGTTAGTGTCTTCTGCATTGGGTGCATGAATCATCTTACCTTTAAATCTTCGTATTCCCTCCTATTTTATGCGACTGATTTAGCAATGGGATATCTTTCACCATATAATTTTGTAACACTGATTATATTAGGACTTGAAAGATGTAGCAAAGTTTCTTGTCTGAACAGGTCTCTGACCAAGATCTGGAAGCTCTCTATGTTTGAGACTAATATGTTATGTTAGCCTCACACTTATATTGCGCATTATGGGTTTTAATCCAGGTACTCTTGCTTACAGTAATTGATATTTGGTGTTCTTCGTACAGAAGAGATTGAAGATATTAATTAAAAATCAGATCAATCAAGGAATTTGTGTTTTTATTTTTCTACATACATAGGGCAGCTACTTACCTGGCATCATTATCTGTTTTCTAACTTGAAAATGGAGTAAATTGTGTTTGACTATCACAATTTTCTGCAGGAAAAGATGTCTCCTATAGATTTTGATTATCTAGGTTACTTTTACCTATGGTACAAAACAAAAAGCAGGAGGATACAAATATCTCATTGGGGAATTCGTACTAGTCAAGATCTCTCAAGGGATGAAATGCCCTGTTTATCGTCAATGTTCGCTCTCTGGAGCAACACCCTTTCTGAAACCTTTTCTTTTCTTTCTTTAGTTGTGGTTAGGACTGTATAGACATTCTTTACTTACATAATTAGAGAGACGATTAGTCAGTGATAGGCTGAAAAAGTCGAAGATTTTCTTTGTTGTCGTAATGATTATTGTAGAACTACTGTATACTTTGTAGTCTTGACGTTTGTGTTCTTCAGAAATACAAAATGATAGCTGTTTTTGCTTTGTGCTAGTGTGTGTGGTCTTATGCTGTTTGTGTATATCTAATTGTCTTGATAAACACTTAAACAGAATATCGTGTTCTGAACACTCTGGGTGTCTTTGCCTCCGTCTGGTCTGTTCCAAAATTCCAACCATTCCCAAAATCTGATGTATTTGGTCCCTTGTTTGCATCTAGCAACAAATGAAGTGATTGATCTGAGATCTTTTTGAATGATTCTATCCCATGTCCTCAACTTCTTGACAGTCTTTTTACCGCTATGTTTTTGCCATTTTGGAGTGGTCCAGTTCCACGTTGTATGTACTCAACTTGCAGAAGGTAATACTAACGGCATTTCTTCTTATCAAGTACCGGTTTTTGTTTCTGGAAAAGTAGATCATTGTAACTTAGCAGGTAGTCATTTTGCAAGAAGTCTGCCTCTGGCCAAAATTAGTCGCATTATCCATGCATAAGAATTGTTTTGATTTTAAAGCAGAAAGGGGATTAACCTTAGCGAAACCAAAAGAACGTGTTTGAAAGCCTTGGAACTACCCCTGTGCATCCTGCTATCAATGTGCTTGCTCCAAGAATCAGTTGCTTCATCATACACCTTTAGCTTGCAGCCATCCTTGCACTCCAGCGAATAGAGGTTCCTCCATCCATCAACCAGTCCGTCAAATACAGGACGCCAACTATCAGTTTCAGGTTTGTAGAACTCACTCAGAACCTTTCGGTGAGCTCCTACAACCTTTAAGAACCAGTTTCCTTCATAGACAACCCCGATTAAGGGAACCATGTCTGTACTCATGTCCGAAATAAAGGACCATCTTTTCTTCTTTGGATCATAAACTTCAGCAGATCTCAATAACCTATGAATCCCTTCATTTCCTCCACCAGCTACATGAGCCAAGGAGCTGATTTTGTCCTTAATCTCACCAATGTCAGACCATAATACACCCCGCATTTGATTGCCTGCTGCTTATATTATTCATATGATGATGAGCTTTAGCTGGACTACAGAGCTTAGGGACAGATAAAGACATCAGAATCCGACAAGTTCACATACTCTCAAGGAAGGAGCTGAAACAGGTGATTAGCTCCCAAGTTATTAGGAACCAGCACCATTTTTTCTGCTCACATCAAAAGATGCTGAAGTAACCTACAGCCTGCAAGAAGCAATAGTGATTAGCAGTAACCCATATAATTTGCCGACTCAACGCATGAACTGAAATGCCAACTTAAGACATGAAATAATATGAAATGAAATCAAACACATTCTTCATTACATGCACAACAATTTCACCAAGTGTTCAAATGCTCATGTCAATAATTTTCTTGTTCTTAAAGGAGTCATGTCAAGAAACACCATCCCTAAAGCTGCTGTTCTCATGCATCTGCCCCTAAATTTCCATGAGAAGATGCCACTCTAGAGGCCATATCCTAAAATCATATATCTAGACACACAAACACACACCAGACAAACCCACCCACCCACCCACACACACACACACACACACAAATATGCACAAGTTAGGAGGGGTAAGTCACTTGACTTTGCCTTGAGGGCAGTATCTGATCAATGGAGCAATGAATTCTTCTGCAAAAAATGTGGAAAGAGGGAAGAATTTGGATGGAAACCATGCTAATTCAGCTGTTCTATACTATTTATTAATATCTTTTACATAGTCTTCTATAAAACGAAAGCATCAATATATGGACAATAGATATGTAGACCTGCGTGCCTAGAATCCATCCCAATGAGAAAGCTTCTCACATCACAATGTTAATGGATCTAGTTAAAAACCAGTGTGACAAGTTATGAACGGACTATAATATTTAAGTCACTTAAACAACGAGAAGATTACGAACATGCATAAAAACATACCAAAGCATGTCACTTACGGTAGTGTCTTCTCTCTTCAAAGCAAACCCAAGCTGCTTTAACATGATAATTGTACTCCGTACTGATGTATAATTTGGGATGAAGCTTGCCTGCAAGAAGAGAGAGAAGTCAATTTTTTGTCAGCTTCAAAGTGTCAAGTTTGAAAGTCAAATCACAAATGTGAAGTTCAAATGACAGAATGAGGTTTCAAAGGCATATGTGAATAAAGCACAGTAGCAGAAATTTATCAATAAGTTCACCACACCTTTGAAAAACTGTGAGCATCAACGTTTGCATCTTCCTGCACTCACTCACAGCTAATTTTTCTGCCATAGTCAATTAGTTTATACTCTTGATCAGTTAATGAAGCTAACTTTTCGTGGTGCACTGCCCAATGGCAGACCTATCTACTTCGCCACCGTTGGCTGGGACAAGCAACTCGTCCCAGGCCACAAACAACAGCAACCTCCACAAGAGTTATTTTCTCCAGCTCTGGCGTCTCCTTAGAAAGTAGTTTATTTGTCTCCAAGGGTTCTCGCTGCATGCAAAGTAGAGAAGGTTAGACATAAACATCATTACCCCAACTCACCTAATTTGAATTTTCAATAATCACAAGCTGAATAAAACAGTATTCAAAATGGCAAGCATGAAATGAAGGGGGGAAATTTAGGGAGAATACAAGTTCAGGGAAGCAAAGACAATAAATCAACTTAAAGATTAATTTGGAACGAGTCCAACCACTCAGTTTTGTGACAACGCAATGCCTCAAGTGCAACACCTTAAGAGGAGCATTCCGGAGTACTTGGAGTCTTTAACGGCGCAATGAAGATCGGTGCGAGCTCCACGTTGCAGAAATTAATCCGTACGCCGAGAGCGTAAGTGTTCAGCCACATGCTGCAGGGATAGCATCCATTTCTGGGTGGCACATTAAGATCAACAACAGAGAGTCCAGTCTCTCCATCCAGTAGAGCAGTGGCACAACCCTCCACAGAATGAGAACAAACCCACATCGTTATGTCACCAAAATGCAGCATATTTTCGATAGTCCCGAAACTGTGATTCTCCGAATGGCTCCGGATGAAAGACACAAAACCATTCTTAGCATCCTCGAGAATGAGCTTTTTCTACGTAACTCGGGTCCTCCTTTCTACTACTACTAGTTTTACTCAGTTCCACTGAAGTCAACGAAATCAAACACCAAGTTTCAAATATATGCAATGCAACTTACTAATAAAATAGCCAAAATGATAACAATATGCAAGGCGATCAGTGAACTTTTAAACTTTAAAAGGACACAGCTCTTCTTTTGGGAGGAAGAAAAGGCAAACCAACAAATTAAGAGGATCCAGTTTACTACGCCTACTACTACTTTCACACTTTTCCTCCTGATCACGTGAATAAAATCAAGCACCGGCGTCAAATTGCAGAGAGTTACAAGATAGCAATACGCAATCAGTGAACTTTTAAATTTAAAGGATTTTCAAAGAAGAAGGGAAAAAAAAAAACCCAAAATCTCATGATTTAACAATTCTATCTGTAGGGTGTGTTCCATACCTCATCCATCTTTCCCACCTATTTCTGCTGGACTGTGATATTGGGGAATTAGGTGCGGTAGTTGCCGGCGGAGCCAGGAAGAACGGGCAGCGAGACGGCGGCACCGCACAAAAAATGAAGACAGCACACATTGGGTTGGGCCTTAGGCCCTTGCTTTATAGGGCCTTCACCTTTCTGGAAGTTTGGGTTTGCAGTTCCAGTAGTCCAGCCCAACCTTGCTGGCCAGGATATCTATAGTATTATACTAAGAGAGAAACCAGAGAGAGGAAATCAAACTTCTCCCCCCATTGACACATAGGACAAAATCCTATGTGTCATTTCCTTATAAGTTGTTACAAAAAATATTTACAATAATTACACTAACAGTCCTTTAAATTTCCAGTTAATAAATTATTATCAATTCTTAATTAAAGTATATCAATTAATTGTGTGTAAACTTTCTATTTTATATTCCCTAAAATGAAAAGAAAAATGGAAAAATTTTAAAATCTTAACATTAAATAAGATTGATTTGAAAAAGATTACCCGATTGGCTGAATAATAATATTACGTCTTGATTTAATCATTAAACAATATTAATGATTATTTAAAATTCAAAAATAATAAATACAAAATCATCAATGATTCTTCAACTCAACATTAAAGCTGATTGATTTGAAAAAAATTTCTGATTGGCTTGAAAATGCCATTAATATTGGTTTGATCATTAAGCAGTATTAATGTTTTTTTAAAAATTCGAAAATAATAAATACAAAATCATCAATGATTCTTTAATTCAAAATTAAAACTGATTGATTTGAAAATATTTTCTGACTGGATTGAATAATACCATTACATATTGGTTTGATCATTAAACAATATTAATATTATTTTGAAATTTGAAATAATTAAAAAAATTATAGATAATATTTTTTAGAGATATATCATCTGTCATAATTGCATACACGAATATCCATTTACTTTATTTAAAAAAAATCAAATATAAACAGATGCCTATAATCACTCCAATTGCATTAATCATGTGAATAAAATTATTATGTATATATAAAGTGTGCTTATAAAACTCAACTAGGTTGCAATCCCAGTTTATACCGGAATCTTTTCTTCTTTTTCTTCTCTCTTTTTTTTTAGGATTTATGTTTTTTTTAATAATCATTATTTTTTTGTGTCAAAAGTTTTTCGCTTCTAACTTTTAGAAATTATGCGCAAATATTTTCTGTAGCAAGAATTTTCGAATGCACATCACGGTGAGTTTCTTTGCCAATCTTAACTAATGATTTCAATGTTTGATGTTTTCTTAGGGACAACATGGCGAAATATATGTTGATGATTCACGAAAATGAAATATATTTAACACGTAGATCAATATATGGATCTATTTATTTTCTTCTGTAAATAATTAGCGCTTAAAAATTACTTCTAATGTAACATTATTTAACTTAGTGTTTTTATATTCTATATCAATTTACTAAAATATAAAATATTTCTTTGATTTTTATTATGTTTGATTTTATACATAATTTAGCTATCCCGCACATCGTGCGGGTACCATCTAGTACATATTATGTCTGACGTTCGTTCACTTCTTCGTTCGGCCATTTGGGAAAAGAGCGGCGGGGACTGTGGAGCAGATGGAAGAATCAACTACAATAAGTTTGATTTTATTTGTTTATTTTTTATTTTTTTTTTGTGATTATTTAGGGTATGGTCTTGCCCTTAATTTTCTCTTTGTAGGCCTCTACACACACTAAATGAAAATCAAAGGAGGCCGGTTTTTTTTCTGTTTGCTGTCTCAGCTTCGCTTATCAATAGGGATTAGTATTTATTCACTCTTACTTTAAAATTTGAAGATCTTAATACAAGGAGTGGAGAGCTACTGCCAATTGATTTCTGATTTTGAGACGTGAAAGAAAAAAAGAATTTATATCAGGAAGAACTACACGAATCCCCTTAAAGGAATATATTGGGTTGGTTTGGTGGGGGGTGTGAATTATTGAACAAGTCCCTTTTAATCATAAAGTGGTTGATCACCAATATTCACTAATGATTACCTCCTCTATTCCAAAATAAGTGTCATTCTAGAGTTTGTACATAGTTTAAGAAAACATTAAATAAGGTAACTAAATTATTAGAATATCTTTAACCAACCCCATTAAAATAAATATTCCCCAATAATGTTATTTTTTTTGAGAGTATGTTTGGAAATTTTTGACAAAAAATGCATTGGAATCCGAAAACGACACTTATTTTGAAATTTCTCCATTTTGCCAAATCGACACTTATTTTAAAATGGAGGGAGTATGTTATTTGGGGTAGATTTTCTTTTGAAACGGAGTGGTAGTATTCTTGTCCTTTATGGGCTCATTAGGGTTTGTCTATTGGAGGGAAGGTTCAATTCTTTTTGCTTTGTACTAATAATGAACTAAATCAAAATTGCTATATTAAAGTACTCCTTCTATCAGTGTAGTCGCTGGAAACCAATATTTCAAATGTGGCAAAGTATCCTAGGTCACAATGCACCTCTTTGTATCATTACAAGATAAGGCTAGGTGTATCTGCCCTCCAGACCAACTTGGACCCGTTGGTACTCCGTATGTGTTGATGTATGGGCTCATTGGCGAGCTGTTACTCTATCTTTTTCTTTAATATAAAAAAATTTCGTTTATTTTCTTACTAATTACTTTTTCTATTCCAAGAAAATCATCCATTTTGTTGAACTTAATAGTATAACCAACTAGATTATTTGTTTTGGGATGGAGGAGTGCAGTTTAATTTGTCCAACGTCTGCTCTTCCTTGGTCTTCCCACTTTCACATGTATTTTCTTGTTAAAAATTCTTATAGATTATTGCCCATGAGACTTTGCCCGCCGTAATGGTAGATATATAGTATTATAATTCAATTTATTTAAATGACTTAACTTTTTGTAGTCCATCACCATTAACCAGTTTACTGAAAGTCCATCATCGCTGACGATTTCCAGCACCATTAAAAATGTTGCATGTGAAAGCTTGGTTCTACTCTAAAGAATATAGGTATTCATATGTCAAAGCTTCATTCCACTCTAAAGAATGGGTGTTGGACATTTTTGCAGGAAGAAGATAATATCCTTGATTCGGATCAACATTTGGATGAGCAGATCAAGGATGCCACAGAATATTCATGTGACAATGGCTTTGTGGGAGAGGACTTGGATGACATGATCTGGGATGCCGTCGATGGTGATAAAAAAGAGCTCTTTTTGACCGTGTTGAACGACCTTACACATGAACAAGTTGTGCGTTGGGATCCTTTCAATTTTATATTTGAGTGTGACTCTGTAAATTGTGTGAACGCCATGCTGAATGGGGAAAGTGCTGGAAAATGTGAAATCAACAATGTCAATGCTGTTCCATTCACGCGCAACAATAGACAACTAGTTCCTATATTGCACAAGGCAGCTCGTCAGGGAGCCTACAAGATAACAAAATTGTGTCTTCCTGGAAATGAGGCTCAGGTGAACCTGAGAATTGATGAAGCTGATGGCATGAAAGGGGTCTTGCCCTTGAATTTAGCCCTTCATAGTTTATGGTATTACAATTCAGATTCCTTTTGTTTTTTTCTCCTTCTATTATGCATGCATTCTTGTTTGATAAAACAGGAAAGAAATTTTAATTCACTATGACTTGATATTCTTGCTTATGGTCTCCCTTCATATTCATCAATAGGTTAAATACTTAGTTTCGTGAATTTCGTTATCGATATTCATGGAGCCGCAGCTGGTTCGACAAAAACTCAGAATGGATATCGGACCCTCTTCCTTCGGAGCCAGAGCGGCTTGTGCTCAAGTGGATTTTTCTTCTTTGTGATCCATCTCGTGTTAGTCCTCCCGCACTCTTAATGAAATTCAAATAGATATCTTTTATGGGAGTACATTTCATGTTTTGACTCTTACATTAATCAGTATGCAACAACGTGGCACTGTCTCATAATTTTTAGGGAAGGCATGCTAACCTTGTGAGATTGCTTGCTCCAAAAACTCTTGAAATCGAGCAAGCGTTTTTTATGTACTTGAAAGAGGGAAGAATGTTCGAACTGACTGCCTTATTGTGTTTGCTCGTGACAGCGTTATGCCTAGAGGCTGCAAGATTCAAGAGATATTGTCCTGAACGAGATTGCAACTCTGAAAGTATTTATGTTACGGTCAAAATATGAAATTGGCAGTGACATGTTGATAATTGAGGCCCAAAAGAAGAAGATGGAGATGGAAGCAACACTGTTGTTGCTTGAAATATTTGACAGGATTGGCGATAAAATTGAAGCTTGCTTACTACATTACACCAAAAAAGTATAAACTCTTTTTTAACCTTCTGTTTCTTTTGATTTGCATTTTCTTCCTTCAACAAGTTACGGTGTCTGTCAACCTGTTACTTAACTGTAACGAAGCTCTTTTTACTCACATCCAGAGTAACCCTCGTTTGAGTTTTCACCAGATGGAATTGTAGCGTTCAAATTTTTAAATCAATTACTATATTATATTGTTGTAGGCTTCAAAGCTTGATATGGTTAGAGAATTTTCTGGGCTCTTGAAGGAAGCCGGGTTTGATGCAGAGCTTGAACTCTTAGATCAGATATCAAGGTGTTTTATTCATAGCTTCTCTAAAAGTTGATTTCCTTGAGTTACCTGTCTATGCTAACATTCAGATTAATGTTTGAAAATTGGCAGGAATTCTTCTATTTGATATACTTTTAGGTAATTATATTCTTGATTTTGATGCCAGATAATCCTGTCAAAATTTGGAGCGAATGGGATTATAGGTTCATCTAAATTTAATCATGTTCATAATGCAGATTCCGACGAAGACGACGATCCAGGATCGGATGAGGAGGACGATCCTCATCACAGGGCTTCTGACAAGGCAATTATGAATGAGGTATGTTTATACAAGTTGTTCAAATACCTGTAATGGCTAATACCTGGTAACCTAGGAGACCGTTCATTGTAGTTTGGTTGATCGTTGTTGCTTTACTATGAATTCAGAATTTAGTCTTCCAAACTTACTAATAGATTCCCTTTTTGTCTTAGTCCAAGCAAGCCTCAACGCGATGGTTTGTGAATAAGCGAAACATGCTATCTCTATCTGCATTGTACTGCGGCCATCTCGATCCCTCTCCACTTCGATTATATCATACGTATCATTTTATGAGACGCCGACCTGGTTTTAGTTCTACGATGGCGAATAAATTTGGCAGGTCTCGTTTTTCATGCCAATCCTTCCAACAGACATATCATTCTGGAAGATCCAGCGACGGTCTTGGTTCATTCACATCAGATAAAGCCAATAATGGTGTGATGTCGGGCTTGCAATTGAAGAAACAATGTCAGGATTCCGGCCAGTCTGCTCGAAGAAGAACTGGAGTGTGCAGTAGTTGGGCATCAAATTTGCAGTTCAACAGAGAATGTGCTTTATCTGCTCATTCAAGCAGATGGATTCTTATAAATTACTCGTCATCTGGGCCGTGTACTTTGAAAATAAAAAAGTTGGTGGTGTGGCCAACTTGATCCTTTTTTTTCCCTTGTTTAATTTGGGGTTTCGATTCAAGTTATCAAGTTAATTTCGAATTATTATAACTTATTGGAGGTACAAGTTTACCGTGTCGTGTTAGGTTGTCTCTGAAAATCGAGTTGTTATATATGTTTTGGTCCAATGTCTTGTTTTACCAGATAGAAATTTATTTAATCGGCTCATTTGTTTTCTTCTTTGCTTAAACCACCCGATAATAGGAAAAAAATTCCGGCAGAAATGATGTTCCGACAAAGATTTATCTTCTGAATTTGTTTCTGTTTTGAACACATTGGTCACCGTTCTTTTCCATGTGACGCGTAATCAGAGAAATGAATATGAATAAAAATGTCCTACGAATCACAGGGAAAGTCGGTGGCCTTTATTATCCAAGAATATTGTGGTTGTTCATTAATTTTGAGGAGTTGATTGGATTCAAGCAACCTCGATTCAATTCTTCTCAGAATCTCTAAGTACAGTGTTTTTACTTTACTACAAAACCACAAGAACAAGACGAGCGCGGGCATTTGCATCGAAGCATCACCACATGACCACATGTTCTTATGTCCAGCATTTGCTTCATTTCATATCAGTCGCAGCTTATTCAATACACATGAATTTATGTAATTGTATTCCTTCCTCTTGACAATGGTATGTTTTTTTCAAAGGGATCGGAAAGTGATTAGTTTAATCATTTATCAACTATTGTTGGTATCGCATTAGTCGCATCATTATTAGCTAATAATGTGTCTCATCAATCGCTATACACTACAAGTTATTTGAGTCCCATTAGAAAGTCTGTAAATACTGTGTTAGTATTAGTAATAATCAGTACTAGATAACCAAACCATCTAGGCAGATGTTACATGAGAATAACTTAAAAAAAGTGAGCACATGATGGGCTCAAAACGACAAACTGGGATGAGAAGAATCTGATATTGGAAAAGTAAGTAAAAGTTGATCATCAGATTCGGACCCGATTCCTGTCTAATTTTCTTTCTTCGAGAATCTACTAAAGTATGGATGATGAAAGAAAATAAACCATTCAAAACTCACAATTTAGTACTAATAGAAAGAATATGTACAGATGTGAACATCGAAGCTATAAAGCAAAATGGCACCAAAAAGATACCCAAAATCATCACAAAATTGTGCTCTTGCTTCATTTAGTTTTCCTTATGCCCACCCACGTTTGTACTTGTTGAAGAGCGACTCCGTCTGTGCGTTTCTATAAGCACTACAAGCAATGAGATAAACCCAAATCAAAACCACCACCGTAACGATCAAAATGACGTTGGCTTTCCTCCATTCCCTTCTTAGGTTTCCCAGCAATCCAGCTTTGCAGGAATCACAATAATAGCAGAGCTGGCCAGGGTCATTGTTCCAAAGGTTGCAATCCGCATCAGCTACTGGGGTTGCCGGATTTATCCATGTTATTGGGTTCACAAACTGGTATCCACAAAGGGTTGGTGGCTTACAGCATCCTGACTGCACCATTTTAATAAACAAAGTAAATTACAAAGTTACTACCACGCCAAAATTAGAAGTCCTCATCAGTCATCCTCTAGTATTAAGAGTCAAGAGTGCAAGACAAGATGGGGGAAAGTTCCCTGAAAAGATGCACCATCTAACTAATTAAAGTGATAACGACACTACATCGCAAATGTTAGTCAAAAGATAGGAACTGAATTTATTTTAATATACTTGTTGATGGAGACAATATACATCCTAAAGTAAGCATATATATTTTGTAATCTTCCATTATTCTCAGATGCTCCTACCACAAAAATAGAGGGAAACGGAAAACCTTTGATTCAAGGGATAACCAAACGAATCACAAACGAGACTGGTAACGAATCACAAACGAGACTGGTTCCCAATTGCAAACAACAGAAAGAACCCATTGTTGCAATTGTTTCTTAAGATAAATAATCCCTCTGTCCCAAAACGAGAATCATATTTATTGACACTTAAATTTTGCACCGGAAGGAGCAATATTTTAGTAGTCTATGCCAAGCTCATCAAAATTTTAAAGAAAAGTAATCTAATCAACACAATGATCATTAGACAGGATAGCATGGTCTTGTGGGCCTCTGTAACCATGATTTTTTTCTACCCAAAAGATGGTATGATATCTCATATCTCATTAGAATGATTTCGGTTTTGACCTTTCTAAAAGTGACCTAATAAATACCCATAATTCTTGAATAATGGATGGTATTGTATCCAGAACAATTACTGGTTTTTACGTTGTTTAGCAATGATAATTGAATGGTAGGACCAATAATTCCATCTTCCCTGCTTGAAATGTAGCCACTCACCACCATTCATTCCATTCCCTAATAACAAATGACATTGTACACCACGTTATCCTGTCCAGTTCCTATGTTCCATCATATACAGTAGTACTACCGATCCATAATTATCACCTAGCATAATTAACTTCTACAGTAGTCCGAAAATTAGGATTTTAACTCCAGAAATTAAGATTACGATACACCTCCAGATTAATTAATTAACCAACCAACTAAACACTATGAAGCCAATTTAAATGCAAAAAAACAGAGTCTCCCCTGCAAAAAAAAAAAAAAAAAAAATTAAAGAAAAACAGAGCAAGAAACGAGTAGTGAAAGAATTAGTACCTCAATCGGAGAGAGGTGACCGGCATAGAACTGATCAACAGTGATGTACTTCTGATTAAGTTTTGGACAAATCCCGGAATCAGCCAAACAGGCCCTAATCTTGACCCAATTATCAGAGCTGGTAATATGATCTCGGAGCCAAGAAGAGAAACCATCAAGGCGGTACTCCTCGTATTCTCTGCCGGGGACATGGTACGCGCCGCTGGGACGGGTGAAGACAAACGCCATGACAATAAACACCAGGAGGAGAACGATGAGGATGGCCATGCACACCAAGTAGACACCGAGGAGGGATTCTTTCCTCCAGTAGGCTCCGATGAAGCCGGTCAAGGAAACCAAGAGGATGGCTATTCCGAGGAAGACGACCGGCCACCGGAGCCAGTGGATGCACTCGTTGTCGGCCTTGGAAGCGAGCCAGGTGCCGGAGGCGATGATTGGGATGGAGCACATGAAAGCTAGGAAGTTTAGAAATGCGGTTATGTTGTTGCTTACAGCCATAATTAAAATTAAAAAAAAAAAAAAGCTACAGTGATTGGAGAATTTTTGGTTTGTTGGGAGTGAAAAGTGAGGAGGAGGACAGGGGAATCTGGAAGAGAGTGGAAATATGAGGAGACGAAGTGAGAATTGGTGTGTACTTATGGGAGTTAGCCGCTTGTGTAGTTGGGTGTCACTTTGCTATGTGATCTTTGTTTAAGTGTGTTAGTGTGTGACTGTGTGTGACTGTGTGTGAGAGAGTTGTGTCAGTGGGGTGTGTGTGTGTGAAAGATGAAAAGTTAAGATGCGGTTGTAATGTAAGGGGAATATGTAAAGGCCCGGAGAGTGAAGTGAGAGACTGGTGAAACTGGTGAAGGTGATAAGTTTTTGTTTTCTTAGATTCTACAGCCTTACGCGCGCAGTCCGTGCTTCCTTTGATATTCGTTTATTTTGAGATCAGCAAAAATTGTGATTTGTTTATTTGTCTTTCTAACTTTTATATATTTGAGCTATGCTCAGGCACTAATCAAAATGAAAGTTGAATAAGATAGTTCTTTTTGTTAAAATTAAACAGAATAGAGTATCACAATGAATAGAGGATGTAACATCAATAACAATATTGAAATACTTTTGGTTTGATAGTTTGAGGATTGGAATCTTATGTGAAACTCACACCGATATGTGAAACAAGTATGCATTTTTCCTCCATTATGTAATTCTTTACCAATGGTGAAAAAGTTAATTTCATTATAAATTTTTTTTGTTTCTGAATCACTATTTTTTTTTTACTAAATCACACAAGACGTACCACATATTTGGGCAAAAAAATCATTTTCATCCCATACATTTGAAAATGCCCATTTTCGTCTTTTTTCGTCCAAAAAGGGGATTTTTCGACTATTTACATCCCAAATCAATTCTCCGTTCAACAGGCGTCAAATGTAAGGGTATTTTTGTTTTTTAGCTCAACTTTTAATTTTTCAATATTTAAGAAATAAAATAATAATAAAAAATAATATTAATTAAAAAATATTTAAAAAATCAAAATAAAAATTTTTCATACCATTTTTACTAGGTAGGGCCTCAGTAAATTATTTTTAAATTTTTTCTACAATAAATAGGAAATATATTAAAATTTTCATTATAGAAATGGAGTCAAAGTGTAATTTCTTGAACTTTTATTCTTCCCCAAGTCGACTGAAATTCCTGGTGACCAGGATCTGCTGTCACCGTCGCCACTAACGATCGGCTTTCATTGTGGTTTACCAAAATCAGCAAATTATATGTCGAAATATTCCTTTTGATAAGATCTAAAAAACCCATAGTAGAATTTGTTGTTTCAGTTCAAAAAATAAGACGAAAAAGGTCGCGAATCTGTAATTTTCAGGATCATCGCTTAGATCTCCCCAAAATTGATCCCGTAATATCTAAATTGAAAACCTCTATCCTTTTTTCTCACTTACAGACGCATTTAGCACAAACAAACTGGGTCGTTGGAGGTTGTGGTGGAGCAGATCATAGCTTGGGTTGGGGGAGGTGTAGTTCATTTATATTTATTTTTAGGATTTGGTCTAATGAAAAAAAAAAAAAAATTCCCTCCCGATCATATCTATCATCTCCATCTGTGCCGCACTGCTACTCCAGATTTGCGCTATAAGGATGTGTATTTTGGCTTGCCAACGAGAATTCTTAACAGGGAAGTTGTGTTTCTTGGAGCCGCCTTTGGCTAATCATGATTGTTCAGTGAAACGACGAGTCAATTTAATAGATCAACAATGTCCATATGAATTGGTTTGGGTTCTCTTTTGGCTGTAATGTAAATATTAACTTTCTTCGGTTCTCTTTTGACTGTAATGTAAATATTAACTTTTGAAGAAAGCGATTCTACTTTTATTTTTTTTTGGAAAGACACTGAAGCAGTAACGTCAAATTAGTTTAAACTCCACAAAGGTGGAAAAATGCTTTAACTAGATTGAGAAATGAGTTTCGGGGGATGAAATTGATTAGTGAGAGTTAATGTAAGAGGGAAATCTTGAAGGCCATATAAACCCACATGTGATTCTACTTCAAAATCAATTGGCAATGAGAGGAGTAGCACATGGGGTATATATGTTGATCAAGTAAACTTCCTAACTTCAATGTGGGACAAGTGTCTTTCACCTTGTTTTTCAAATTCAAAGGGGTTTTAACACCCCCTCTCAAACCCAAAGGGGTTGGACAAGGCCCCTTTGAAAATCATAAACCCAATACGGGTAAATCAAAGTTCTTGGATATACTGCCGGGTCTGTAAAAGCCTAATACGGGTAAAATCAAAGTCTTCGAATATACTGTCATGTCATTCAAAACCTAATAGGGTAAAATCAAAGTCTTCGGATATACTGTCGAGCCAGTCAAAGTCTACCCACAAAGTTTGTGAATTAAAACCCGATCTGATATCATCTTGAAGGTCTATATAAAACCACATATGGTTCTACCTCAAAACTAATTGGCAATGAGGAAAGTAGCACATGCGATATATATGTTGATCAAGTAAACTTTCCAACTCCAATACGTCACTTGTTTATCAAGTTAAAGGGGTTTTAACAAAACATCTTTGCCACAGTCCAACCCCCGATCAAAGTTGCCTCAAAATGGAAACATCTTTGCAAAAACAAACAAAACAAGTCAGCTAATTAGACAGTGTACTCCACTTAAACATTTGGGGGGATAAAATGTTCAATAAATACTTACCAATTTTTAACGAGGTGTAGTGGTAATGGTGGTGGTGGAGGCTAGTTGTGATGGTGGTAGTAGATGGAGGGTGCAGTTGTGGCGGTGGTAGTGGCGGCCATGGCTGAGGAGTAGTGTTCTAATCCGGCGTTTCATTTTTCTCCTTTTTATTTTTTCTAAGGAAAAAAAATTATATTAAATTAATATTAGTTTTACTGTACCAATGTGGGTAAAAACTAAAAAGGTAGATAGAGTCAAATTTTTTTAAGTTCAAATTTGAAAACATTTTATTATTTTAATATATTTACGGTTTATTGTAGAAAATATTAAAAAAATTATTTATGGAGGCCCACTTGGTACAAGGTATAATTTTTTTTTGATTTTTTTAAAGTTGCAAATATTCTTAATTTAATATTATTATTATTATTTTATTTACTGAGAAATCAAAAGCTAAAAGACAAAAATATCCTTGTATTTTGACGGTAAGTTGGACAGAAAGTTAATTGGGACGTAAATAGTAAAAAAATCATCGTTTTTATATGAAATATGACGAAAATAGACATTTTCAAATGTATGGGATGAAAATGATTTTTCGTCTAAATATATGAGACGTTTTGTGTGGTTTAATCTTTTTCTTTTGAAAGATTATTCAATTTAAATATTTATTCGTATTAAAAATCATTCTAAAAATAAAAAATCGAACTAAAAATAATTTTGCGATAAAGGAAATATTGTTTTAATCGTCTACCTTTGGTAGTGTTTCTCGTCTTGTTATGAGTAGCCAATCCATCAGGAATACTAGCGTCTATCTAATTTTTTGATACGATTGAAAATCAGTCAATACCTACAATGTACAGTTTTCAGAACTTGAAAGTCAAACTAGTAACTGTTGCCCGTACACACGGCGGGACGGCGACCCCCGGAGTCCCGGACGGCAGGACGCGATTGCAATTGTTTGGAATTTCCACAAAGTTACTGAACACAATCCACTCGCACCTCCTTATTCGTTGCCTATCACGCGCCACCATCAATTATCGCAGATGACATTTTATTTATTGTAGTATTTCAAGAGGGAAAATACTCCTAAAGAAAAAATAAATACTCCCTCTGTCTTAAAATTATTATCCAGTTTGAAATTTCACTTTTAGTATAATTTGAACTAGAAATAAAAACCCAAACTGAATAATAATTATGGGAGGGAGGGAGTAAATTATTGCAGCAAATTAATACCACGGAAAGAAATCAAAAGTTTCCCGCACTTTTTTCCTCAATTACATCGCCCTCCCTACTCGCCGCCGCTCTTCGTGTTTTCCGTTGCCGGAAATGGAGAGATGGGTTCCACTGTTCGAGATTTTCATGAACTCCCCGTGTCCCGAAACTGAGGCATCGCTATGGCTTCAAAAATCGTTTGCCTTCTCCTCATTCCCTTCCATTTCTACTTCCTCTTTCATTTCCTTGCTGACAAGTTCTTCAGAAGTCGTTGTCGTTAACTCTGCTACTTCTTCCGAATCTCCCTCATCAACTCACACCAAAAGGTAATTCACTCCATTGTGTCATATCATTATCCGGTGCAATAAATTGTGTTTATTTTAATATTCAATCTCTCGACCCTGAAATTATTGCCCGTTTCTTCTTTTTTGTGTTTGTCTATGAGCAGATTTATGTATTTACAGACGTTGCCCAACGCAGTTCAGGCCCGTATTTTGTCTTTTCTAGTTTATGAGCGACGTAGATTCTGCAAAAGGGATTTGATTGAACTTGCTCGGAGAATGCTGACAGAGGGTCATGAGGTGGACTTCTGGGTCAAAAAAGCTGCACACCAACTGTTTGATGTGCTTTCTGGCTCGGGGTTTGAATGGATATCTTGCTTGGATTTGGATTCTGAGGAAGAATGTGTAGAGGATAAGTTCAGAGCTCTTCCAGATTGGCTTCAAGAGGCTGCAGCTGATCGTGGTGATTTAGTTCTCCCTTGGCTCCCTTTGCTGCCCGAAGAAATTAATGTGGGAAGGCCATTTTGTAATTTCCAGGATGATGAAGATTCAGAAAATTGTGTTGAGATTGCGAAACAAATAGACGAGGATGAAGTGATGGGAGAAGCCAGGGCTGATGATCAAAAGCATGTTATGGACCATGAGGTGGACATGATGGCTGCTAAGTTGAAATCCCAAATCCTAAATTTTGAGACTACTTCTAAGACGATCGAATTGACTAATGACCTTAGGAAACTCTGCCTCACAAGTAAAGTGGATTCTTCGCATATTATGACCTTCATTGAACCTTGGAAAGCAGATGACGAGACTGCTTCAATTATGATTGCAAATCTTTTGGGCCGCGATGCAGATGAGTTTGGTTGGCCAAGTCAGATTCTTTGCTCAGTTGTTCTTCCTAAATTGTTAGCCCTTGAAGTGCCAGCCTCTCGAATTCTGGTGAGTGCTACCGTTGAGTTCTGCAAGCGACATCAAAAGGCTACTGAATATGCATTGTTGTTTCCGTTACTTCTAAAAGTTGATGGAATAAACAATTCCATTTGTGATGTTGTTACAAGGATAGTTAGAGAATGTCTACATCCAGCCCATGTTTCTGCATTCTGTCGGAAGCTCCTCTGTGAAGAACTAGATGTCAAGAATTTCACCTGCCTTCCCTGTCACCGAAGTCTAATTGCTGGTGAGCTGGTATGGACAGAATCACTGTTTTACTTGATGCAAAATATTTTAAACCATAATGTTCCTTTGACCCAAGACACTGTTGATAAACTTGTTCAAGAGGTTTGCAAATTTGCAACTAGGTTTCCAAAATCTCTCAAATTAGGCAATTTTTGTTTATGCTTTGTGAACAAATGTGCTCATCTTTTAAGACCTCATAAGCTTATGTTGATGGAAACTGTTGAGCACACCAGTACACTTGTAACCAAATCTATAATGTCTAAACTAACTTCTTTGTAACTCCCTGTATCCTGTTACCATTCTTGTTCCCTGCACGTATCTGTAATTACTGAAAACAGAAACAGAATGTTCTACAACCTGTCTTATGTTGTTTGCACAACTTCATTAATGCTAGAAGTGTGACAATGTATTTTCTCAGGAAATGCAGAGGCATTCTTCCGCATTTTCCTCGTAAAACGAGAGAATCCCTGAACTTTAGCTTTATAGTTTATTTTGTAGAAATGCGAGTTACATTCTGGAAAGGATGTAGAGATTTTAAGGGTTAGTGAACTAACCCTCTTGCCGGGGTGGACCCTGTAAAAAAATCCTTTGTTTGAAGCAATATTGAAGAAAAATCCTCTTTTTTATTGTTTATTTCAGTAAGAGTAAAACATCACCTTTTTTCCTTCCTTCTAAACAACAGAACTATAGTAATATATGTAGGGCCAAAGTACAGGAAGCAGGATGCATTAGCTTCTCTTGAACTCTGCCCATAAGGAAAATGAAAATTCTGAATAAACACACAAACAGCATTCTTTGGAATATATCATGATGGCTGGTTCTATTATACCAGAAGATCTTGTGGACCATTGTTCAACTTTTTCATAATCTCAAATCTTGGAACTTTGTCCGCGAACTTGGTTTCAGCATAGATTTTCAGATAATCTTGAAAGGAGAAACCCTGTGGATATAAGAGCTTGGGTGCTGGAGCAATTATGGCCTCACCAGCAGGGTTGTAAAAGGTGGCTATGGAAAGCCTACTTCCGTTTTTGTCTGTCATGACACGATGCAGAGCACTCTTGTATAATCCATTACTTAGCACTTCCAGTTGATCACCTGTATTGACAAAGATTCTGTTGTTCTTTGATGGTGGAATTTCCACCCACTGTCCATCTTTAAAGAATTCAAGGCCCGGAACCTTGTCATCTTGGAGCAAGAGAATAATACCACCAGCATCTGTATGTTCCCGAAGTCCTCTCACCAGTTCAGGATGTGGACAGTGAGGGTATTTTGCCACTTTTGTTCCCACAGAGGGACCTTTGCTCCCTGAGAATGCTTGCTTTATGTAGTTCTTCTCCAACCCAAGATTCTCGCTCATCAGTTCTGCGAGAAGTTCTGCCAGCTTGATCAGTTGATCAATGTACTCATCCATCGATTTCCTGCAGGTATGCTTCTTGTCTTAGTAAACTTTCATTGCTTTATGATCAATCATCAATGATTGGTTTTCTAGCTCTATAGTTTTCAATTCTGGTTAGTTTTGATTGCAGTAGTTTGTAAAGTTATTGACACTAGAAAATGAATGTATTTTGATGATCACTTACTGAAATTCCGCTGGGAGATTTGGAAGCTGGTCAATGTTGGACTCAGGTCGGTGCCAAACAAAGAAGGCACTTTCCCAGTCAATGTTTCGGGTAGTTTCTTTGTGATCTAAGCTCTTCACAATCTCAGACTTGAAAAACCTTTCCTTCATGTTTTCTTCATAGTGTTGATTCACTACTGCCTTCACTTTTGCCATCAGATCTTTGTCGACATTATGGTTCTCTATCTGCAAACATAAAAATTGATTTCTTTTAGATAAAACAATCATTGGTCAGAGAGACACTCATTACACATTAGTCAACAATACCATGAAACAGCCCCATTTCTCACAAGCTTGGTGGAGAAGAGCCAGGGTCTTGCTCCTCTCCTCACCATCAAGTTTCGCAAAGTTGATAACAGGAATTTCCATTTCTGAGATTTCTCTTTCTTTTCTTTCTTCTTCTTGTTCTTCTTTTGCTGGATGAGTTGGTGCCTAAAATGACCAATTTGGCTGAATATATATAGGCAGACTAAAGGGGTACTTTCAACTGTCATATTAACTTAAGCAAACAGTTAATTTGAAGGAATGGTTAGTTGGAATGGGAACCGTACCTCATTCCTAGGAGAATTTTATGGTGCATTGGGGAAACCAAAAGAAGGACGAATTGTTGGTCCAAATTCAGTTGATTAACTGCTCACCATGTGATTTTGACTTCCAGTTTCAAGGATCTAACATTTTTCTGAACCAAAATTCCATGTAACAGGCACCAAGATTTGCTTTTTTTTTTTTTTTTTTTTAATTTTTATATATTTTTACCCTAATAAGTTGGTTCCTTAGACATTCTTCTACCTATCTGACTTTCTTTCTGTTTACCGCTTTACATTGTTTAAATTATCAACTGAGCCTTTGAGTATTAATGATATCCAATGTTTAAGCAAGTTATCTCTACTTGAACTGGTAATTTTGTCCTCTTTAGGGAAAACTACTAAACCAGAAGTAATGCTTCTTTCAGTTCTGTGGGTAGCTTCAGAAACTAACAAGCCAAAAAAAAAAAAGGAAAAAGAAAAAAGGGATTAAAAAACCCTTCCAGTGGGCGGTTTTAGGTGCTGAAGAAATGGGATTGCCAGTTTGCCATAAACATCATGTAACAGGTATGGCTGTATTGTATCGTTGTCAGAGATCTTATTCTACAAGTGTTTTGGATTTAAATGACACCATGTCGGATGCCAAATGACGTTTTAGACTTTAACTTTGTTGGGTTGCTATGGAAAAGTATTGATAGCTTAAAGTGCTAATCAGTAAGTGCAAGTTGATATATTTCTGAATCAGAAGAAATTTCCCAGGAACTTGAGGGAGTTTGAAAAAGAGGAGCAAAACTCCAAACAGGAGAAAATACCTACTCCCCAGTAAAAATATTTCTTCACACTTTCCACTTCAGTAGCCGATAATCTCGTTTTTGCCTTTCTAAGTTCCAAGTAACAAGAGCTTTTTGACTTCTTTTTGCAAAAAAATATATATATAGGCCGGTGAAGTTCCCCTACCATAGGGTCAGAACTCAGAAGTATATATGATAATTCTAATATTGCAAACTAATTCTTGGAGATAACTTCCAAAAGTCCTGCTAATCTCATCTTAACCAAATCTGTAACACAATTCTAAAAGGAACTTCATCTACATATATAAGAGAGTGTCTGGTTCACCAAGGGTTTGATACTCTTCAATGGGATTCATAGAAAAATTATATAAAAATTTTAAGCAATATAAAATGTCACTTTTACCCGTAACCCTATACTCTCCCATTTCACCATTTCTCCTCAATTCCCCCGCCTATCAGCCACCACCACTACTTTGTCTTCTCTTCCGGCCGTCTTGGCCCAAGAACAACAACAACTGGGATTAACAACCCAAATTGAATCCAGAATCAACTACCCCAAATTTAGAATGAACTCAAAAAAAAAAAAAAAAAAAGAAAGAAAGAAGATTGGAACAAAGAATATAATCAATTTTCAAAATAGTCACAAAACTTGATTCTTTAATTAAACCATTGAGCAATCTCAATAACCATGCCACTATCTCCATTGGCGAACCCATCAATGTGTTAGCCGCAGAGAAAAAAAAAAAACTGGTGGTTAATTCAAATTCACCGTCTTGGGTTTGTTAAATTCAGAAAATTTGAACTGGGTTTTATGAAATTGACATGGCTAAACACTCTAATTGTGCCTTGGGTTTGTTAAGTTGAGAAAATTTGAAATGGGTTTTGTTGAATTGGCAAGATTGAAGATAAGAAAGTGCAAAAATGTGGGGAGATAGCGGTGGATTTGAGATTGCACAGTGATAATGGGTATGTGTAAATGGTGGCTGGTGAGCTGAGAGAGGAAGAAGAAGGGGCATCGAAGGTAATATTCTTTTGGAGAGATTCATAACTTCCAAAAAGTTGAGGAATGAGTTATTGGGAGTCAATCCCAATTATGTGGGACCTTCTCACTCCCAATTTTTTAACCAAGCAACAAAAATTTAGAAATTGGGAATGAATCTCCTACTTTGGGTATGAAACCACCCAACCAAGCACCTTCCAAATGTTTTTCTCAATCAGCAGCCCTCCTACATTATTTTTGGGAATAAGATAACTTTGGGGGCCGCTTATTTTTGGGCCGGCTAAATGATGTTGTTGCGAGTGAGTACTCCTCTTTTGCCTATGATATCATGTTAGTGTTGACCCAACACCTTTAACCAACTCAAGATTTTAACACTTTTGTCCGCAACCTACTTAATTAATTTAATTTGTTTAAAGCCGTCTCAGCGATTACTACTTCCTAGTACGTGACCATTACCAAATGGTTGTCTAAACTTTCCCTCTTTGAATTGACATTATATGGAGTCCTTTTCTTAATTTTGAGCATCATTCACTTCAAATACGATTGTATACATCTCATTACTCTCTCTCTCTCTCCCAAATGGATGGTCTATTTTAGATTTTCATTTTTGTCTATTTAAATTTTTTTATGTTTAGTACAAATTGTACTAAAATTAAAATTCTAAATAGAACAATTATTTTGAACCAGAAAAAGTACCATATAATTTTCACCAATACCCTAATCGAATCCATAGTTACCCATGTATCAACGGACGGATTAGAAATGCTAGGACTCCTTATTTTACACTTGTGCGATTTAATTCAAAGTTGCTGGCAAGAAATGACAAGATATGTAATCCGCTAAAAACCTTTTGAGACCTCTTGTACAGTGAGAGAAAAGTTAAGGGACCGAAACTGCAATTTCTTGGAACGTAGTTTTCTCAAAAAAATGAAATTGATGTGATCGAATCAACCGGACGGAGAAAGCCCGTCGCCATCAGCGCGTTCAAAACACTCGCGGAAAATGGGGCCGTAGGCATAATTCCCTTTACCTTTCCTTCCGTCATAATTCTCCCACCTGACTAAAATCAGAATCTCCAAATCCCGGGGCCTTTTCCGTAATTTCACTCCACCTCACCGTTCTCCTCCTCCCTCCCTCCTCCCCTTCCTTCCCGCAAAGCCACGCTTCCCCACCTAATTCCCCATTCATTCAAAAATCAAAATTCAAAACCCTTCTTCTTCTTTCATTGCGCAATTTTGCAGGGGTTCGGTGATTTCCTCCCTGCAACAGCACAATGCCAGTGCTGCCATGGCGAGTTCTCTCACCCTTCCTCATTCTCTGTTTCTTTCTAACTTTTGCTGATTCGAGGCGTCAAGCGAGTGACTTCAATGCCACGCTTCCTGACTTGAAAAACTCTTCTTCTCCGGCGATGCCCAAGGTGGACAGCTTTGCTGAAATGATTGATAAAGCTTTGGATAAAGAGTTCAATGAAACTAATGAAGAATCATCTGGTTAGTGAGATACCGTTTGCTCTTTCGTGTGCTCCACTGATAAATGACGCCACATTACTGTTTCTCGTAATTATTCTTACTATGTTGTTTTTTTTCTGGAATCGCGACTTCAATTGTTATGACAACTCAGGAGAATTTTCGACTTCCGACTGTGTTCTGAATTCCGTGTTTTGCTTTTTCATTCGTGAATCTAGTCCAATGTATCTGTGATTTTAAAACGTGGCGTTCTCGGTAATTGTTCATTACTGTATGTAATTAGTGGCTCTGTCTTCCACAGAAGTTGATCATGGTAGCTTCAACAATAGCGTCGCTGGAGAGCAGGTTAGGGATTTGGTTGTTTATTTTCCAATTGATCTTATCATATGCTTAGATCATTGTTTGTTTTTAATTGCATATTTTCCCAAGAAATACAATAATAGTGTTACTCTCTATAGTCTACTGGAAACAATTATTGAAATGTGTAGATTCATTGTTGTAAATTGATTGAGAAAACTTGTTTTAGTATCCGATTTTATTCTCTATCAAATTGAAGTATCTGATTTTGAATGAGGAGTGTCATCTTGCTAATTCGTCTTGGTGTTTCTTTTCTGGTTCTGCATAAAATGGCAAATGAAGAATTAGAGTTTGGCATTATTGTTGCTTCTATCCATGGAACTTCAAGTTTTTTCTTGCACTTTGTAGAGATTAACGATCATCACTGATTTTGCTTCTTAAGATACAAAAATGTGCCTATTTTGTCCTTTGTTCAATCTGAATTTTACTTGCATTTTCCATTTTGTGTCATCTATGTGATTATTATCTTTATGCCTATTTAATATATGGATTGTAATGAAATTATTGTTCTGTAGGCAGTTCTGGAAACTGTTGCTAGAGTTCGGAACAAGAAAAACGAGACAAAGGAAGAGAAGTATGTTTTATACTGTACATACATTATAGAGCTACATGCCTTCTTATTCTCTTTGTCATCAAGTCCCCTCCGTTATTGAGAATTCTTAGTTAAAAAAAAAAAAGAGTTTGAAAACCAGTAGCGCTGAACTTCTAGACCATTTACTTACAGGTCATTTCAGTTGCATGATGTTTTCAACTTGGAGAACGAAAACCAAGCTGAAGATACACCAACGCTGATAGATAAGGAGGTACTTTAAACATAATTTTCAAACATTTTGGATCCTTCCGATATCTACATTTTTAGCCATGCTCCAATTTTATGTGTATGTAGCCTGAATTTTCTTTGTGGTTTGATGCTTATGTGACCAATGCACTGATACTTCTCAGGACAATGTCTTCATTATATCCAGTTCCAAATCAAAGATCCCAATACTGCAGTTAGACCTGAGGTTTTTTCTAATTCTTAGCACACATTTAGAAGATAACGCCCATGTAATTTAGCTGATTCCACTTTTTCAATTTATTACTTATTTGGCAGATTGATAAGAGATCTTGTTGTTGTGATTGTATCTGCGACTTGTGGTGGTATAGCTTTTGCTTGTGCTGGACAACCGGTGAGTATCTGGAGAAAATGTCAGTGTCATTGTTTAAGTATACCTGTCCGGATGATTTTAATCCTCTATTTTTCACCTCATTGTCTGGATATATTTACAAAACTTACCTCTATTACCTACTGTCTGAAATAATCAACTTCTGCCATTACTAAACCATGCAGGTCATAACTGGATATTTACTAGCAGGTTCTCTCATTGGACCTGGGGGTTTCAATATTGTTAGTGAAATGGTGCAAGTATGTAACTTTGATCCTTATTTTCTTACACAATACGCTGGTTCGTGCTTATTTCTTATGGTCTTACATACTTAATGGTCCTTCCTGTTATGGAACAAATTATCACACTTGTTTATATATCTCCCTTTCTCTCTTTCTCCATATATTTTACGATCATTTTCTTGTGGGCCGGGCAAAGTAGCAAACATGGTTTACTGCTATTCAGTACCTACAGGTGACCTGTTACCTGTGGTTGAACCTTATGGTTTGTCCAAAATCAAGTCAAATTAACTTGGTAGAAAAACAAGATTCCATATATCTCTCTGCTGACCTCTAGTACCGATAAAATTAGATGGTCAAACAGTTCCTTGTCAGATCTCATAGGAGATCACTCTCCTGTGTCTAAGAAAATGAAGCTGCTCCTGCAATTCATCTTAAATATACCTATAGTGCTCCTTACAACTGAGACAGTTTCATGCATTTGTTAGCTATCCCACTTTATATGCATGGATATATGGGTTCATTTCCTCTCTCACAATTCTATTGATTGCACCATGCAGGTTGAAACCGTTGCACAGTTTGGTGTCATCTTTCTCCTTTTTGCCTTAGGATTGGAATTTTCCACAGCCAAGGTCCTAATTTTTTCTTCATTTGTGGAGTTTTCCAATCAATGTAGAAGTTGCATTTACCCTTTGCTTCATTGCAGCTTCGTATTGTCCAAGCAGTTGCTGTGTTAGGAGGTTTGCTCGAGATTTTTCTTTTTATGTGCTTGTGCGGGATAATAGCCTCTGTGAGTTGTTTACAAATTTTTCATATCTTCTTATGGATGCTGCACAACTACTTGGGAAGCTTTCTTTATGTGTTTGTGTGTATTCATCTGTTATTCTCTGTTGGACAGTTGAATCTTTTCGCATTAAGTAATTAGAGGTCCTTTGGCATTTTCTTTCTCTTAATCTTGCTTGTACATATGGACACCATCTCTTGTAAATCTTGTTGCACCCCTTGCCACTTTCATTAAATCCTTGTTTAGAAGCTATAAATGTGTAGTGTTTATATTACTTTAGCTTTCCCCTACTTTTCATCTTATTGGGTTATTTCCTTTGCAGCTATGTGGTGGAGAAATATCTGAAGGGGTTTTTATTGGTGTCTTCTTGTCAATGTCTTCAACAGCTGTGGTACGAACCTTTCTTGTTCACCTATTCACAATTTCAATGCAGGAATCAGCCTTTATTTCTGTGTGCTAGTGCTGCATGTTGTTTTATTATATTAGTTTGTCTTTTACTATCATCTGAAACCATTTTTTTTATTAATGTTAATTTTGACACATCTTCAGCTTCTGATATGACTCCTGAACTTCATAGTTGCTTCCTAAACCAAATTCTTTACCTCCTCCTTTACATATGTGAATCCATCTTACGTACATATTAGATTATACTAATATTAATAAGAACTTACTTTTTCAATTTAATAGTTTTTGTGGCTATATTCGAAACCAGCCCTCTGCATTCATTAGTCAGACAGGCAGTTTGGCATGTTTAATATAGAAAAATTTCTGCTCGAAACATTTTGCAGTTCTGCATTAATTTTGTGTTTTCTCCAACGTGGGTTATTTCTTGGTTTCATTTCTCCTAGAAAATTCTTTTCTTACTGCTGGGCATTTCTGTTTGATACTGCAGGTTTTAAAGTTTTTGATGGAAAAAAGGAGTATTATGACAATTCATGGTCAGGTCACAGTTGGAACCCTGGTTCTCCAGGTCTGTATCTATCGGGGAAAAAGACCAGTAGCATGTTAAATTTGTCTAGGGGAAACAATTATTTCTCCGCCGTATGTTTACTTATATGAACAGCAGAACTAGAATACCTCAGTTACTTCAAAATTTTGTCTTGTCTTCTGCGTTTTATACAAATGCATGATGCGGCTTTGACTCTTCTCATGTTCCAGGACTGTGCCGTGGGTTTGTTGTTCGCATTACTTCCTATTCTTGGTGGTACATCAGGGCTGCTTGAGGGAGTAATTTCCATGACTAAAGTGTGAGTCAGAACCCCTTTCAATGTCTGTATTGTTGACATGTTAGTCCAAATGTTGGCATGATACTAAGTTCTGGAGTCTTTGATCCCCTTTTACCTTTGCGTCTTTAAAAATTTAGCAGTAATGTAGTCCTGAACTGAGATTGGAATCTTCTAGTTCTGGAATGATGATGAAATCAAAGAGCAACAATATTATTTGGAAAACTTCATTTCTTTTGCCAAAGGTTCCCCGAGAGGTTTTATTTTATATAATTTTATTGCATCTGTACCAGGCCTGAAGTTATTTTAAAAGGAAGTAACTTGTTTATCTACTTTAACTCCTGTCGTTTAAAGCTATTATTATTATTATTATTATTATTTATTTATGAGAGTTTTGCTTTGATTGATTGGTTTTCATGTAGTTGATTAAGGTAGGTGTAAGACTATAATAATCGACTCAAGTTATTCAATGAGAGGTATTCAAACAGCATGTTGCGTTTATGCTTCAGAAAAGTTTTGCTCAGCCTTCTATATTTTTTATTATTAGGACTCTTTTCTATTTTTTTCCTTTTTTTTTTTTTTCCTTTTTGTCTTTTTCTGGGTATGCTTTACATATTTGAAGAGTGGATTCTAGTCAAGAATGATGGAAGTCCTTGCTGGGCCCTGTTTTGGATAAATCAAACCATGTTATTTACTATGTGCCCTGTGTTATTTTCTTTTTCCTTTTTTAGGTTGGTGATTTTAGCTACATTCATGACCATCCTGTTAATACTTACCCGCACATGTATACCTTGGTTTATGAAGCTGATGATAAGCCTCTCATCAAAGGTGATTTTTCTCTTAATTCGCTGATGTGTGACTTCTTTCCTATTAATTCCCTTGTTGACATTATTCCACAATAACCTCTGCAGACTAATGAGCTTTACCAGTTGGCAGCTGTGGCGTTTTGCTTATTAGTTGCTTGGGTTTGTCTCTTCTCCCAGTCATTGAGTAGCATTTCCCTGTTCAATTTTAACTTGGTGTGGAGTATAACTATCAAAGTTCAGCACTGCTATCTTCAATGTTTGCAATTGTTTGAAAATGTAGATAACTATGTCAACATGCCCTATGTCATTCATGCCTCTAAATGCGATTATGTGATGTTTTTTACAGTTTGCAGATTCTCCCAGTAAGATCCTGAAACATAAGAGCTTGCATGGGAATATTTAGAACAGAAATCATTTTTTAACTCTTTTTTTTTAAGTGATTCATGGCCTGTATGTGAAATGAATAATTGTGTAGTGTGTCATATCAGTGTAGTGATAAGCTGGGCTTGAGCCTTGAATTGGGATCCTTTGCGGCTGGAGTGATGATTTCAACCACTGATCATGGTCAGCACACTCTCGAACAGGTAAACTATCTAGCTGGCCAATACTATGTATATTTTTGTTTCGTTGCTGTTGCCTGTGAATCTGATCTATCATTATTAAAGGGGGTTTAGTTTTTGAATTTATTGAAGATTAGACGCTTAACGAGCAGGCGGAAGATAATTATTTAGGAGCCTGTAATACTAGAATCATTATACTGAAGGATTGTTTCGGATGGACAAAATGCACTTTTTGTCCCCCAGCTTTTGGAGGTAGCAAGATCGAGTCACCATGAATTTTCAATTGGCAAAAATAGTCCCCTAAAATGTTTTTCCCGTCAATTTTGGTCGATTTAACGGAAATTTTGAAGAGGTAACGGTTTGTGTCAACTTTCCGTCAATTCTCAATTTTTATATTCATTTATACACTGTTTGTGGGACCCACCAAGTTTGACCCCAAAAAAAATTAATAAAACAAAAATGAAAAAAAAATGAGGAACCTTCTTTTGCCGCCGCCGTCGTCAAATCTACCCCCAAATCTTCTCCTTCACCCTCTGCCTTTTTTTCTCTCTTTCCGGCACAGATCCAATCGTGTCCAATGGCGATAGAGAAATCAGCCAAAATTTTCAAGTGATGCTACACATGGATGGGGTCGAGGGTAAAAATAACATCTTCTTGCTGTTTTTACTACCTACTCTTTCTGAGCAGGCCTACATGGAAAACAGGAGCAAAATCCCAATAGGTACCATAAACCATAAATGAGAATTATGGGCTTGAAGTGTAGTGTCCCCATGGAAGATGGCATATTCGGGCACAATTGGCTTGTTGCATAACTTCATTTGAACCAAGCTAGTTGCAGAACTGAACTCACTGGACTTCAGCTCATCTTCAACGCAGAGTTCTGGATTTCCCTGCAACTTCAGCTTTGTCCCAATTTGAGCCATAAAGTTTGCAGTGAAAGGAACTTTACCGCTCAAATTGTTGTTCTCAAAGTTCAATTCGCTCACAGACTCCAATGAACCAAACTCTTCAAGCACTGTCCCTTCCAGCTTGTTGTTATCAAGGCCAAGGTAACACAGATTTCTCAAATTCACAGCCATTGAAGCAGGGATAGTTCCGATAAGACCATTGTTCGAGAGCCCCAAACCCAAAACACTCCCTGTATTTTTCCATATTTCAGGAATACGCCCTCCCAGGAAATTCCCATTCAAGTACACCCTTCAAACTGGGCATTTCTCCCAAGAACAGAGGCATGTCAAAGTTGCCGAAACGATTGTAACTCAGATCCAGAAACTCAAGTCTCTTCAAAGCCTTTAGACTTTCTGGGATTTCACCAGAGAACCCATTAAAGCTCAGGCCAAGCTTCAATAATTCAGTGGACCCATTTCCCTACGTTCCAGGAACACTGCCCATCAGCTGATTCTGACTCAATTCAAGAACCAGATTTTTCAACTTTCCAAAAGTAACCGAAACTCCACGTTGGTCTGGATTTGGAGGTTAATCGTGATAAAATCAGCGGGGTAAGTGTTGTTGGTGTTGATGCCTCCGAATGTGGCGGCAGAGAGGATCACGTAGTGGAGTTTCTCGGTGAAGAAGAAGTCGTGGACGGCGAATTGATTGGTGAGATCAAGGTCGGAGTGGGTGCGGAGGAGGAGGTTGGAGTAGCCTAAAGATTGGAGCTTCTGGACGACCGCAGAACCGACTAGCCCGCAGTGGCCGGCCACGTAGATTTGACGATGGCGGCAGCGAAAGAAGGTTCCTCTTTTTTTTTTTCGTTTTTGTTTTATTATTTTTTTGGGTCAAAGTTGGTGGGTCCCACAAACAGTGTATAAATGAATATATAAATTGAGAGTTGACGGAAAGTTGACACAAACCGTTAACTCTTCAAAATTTCCGTTAAATCGACCAAAATTGACGAGAAAAACATTTTAGGGGACTATTTTTTGCCAATTAAAAATTTATGGTGACTTGATCTTACTACCTCCAAAAGCTGGGGGACGAAAAGTGCATCCGGTCCTTTTCGGATTATTTTATTTCTGAAATTTTTTTAGGGGAACTTGGCAATTTGGACCTTAAAATGGTTTTCTCTCCATTCGCTGGTGGAACCTATCCTAAATTCAGCTATTGGCTTATGAAGAATTATTTCAGTTTATCAGTTCAGAATTTCGTTGCAGGAACTTTTAGTTTCATTGCATAAAAAAAGCTTATGATCTGGGTTTGTTCTCAAGAGCGTTGTCGTCGTTTGTTGTTCAAGTATTTGGAAATTTCTTATAACTAGTGATCCATTTCCAAATCATCACTGATTTGAGTGGGTGTCATGCATGAAACCATCTAATTTGGGTGGGTGTCATGCATGCTAGTATGTCAACAAGAAACCATCTCATGGCTATGCTGTTATCTCCTTTTAATTGTTTCTTGTGCTGTCTGTGTTCTTTCATATAGGTTGACATGGTCTAGCAGATAGTTACTTCAAACTGATTCCTCTGTACCTCATTTTCTCTCCTATTTGGCTTTATTCATCAATTGTAGTTCATTACTTCGCGTTGTAGTTTTTTTAGGTATAGTCCTTACATCTGAATTGTGTTGTCAATCTTGTTTACTTGAAAGATGAAGATTAGTATAATTTACCCCTTTTCTTTACTATACATAGTCCCAGGGACAAGATTTAGGAAGATTAACTGCTATTTACATATTTTTGTGTGGTTATGATCTTTCTTTGGAGGACATAATATGATGCTTGATTGCATTTTGCATTTAGGTTGAACCTGTCCGAAACTTGTTTGCTGCTCTTTTTCTCGCCAGCATTGGAATGCTTATTCACGTGCATTTCCTATGGAATCATATCGACTTTCTACTGGCTGCTGTTATTTTGGTGATTGCTGTCAAAACAATTGTGGTTGGAGTGGTGGTCAAGGGGTTTGGCTATGGTAGTAAGACATCAATTCTTGTAAGTCCTTGCTACTTCATGTGAATCATGGTGGCAGCATTTAGTTTCTTTATACTTCCAAGTGATTGATCGAGTTTGGCCTCGGTTTATTTCAAGGTTGCGATGTCCCTAGCCCAGATAGGGGAATTCGCTTTTGTTCTTTTAAGTCGTGCCTCAAATCTTCATCTGATCGAGGTATTCCTTTGTATGACTGTTTGAGCTAAATATTTGTGACTGTTATACTTTTTGTATTCCATCAGAATCAACTCATTCTTGGAGGGAAATAGGAAAAAGTACTTGGCATTTCTTTGAATGGCATTTAGCTGAATGAGACATTTCTTTTACTTTTTTTATTAGGGAAGTGGGAGCTTTTGGTGCTTGTTCATCTTTTCTTGTGTCTGTTCCGTTCATCTGTGGTTAAGAGAATCCTTTTGTTGCAGGGTAAATTGTACATGCTGCTCCTTGGCACTACAGCTCTGAGCTTGGTCAGTCCTCTAAATCATTCAGCATTCCTTCCCTTCACCCCTACCCCCCCCCCCCCCCCCAAAATTCAATGTTTCTATCATCATTGTCAATTTAAAAATCCAGTTACTCTGTATTGATCTGTAACTAATGCAATTTTATTAGTTCTATACATTCTTGAATGACTTTTGACTCTTTACTCTGTTCCGAGGGTGTTACATTTCTGAGTAGTTATCCTAGTTATGAATTTGTCGAACTTACACTCGAAAGATATTAGATTTATCTTTTCCTGTCTCCCTTTTCATGAGATTCCCACCTGGCTTTGTATTCTAATTTCTCAGTTATTGGCATTGAATGCAGTGAAATTATATAAGGTCAGAGTTTATAATGATCTATGTCTAGTTCAGTTTCCGGATAGTGATGAATATACCCTGAGCTTTATTGCATATGGAGATATGACTAGTGTACCTATCAATTTTAATCTTCGCCTAACATATTTTGGTATTTTCCCTACTGCACTGAAAATTGCATTAACTGGAGTGCTTCTACTGATGTAAATGTTTTTCTGTAAATGTGTTTCAAATTCATAGAATTATGTAGTTTCTAATGGTAAAAGAAAATGCTTGTACCCCCTTTCATCCGTGAATTGAACATTTTCTTTTGCCGATGCCACTTAAAGGGAAAAAGGCTTGCTGTTGTAGCTGTTGTTGTTGTTGTTGTGGTTGTTGATATATGTATCCTTTCAGTTATATTTCACTTTGTGCTAAGAAATGCTTATAAGCTGAGCATGCAGGTGACTACACCATTGCTATTCAAGCTGATTCCTGCTGCAGTGCACCTTGGAGTGTTATTAAGGTGGTTTTCGCCTGACATTTCTACTGAGGTAAAACTTTGTACTGTTTTAATCTTTTGTCATACTTGAATCTCTTTATACATGCTGTGGGATCATTTGGATTCTTTCTGTGAGCTCTGCTTGAGTGAAGAGTTTTGAGCTGTCTTCAATATTTTTTTCCCTCCCAGATTGGATTAAAAGGTGATGTCCTGCGTGCTGAGAGTGCTAAAGTATTACTCTGATGGTCCAAGGATCACATGATTCATGATATAAAACATGAACCAAAATAATCAAAAATCAGACTTATCTTATCACCTTCTTATGCTCTGGGGAACAGGTTCTGAAGAGTGCAAAGGAGGTAGATTGACTTAAAAGATATTGGATCATGGTAATGGAGCTTCTGAAGTTTATCATGATGACGACTGCCATGATGTACATCGTCATTATGATTTTAAGTCCTTGAACAGTAGACAATCCGTATATGCTAGGCTGCAGTTAAGTTCTAATATTGTACATGTATATAGGGAGGCGTGTAAAAGATCTGGTTTAAGCCTGCAATAATTTTTGCTCATTCTTTTCATACCGTTGTCTGCATAATATTCTTTTCTTAGGTATATATTGGCCCAGGTAACTACAAACAGAGTTTAACCAGAAATCAGATGTATTCTTTGGCCTCCATGTAAGTGAACATGCACCGATTTTAGTTGCATGAAAATGTATCTTTCATGTAGTTAGGTGAATAGTAATTGCGACACCTTTTTAACGCAACAGTTCGCTAGCTAAGTTGGTAAGGACCCCTCTATCTTTTTTAAGAGGTGATTGCGGCTTTGAGATTTTCAGTACTGTTTTTCTGGACAATATATCCTTGGTGTTGTAGGATGTTCACTAGGACATTTTAATTTTGATTTTTACTGGAATGGATTGTGGTCGCCTTAGGACAGAGATTAACAGATGTCTCTGTTCTTGAATCTCCATGGTGCTTGAAAAAGAATTTGAGAGGCAAATAAGAGAGAGTGTTCCTACTTCCACGTAAGCTGCGTGGTGGTTTTGTTTGATCCATACCTTTTTCAAATCCTTTGCGGATAATGTATACTACCTCCGTCCCATAAAAAAAGTCCACGTTGAGTTTTCAAATTTATACTAAAAACAATACAAAAGTCAAAACTCAATGTGGACTATTTATTTGGGACGGAGGGAGTACTACATTATACAGGTGATGGATGATTTATGTGTCCCTCTGACAATCATTCAACAACGATAAATGTCTTTGTTGTTACATCAACTTTGTCTTCTGGGTTCTCTATTACGACTAGTAGCAAGATGTTGGGTGTCTCTACTCACAAGTCCCGCCATGAGGACGAATGAGGCTGGAAATCACTTTCCGGACCATCGAGCATTGATGATGCAGCGTGATTGCAGACCGCCAAAAAAAAAAAGAAAAAAAAGCCCTCGTTGTTTGCTTTAGAAACCACAACTGTCCATTTTTTAAAAAGGCTATCATGGAGTATCATAAGGAGTATTTGCCCATTAAGAATGATGTCTCTCTGTGGTTTCCACAAAAATTTATCTTTGGCTAGGGTAAGGTCAAGGGTTCCTGTCCGATTTCGTAAGGTGGAAATCCTGTTCGGGTTCGTACTCTAAAATTTTCTACTAATTCCACCCTGCAAGACATATGATGGAAGTATGAGGTAAATATGAAGGTTTCTTAACAAGGGTTGTGTATGTATTGAGTGGATGAGATGTTATTAGTATCTGGAATCGCAGGAGGACGCAGTTAGGTGTCAATGCGATGCAAGTCATCGTGACGTCGTCTATGGTAATAATGAAGTATATACGAGGACGTATATAGTACTTTCTTTCTATTTCTGGCGCTTATGCCCAAAGAGAAAAAGGTTTTATAGGCTTTTTACATTTCCAGGACCCTCACCCTCCGACCCCTTTCTATTCTGGTTCACGGGTTTTAATTTGTTTCTCTGTTCGTCTAGAACTAATATAACGATTTGTGGTCCCCTTCAAATGTCTATTTTTCCTTTATAAGTATGAATCATGACTATACGTCAGTGAGATTCAGTGTCCAAGTATAGAGCAGCGTCTCAAATAAATTTTCCCAGCTGTTCTGTGTGTCTTGTCCCTCCTAGTATTTGCCAAAGACAGTAAATGTGCATATCCCATGCACATAGAGTCAAATCAAGTCGTGCTCCTGGTTAATTAGTTAGTACCCCTCTGTCCCGAAATTATTGTACAGTTCAACTTTCATTTGTAGTTCAAACTGTATTAAAAGTAAAATCTCAAACTGAATAAAAATTCTGGGACGCAAGAATAATACTCTATACGCTCAACCCTTATTGTGCAATAAAACATGTAATTATGGAAGAAAAACAAGTAAATAGCTAACAACCAGCAACCCGATTAATGAAGCATATAAGTGTGATTTGCAGGTTAACAATCCTGAAATCTCGAACACGCCGAGCAAAAGATCAAAAACAAATAGCACTATGACGGTTGTTTATATAATGTATAACAAAGCTAACCAGTTAGATTTTCACCAGTTACAACCTTATTCTCTCCTGTCAAAAGTACGTTCTCATCTGGAGATAGAAACCTCGATATCTTCGTTCGGAAAAAAACGTGTTGTGATACCGAAGTGACAGCAGTAAATTAAAGCAGCCAATTAAAAAGGGCGAATCTACCTAATGTTATTAATCAAATGTTATTACAAAATGGTTCAGTTACTATATAGGAAATGAAGGGCTTTTATTACATGTCTGGACCATTTTTCAAAAAAAAAAAAAAAGCTGATGAAAACCTAATTCTCGGAGACAATTTAATGGCTGCATTTGCATTTGTATTTGCTCGATCGGGACCATTTTAAAGTCTCGACGACGAAGACCTCTCTGTCAAGTGTGTCAAGCGGCAAGAAACCCAAAAACGTGTCTGATTTTCGATCATAATTCGCAAAGCTGTGATGGGTCGTCGTCATCATATAAATTCAAATTGGCTCTGTGTCTTCTCTCATTGTACGAAATCAGCCACAATTCTACATAAATTCAAGCACATTCCTTTGTTCTCACCTTCTCATCCTTCACGTTTTTTTTTTAATTGTTTTCTTGTTTTGCTGTCGGTATACTGTTAAAAAGTTCGTTTTATCAATGATCAAACTCCGCCCCCCGCGCACTGTAAACTCAAGTATGCAAGTAAAAAAAAATTAATTAATATCCATAAAAAAGCAAATTATAAGTAGTCCCTTTTCTGTCTCAAAACTAAGTAAAAATTTTTTTGAGACAGGGAGTATAGCTTATTATTGGAATCAGCCGGGGGTGGATTGTTTTTTACCGCAGGAGTAGGGTTGAAACTTGTTCTCGCAACAATTCAATACAAACAAACTATTTAGAAAAAAAACAAAAAACAAAAAAGGAGAACAAGGTAAAGTGATTGGTTTTGTGCATATAGGATGGGAAATTTCAAGCTTGATGCATATATAAAATGAAGCCAACTAGCTATAGGAAGCTAGTTAGCATGGTACATGACAGGATGAAGCATGACCAAAGACATCGCAATCAAACTCAAAAGGATATAGTTAGAGAATTATGGTTTGACATGATTGAATATCCATCCATTTAATTGGTTACTCCAAAAAAGAAATATGACATGATTGGGATAAGGTATCCTACTAGGTTTGATTACGACCTTATTGGCCAATTTGGATCCATTGGCATTGAAAGAGAGATTGCTATAAATATGAATACATATAACTATGTATAAATATATGACAGTACCGTAAGATAAAATGTATATATATATATATATATATATATATATATATATATATATATCCACCGATCCACATGATGCTCTGACTCTCTCCTACGGAAAAAAAAAAAAACTACTAGAAATGTGAAGTTTTGTCGGGATCGATCGATCAGCTGGAATAATAATCAATTATAATGTGGTTGGATATATTGCTACAAAACAAACCTACTATTTCTCTCCCTTTCCTCCGGAAAGATCATTTATGTGTATGAATTGTGTATCTATACAGGTCCACTGTCTCTCGAAAGTTAACTGACAATGTCCTAGCAAGCACCAAATATTAATGATTGCTTGAATGGAATTTTTTTTTATTTTTTATTTTGGGGGTCTAATTTTTATTGTAACCAAATCAATAAATTTGAAGAATTGATTATCCGTCACAAATATAGAGACGTCAATAATTTAGCTGATGTCTTTTGATAATTGCAAGATATTATTACTTGTACATGTCTATTCATTATGATTTTAGTTATGGTAGAGTTTGGATCCGTCTCCCATATCTAATGACTGATAACTCAAACAGCCGGATTATATAAGCAAAATCTGCATTAATTCTCCATATGAATATACTCCATTTTGGGATCATGATCGAGAGACCTTGAGGTGAAGATGAACTGGTAGTACTATAGTAGTACTCATGAAGTTTTGGATTTTAGCACATAAAGGAATAATATAGTACCGTATGTATATCATATTATATGATTCATATATCATGCATCAAGCAATTTCTCCAATGCCCAACTAGTTTTATTTTCATTAAATTCGTAGCATTTAGTGTCTCAGTGAGCCCTACTTTTTTTTTTTCTTCTTCTTCTAGTGGTTTCTTTGAGCACAGTAAGAAAACGATAGGAATGCCCAAAAGAGCCAATCTAATAAAATCTCTGTCAAAATCGTCCGATGGACCCATGCATGCATGTATTTTACTACGTACGCTGGATTGGGTACGTAACGTAAGTGGCGTGTTTTCTATAATCGGATGAAAATTAAAGATTTAACTTGGATATGTCAATATGAGTGGAGAGATCCAAGTATTTTACATTTGGTGTTGTGGGAGATTTGGGAATCGGATGAGATATTTTGACTCAGTGCCTGTAACAAATTGTTCATCGATGATAATAATTGTTTATGGAAATCAAATACTCACTCTATCGAAATAATTGTCCAATTTAGATTTTTATTTTGACAGAATTTATATTAAATGCGAAAATCATATTAACAGTTACTTTTGGGAGGAGGGAGTATTATAAATAATTAATTTTATCCTTCAGTTACAACACTTTAGAGAACTTTTCAAAAAAATTTGTTCCGCTAAATATTTTTGTCCAGCTACTCTGATTGTTTTTTTGAAAAAGTAGCTACGCTTTTTTTTTTTTTTGACATATTTGCAAGGTGTTTACCATCGGTAACAATGACTAATTCCCTCCACTGAATTATAAGCATCTGAATGGATAGAACAGTTGGCCAAAATATCTAAGGTTATTTCATGCCCATAGCGAAATTCGAACCGATACAACATAAAAGGTGGCTACTCTAATTGTTAGTATAAGAGAATATCCTCTTACGTGCATATACAGCATAGAAGGTGGCCTTTTTTTTTTTTTTTTTGACTTTTGTTGAACAGTTTATATATATAATAAATAGGATGGAGTTTAATCCTATAGGAAACAGTTTCGTTATAGCTATAGTGACCAATATTTTATTCTTTTCAGTTACATGCTCTCGATCGCCAACTTTGGTGATACACGAATTATTTGATGATGATGTTTTGCTTATGTCATTTTTGCTGTCAAAATTATATCCATCGATCACCGGATCGTGATCTTTAATTAATCAACCATCAGAGGGGAAAATAATTCATTACAAATTATCGATTGTGAGATACTCCCTCTGTTCTAAAATTATTGTCTAGTTTGAAATTTTATTTTTAATACAATTTGAAGTAAAAATGAAAATCCAGACAGAATAATAATTATGAGACGGAGGGAATACTATTAGCTACTCTATTTGACAATAAACACCGAGACGTAACGTTTTCGACTTCATCATTCTCAGATACGGTTAGGCACAATTCTATCGTATCTTGGACTTCTTTTTTTTCTTTTTTCATGCAATCAATTTCGGAATTGTACAATGCAAAGATTAAAAACTAACTCTAAGTTTGAATCATTCAATTCCTTGTCTGATTTTCAGAGAACATGTTATTGATCTCGAAGACACCAATGTCTTCAAGTCACGCGTGAGAACAATTTTTGACTAATTCAGTTTAATAGATGTTAGGACCTAATCAACCAACCTCGGAAGTCATATACATAGGTTTTAATTTTAGTAAAAACTTCCCCCAATTCACGTCTTGGGACAACCCCTTTTTCTCCAAACATCCAAACCCCTAGAAAAAATCGATATTGTATAATAAAGTCATGATGCGCTTGAAAATGGCACTTTAGTCAATTAATGTTTCTTTATTTAAATTTCGTATGAGTCAAATAATCAGCACGTACGAAGTCTTAGTACTAGAGTATGGATATAAATTTTCAATCAAATGGTTTTACTCATGAGCTATGAGTCATAATTTTGAGTAGGTACGTAGATATTGAATTTAGAATTTATGGCTTAACTAAATCTAAAACAGAGCGCAGGAGCGAACAGTTGGACTGATCAGACACACATGTCCAGATTAAGTAGTAAACCGAACTAAATCATGAGTGTGTCTTTGTTTTCTGAGACAGATTAAACATCTTGAGCGAAAGCTTTTATAGTACTAACATTTCTTATTCTTCTTAAGTATATATGTAGTAGTTAGATTTTACTGATGTTTGAAAATCATGTAAAATAAATTTAATTATTTATATAGACTATAATCTTATAAGCAGAATATTTCTCATGTCTTAAAATTATTGTCCAGTTTGGAATTTCACTTTTAGTATCATTTGAACTAAAAAAATGAAAATATAAACTGTACAATTAATTTTGGAACGGAAGGAATATTAGTTTTAGAATACTCTAATTCTAATAACATACACATATATACATCTAACCCTTTTCTTTTTCTCCCATCCATCTTTGGCAATAACCATGAGGTGTCGTAATGCTAATTTAACCATTTCTCATAAATTTATTCCCCACTAATAATTTCTCTGCATACACGTGCTTCAAATTTATTTTCTGAGTGGATATTTGAATATAATGTTCTACTATACATTAATAGATATAGTACATGATCAGTTTACATAAAAAGTGTAATCTGAATTCGTTTAAAATAATATGGTGGTGAAAAGTATTTTGTAACAGTAGACATACATTGGTTTCAAATTTAATGATACCGATATTTTGGAAAGCAACCGTATTGGTCAACAGTTGTCTACGTACGACTACTACGGCTACTCTCTCTGCCTCATTTTTTGGGCATTTTTTCTGCACGTAATTTAAACTCCTACTACGTTAGTAATTTAATCAATTTTTTGTCAGAATTCATTTATTTCTGATGGCGAACCTTCTGATTTTGTGCTTTTCACTTTTCAGTGACAATCATGTTGCTAATAAGTTAATAATACTACGTCAACGAATCAGACGAATTAATTCTTGGACGTCAACTAAAATAAGATTCAATTCGGGGCAAATTACGAATTTAAATCCAAAGTACGTACATGTAATGATGTAACTTAGTTAGGCATATTAGTTGATATGTAGGGCTTCATTATTGGTTTCTAGAAACTGATTTATGTATCTCATTTTACAAACGCGATTGTTATAATACTTGTGAAAACAGTCATTCTGTCTTAGTAGTACAGTCGTATCTTTATATATCGGTAACAAAATTAACGTTCTTTGTCTTATATTACTAAATCATGGAAAAATAAGTTGTAAATATAATCGGAAGGAGTCCTGGTTTATACTCTTAACGAATCAAAGATTCGAATAGTGGGAATAACAAAACGGAATCTCATTTCCATGTATTCATACTAAACTTCAACTGCAAATAGTCAAAATACAAATAAACGAATACAAATTAAATTATTTCTTTTGTTCCAAGTTTATGGAAACTAATTGGTGGGAGCAGTAATACACATTACATGAATTTGATTGAATCTTCAATTGACGCCAAAATGGTATCTTTCAGCTGTCACTACTACTTTTTTTTTTTCTTTTTTTTTGTGGTTGGTACAAAGTCAGATTACACTGATTGGTCCGATTAGGACCGATGCCGGAGTTCGACCAGTGGTTGTTGTTTTTGGGCCGGCCAGTGTCAGCTCCAGGTTAGGAAGGCCGCCGCTACTAGTACCGCCACCGCCGGTGGCCGTGGTGGTGGTGGTGGAAGAAATAATAATATTAGAAGGTGATGAAGACTTTGTCGAAGATGGTGATGATGATGAAATGTTGAGATTGTTTGCCCAGAAACCCTCTTGAGATTTTGTAGTTCCTTCTTGGACACTATTGATGTTTTTATTAACATCATTCGAATCGAATGAATTGAGGTCGAGCAAAAGTGTCACAGAAGTACTCCGATCATGTCGGTTTAAAGGTGGATTGTCATCCTTAGTAGTCAGCTGAAAACCCGAACCTAAACCCTCATGATGATGATTATGATGATGAGAAGAATGATTGTTCTTGTTGCTCTCAACCTATTCAAGTTGATCATTAAAATTTGTAATGTTTTTAAAAAATTAATCCTTAAAACTTTCTGGATATCATAACAGTTTAAATAGCAGAATTCTTATTTAGAGACGGAAGAACAGTAAAAATATATAGTATTATAAGAAATTTGAAAAGATTGAAAGAATACGAACCAAGTCAAATAGGCTGGAACGTCTTTTTTTCTTGGCTAGACTGGCTTGTCTGAGAAAATATTTTTGAGCATGACTAGCAACTTGAGTTGGAGTCCTTGTAGTCACAAAATTCCTTGAAATTCCCCTCCAATCTCCTTTGCCTAACTTCTCAAGTCCTACCAAGAAAGATCGGTGTTCTTCTTCCGTCCATGGAACTCCTATAACATCATCATCATCATCATTCAAACAAATTAAGGTTACATTTTTGCAAATTAAGGAAATTAAGAAACTCATAAAAATGAATACTCTTTAGTCACACGACCAAAGTTTATGATTATTTTAATTCGATAAAGTGAATTGTTACTATTTTTTTAGACATGATACCCAATTATATGCCCCCAAAAAAAAATAAAAAAGCAAAAAGGAATGAATAAGAATCTGAATTAGGAAAACATACCTTTCTTTCTTTCTTGTAGTGGGCGACCCAAGAGGCCATCAGAGAGATAACCATTGATAGAAATCTTGTCACAATTTTCATGAATGGAGAGCCTTGAAGAAGTCAGTGAAGATGAAGGTGAAGGAGATGAAGCCGGAGACGATAAGCAATCCAAACTGAAACTCTTCTTCATGTGGATATTGGAATTACAAGAAGAAGGATTAGACACATCAAGTTGTACACCAAACAGCCTCAAACCAGCAGCCATTGTGGCAGTAGAAGAAGCACAACCACCTCTATAAGTGGTACAAGTTCTTGAGTTATGGCCTATGTTCCCACAATGCGAGCATTTCCTGCCCATTTTCAACCAGACAGATTATATGCTTTTTCTGGCTCTCCAATTCTCCACATCAACTTCTTCTAAAGATAGAAAAAAAAAGGAAGAGAGATCTCAAAAAAAGAAGAAAGAGAAAGAGAGAAAAGGGTTCTCAACAACTTTGCCAAATGATGATGAATTTATCCAATTATATATATGTAGTGATGTCTATCAAAATATAAGGTGGGGTTTTCTGGAAAAAAAAAAATTGGATGCATACACACCAAGAGAGAAGATGATTGGATGGAGATTGTTTTTTTGTGTTGATAAAATTTTCCAACTTGGGGGGTTCTTACCTAAGAAAACCAGAAAAATAAAACCCTTATCTCTCCCACCAATTATATAATACTAGTTTACTATTTACTACTTTTTTTTTTTTTCTTTAAAGAGAAAAGGAGATGTCAAATTAGAAGTGTAGGAAAATCAAGGGCTTATCCTAGATAAGATATGTATGTTTACCATTTTAATGTTTGGAGGGACCCTTGAGTGATATGCTTTTCTACATGTTAGACAAAATAACAATTAGAAAATTAAAACATGCACCAAATACAAACAAAATGGTATGAGTACTCTCTCTCTTTCTCTTAACACTTTGATTAAGTTAACTTATATTTGATTTCCTCTTTAACATAAACTAAACCTGTGATTGGTTCCTACAGCACATTCATCCACTTCTTCACATTAGTTATATGCATGTCATCAACAATTTAGGCCATTATTATTATTATTATTACATAGATTTATGCAGCACTATCTACTGATCATTTTGGAGGGGAAAAAAAAGAGAGACGATATTGGTGATCTTTGAATCTTGATTATATGGTTGTAAAGTACCGATAATGCTAAAAAATTGTAACCATGGCAGGATGTGGTTCAAATCTTAAAGGGAATAACCATAAAAATTCAGAAAGATTGATGACTGAATTCTCAAATCTAACTAAATTGATGAAATGAATTGGTCGTTTATTTAGTTTTAATTTGTCATCATCAATCGATATTTTTTTTTTTTAAAAAAAATCACTATTGAAACTCGAAATGTTAGTTATAAGAACACCAATAATTGTGATCTTATGGCGGATCTCCAAGGTCTCACGCAATATACAGAGGTTTAAGTTTCGGTTAAAACTTGAATTAATGAATATATTTAATCTCATTTCGAATTTGTAAGAGATATCCTGTGCTTCTTTCCTTTTCTTTTTAATATATAATTGTGTAGAATTATCTGTGAATAATTATTCTTTTGATCATGTGGAATAAAATTAAAGTCGTTCCAACAAGGGGGAATAAAAGGAGAACATTTATTCATACATGTAATCTAGGCTAATGAATCATTGGATTTTGATTCTTTATATGTATAATTAGCATATAAACAATTGCTATATAATCATTGTACGGGTAGCTAGTTGCTTTTATTTATTTTTAAATCAGCTACATATACAATCGAACGATAATTGATTCTCACTCATCCTAGTACGTACCCTTGTCTTGACCAACTCTTCTTAACTTTTATTTTTTCAAAAAAAATAAAAATTAAAAAAATACAATTAATATTTGAAAAAGGTTCACAACGTTAATGATGATTACCTACCTCGTTTGGTGCAACTAGAAAAGAAAACAATATCTGAATATTTGAGTATGTAGTAAAGTAAGAAGACCAACGAAGTGCAAAGTTAGTGAAGGACTCAAAAGTGTATTTATCATGGAAATTAATTTAATGATAAGAATAATTATGATAGTACGTTTAATGACTTATGTGGAAACCATCGTACCCATTTTGGTATGGATCCTCCAATGGCTCTGAAGTGGTGGTTGAATGACTTGAAAGTGGGAGAAGAAAACTCTCTCTTAGATCATTAACAAAAAATAAAAAATAAAAATCTTACTTTGAAAGTTACTATTAAATGATAATAAAAAGGAATGAAATTATTAAAAGTTTATAACTTAGATATCAAGATTAACTAACTATATAATAAAATTTCTTCTAACAGTACTATGATTTAATAAAAATCGCCATGCTTCTACATCCATACATCTCTAAAGTATTACTGTTGATTTCAACTGTTATTCAGAACAATAAATACGAAGATAATCATTTTTCGAATCAAAAGAGTATTACTCTCTTGATTTGAAGCAGTAATTATGAGTAATGAAACTTTCAAAAGACAAGTTAATCTTAACAAAAATACTTGTTTTTTATATATTATTACTCCATCTGTCCCAAAATTATTGTCAGATTTCACTTTTAGTATAATTTAAACTAAAAATGAAAACCCAAACTGGACAATAATTATGGGACGGAGGGAGTAGATCATTTTGGAGCTTGGAAAGCAACCTTATTCTTCCATTCGAATTTCCTAGGAACAAGGCGATAAAAGTCAGCAAGTTTTTTGTTGGTCATGGAGGAGATTTCTTGGTGGAGTTATGAAAATATGATACTACTAATTCTTTATGGTCGTGTTGAATGGTTCAATATGTCTTATGTTGTTCAACTAAAATATTTGGAAGAGTGAGACTACTTCGACTGATCTTCAATTAAATGAATTTGCTTAGTATCTTCAAGGTAGGAAAAAAGAATAGTTACAAGACTAATAATCAGTCCAAATTGACCCTTAATTACCTTTTCTTTTTCTTTGCACTTTGTCAACTTTGCATGACCAAATGTTATGATTCATTATTGATCAAAACATGTAAGGTTTAGATTACTGAATTATTATCATTCTGATATCCGAATTTTATTTTTATTTTTTAGTTAACAATATCTGAAATTTTAATCCGTAAGGAGAGCAGTCCAATTAAAAAGAAGAAAAAGCAAGTTGACGTAGGAAATTTCTTTTCATCAAATTATTCTCTATCTCGCTTCATCTTTTGAAACTATAACAGTTTGAATGAGTCATTATTGTTTTCTTGAATTGGCATTTTCCACATGCATATGTACCATAAATCCCAAACCAAAAACAAGAACAAAAGGCACCAAACAATCAAAAAAACAAATTAGCAATGAATGCCAAAAGCAGATCCAAGTTTGTCCCTAATCCAAAAAAAAAATCCCAGAACCACTGCCGAAGTTTGAAAAGGTCGTCTCAATCGTTGATTGTTAGTTGAAAAACTACATATTTTTTCATGGATAAGCAATCACGAAAAAAAGTAAAGGAAAATTGTACTAAAAAATAAAAATTCAGATCAGACAATCATTTTTAAGACTGTTTGAATATATAAAAGTATACATAACATTTTCAAAGGTTGAGTCACCACGAACATATATATTCATATGTGGAAGTTTGAGAAATTAGTTGCAAATAGTCTATTCATATGGAAGTTTCTGGTCGAGCCCTTTTGTCATATGAAAATTACATTAATTCTGTTCTGTCCAACAAAATTTAGTACTTGTAGTTGTAAATAAAATAGACACCCCAGCCGTTTGGTTTGATTAAGTAAAACTACGTTAACATTACTAAATTGGGACGGAAGAAGATAATCAAAATCCGACGAATTAAGAATGGTTGATTCACTTCTTCTCATATAAATTATGTGTACCTGTTTTTGTATCTTATTGATCTTTGATGTTGATTGGAGCTCTAGTTATAAATGTTTAAGAACACAAATCTTTCTATTCTTAGTGGTCTATATTTGTATTAAAAAATGTGGTTAGCTTTTCATTAAGGGCAAGTTGGATTTAGGTCATCCATATTCCCATGCATTATTAATTATTGTTATAAGATAATGATGTGAGATTATTTTAAGGTGGTGTGTCTTGTTCTTCACTTCATCACCCGATTGTGTTGAAGGAATCTTTCCCATCAAAGAAGAACAAGAGATTAAAAAAATAAATAAAATTGTAGATTCTTTTAACCATCCAAGTTGATTTGATTTTTTTTTTTTCTAGATAAATTATATACTTGGGACTGTTTCTTTCATATCAATCAACTTGCGGTAGTGATTATATATACAGCATCGTTCATAATCATGAGCAAGTTGACAGCAAAAAACATTGTACCATCGTTTTCAATTACTGTTGAAAAACAACCGAAACAGGGATACTTGAATAACTCAAAAAGATGAAACAAATTAGGACAAATAATGTATTATTACTTCCGTGCCGAAGAAATAGTCCACATTGAGTTTTCAAATTTGTATTAAAAATAGTACAAAATTCAAAGCTCGATGTGGACTATTTTTTTTTTGGGGGACGGAGGTAGTATTATCTTTAGTAAATGTGAAAAACTTGGTTGTCTATTCTGAACGTCTACTTCTCCGGGTCTTTTCTCAAATCTTCATTCATCCAAGACGCTGATGATCGGGTTAAACATAAAGGATAATTGCAGAATGAGGACCTCAAAAACAGTACAATCCAAGAGATGAGAGGACGGCCGGCTGGAATGATTTCCGGATAACTACGTTTCGAGATAGTTTTATCCGGGAGGCATCACCAACCATAGGAAAACCTAACCAGAAACCGTCTAAAAGGTTTAGGGGAGAGAACAGGTAGTCTAAGAAGCTTGTGATAGTTACTAGAAGTGTATCAAAATCATCAAACTCACCAGTAAGGTAGACAAATTATACACAACAAAGCTTTCGGCGGGCTTAGATGTTAAATAGAAATAGTTTTAAGTACCAGAGAAACAAGATAAAAGATTGAATTGAGTGTACAAAGCAGACAGACACCCAAAATAACATGTCACCAAAATTCAAATCCAAGTTTGTACAGCACTAACATGTTTTGGACAAGTGTGACACCTTCTAGGCTTTTACTATTGTACAAGGAATCCTGTAAGTTTTCTTGACTATCCATCCCCAAGACACCAGAGAATCGCTATATTACTAGGCTCACCGTCACAAAATTTACAACTTCGGTAAGTATACCAAAGACAAGATGCGGCAGCAGGTATAACTTCTGACTAATCTAAATTGAAACGTACTGATATCTTATGTTGTTGCATTCATTCGCCTCTAGGCTGTCAGTCACAAATGAAAGGCTACCAACAGTCAAACTTCTGATAATAAACATTTCCAAGTCCCACCGGAATTCAAAACCTGTAAGGGCACATAATAAGCAAGTTTTTTTTCGAAAAGTAATAAGCAAGTTCAATTGCCAGAGATGTTGACAACTTTTTCGCCTGATAAGCATCAAAAAGTTAAGGAGCCTAAAACTTTGTAAATGAAATAATGTAAGTTGTGGACAAGCGAACTGAGACTTACAACTAAGATCCACTCCAAGATCTAAATTTGCATATTCCACGTCGGTCCTCGGTAAAGGAGTCCCGAATAGACTGTAACATGGAACGGACAGCAGGAATGAGGATAAGTGCTTCATCCAGCTCCTGAAAATTCAGAATACTCCCAAAATTTACTTCTTGCAAGTTATAAATCAAGAAAAGCCAAAATGAGCAGTGCTATTATACCACTTGAACCAGACGCTCTTCAATGTTGCCAGAATTTGCATCAGTGGGCATAAATATCTTCCTGTAAGCAGTTCTCAGGCTTCTTATCTGAATCATTGCAGCATTAGATAAACAATTAGAATACAGAAGTGAAAGACTCACTAAAAATAATGCATGCACCTAAAGCAAAACATCACATAAAGTCCAAGAAGGCAAAACAAAGGCGACATGCTAAGTTTTTATCACCATTAAACCCATGAGTCTCGGAAGTCTATAGCAAAACCTACTAACAAGACACGTAATCACAAGCTCAAAATTTACACATACAGAAGAAACGGCAAAAGTTGAAAATGATTCCTTTTCTTCCGAGGAGAAAGATTCATCAGGGACTTTACAGACTAGAAATTCACAATGGTATCGCCAATGTACAACTACCATTCCGTTCTTACCAGCATCGATACAATATTTGGAATTTTATATGTAAAACTGCTGCCTCGATTTGACTTGGGTTTACATTCAGAGTACTTATCATTTTAATAAGCCAAAAAAAGAGTTTCTAAGAAACATAATAAAAGAACTTGGAAAACACATTAAGGACTGTTCCACCCAAAAACCAACCTCTGCAGCCGAGAAACCACGACGTCGTAGACCTTCAACATTTAACCCGCGTAGCTCAGCTCTTTCTCCAGACACCATCATGTAATTTGGGACATCTTGTGATACCTTAAAACAGAAAACAGGTTGAGTATCAAGATTGAATTTTCTTAATCCAACAACAGATGATAATAGGAAGATCATGAAGTATTGATATAATAAATCAGAAATGAAGAAACTTACAACTGAACCTCCACCAACAAAGGAAAATGAACCAATACGACAAAATTGATGAACGACGATGGCTCCTGCAGTGTGTGCATAATCCTACATTTGAATACAAGGCGCACAGTTTAACTAAAAGGAGACCTATCAAAAATGTTACTGAAAGAAACGAGACAAAGGATTTCACTCACTTCCACCACAACATGACCTGCTAGAAGAGTATTATTTGCAAAAATATTGCTGTCGCCCACTTTGCAGTCGTGGGCTATATGACAAGACCCCATTATAAGATTGTTATCACCAATAACCTGATTACACATAGAAAACATGAATAGACTACGAAATTTCCATATTCGGTAAATAAAGCATTGAAGGTCTGATATCATACAGTTATTTCACTTGGCTTGGAAGATCGATGGATAGAAGTGTGCTCCCTAATGTCGTTGTTGGCACCTATCTCAAGGAAACACTCACTCCCTGGCTAGAAAAAATTGATACATGATTATTACAGTGGCTAATCTCAATAACATTTACATATATATCTTTAAAAGAAAGAAATGGTAAGGAGAACAGTGATAGCCTTCTCAGATAATGTTCTTATCTTTACCGTGTGGGACAAGTAAAAAATAAGAAGCAAGTTAATGAAATTACAGAGAGGTATCTAGCACAGATTCATTTCTCAGTTGGTCATGAGGGAACCAGCCAGTAGAAACCGTAGGAAATACTCCATGTCATTCTTACAGACAAATCAATAGAAATGCATAGACATTATAGAATGATGCCACACAAAAGACAGTATTATGCTTGACCATGACAATCAGAAACGAAGGAAGATAAAGCTCACCATCACTGTTAAAAGAGGCTGAAAATGTAACCAGATTTTCGAGATCCCATGCAATGTACAAAGGCAACAACAAGCATGCATGCCAACCAAAAAAAAAGTAAAACTTGGGGAAATGTTGCAATCTAAAGTACACATTGAAATCCTCACTACAGGTTCTAGCGCTTCAGAAAGCCCAAGTGGCTCCAGTCCCAACTGAGGTAATATAATCAGAACGTAATTTACTTTAAACATTACTTGGGGAATATTATCCACAGTTCTTGAAATCTCACCTTGTATTTCAAATCTTGGCATTTATTTCCAACCACAGCATGATGACCAATAGTATTATTGCATCCAATGATTGTATGACCAGGAAGATCATCACCAACCACAGCACCACTGCAAAATTAATAATGTAAAGGGCAGGAGCAAACATGAATGTCTAGGGGCTTAAACAAACAAAATATGAGTTAGTGTGGAGAGTTTCAACTCACACCATCAAGGTACAGTTATCCCCTAGTGTTGTATTTCCGAAGATATGGCTTCCAGGGTACAACTGACAAGCGTTTCCCAGCTTCACTGAAGGTCCAATTGTACAAAAGGGACCAATGGAAACACCCTAGAAAAAGAATACACATTTTCTTATCTCCAACCAGCTAAGCGAAAAAGCATCACAGCTACGCCATCACTATGAAGATTTCAATTTCATCAAGAACATTAACATAGATGAAAAAGAAAGGCACTATTTGGCAGATTATCCACCATCATCCCCCAAAAAAAAAACACACCAAAAATAAAATCCAACTTGCTCCCTTCTGATTGAAATAGTGATGGGAAATTGTTAACAACAATTTAGGCAGCTAAGCAATAAACAAAAGTATGAAGGAAAGATGATGTTCCTAACTTCCAAAGATTACTCTTTTTAGAGGTTTACAACATAATCCAGCAAATAATAAGCACAAAATCATTGAAAAAGCAAAAAGAAAGAAAAAAGGAGGAAAACCTGGCCCAAGGTGGCATTAGGATGAACAATTGCAGAGGGATGAATGAAAGTAGGACGCTCAAGTTGAGGTCTTTCTTCTATGCAAGTTGAATTATCTTCCACAGAAACATCTGCAAATTTCACAAAGACTAGCCAGTAAACGCATACTCTGGGCAGAGCATTGAAAAAGAATATTCAAAAGAAAGAAATTCGATCATACGAGGTAATGAAGAGAAAGGGAATCCCCGGAGAGTGATCCCTCTGATAAGAGACACAGAAACCGGCCGCCGGAGGGAGAGGATTGCAGGCATGCCTCCGGAGTCCGGCAGTCAGCAAAAAAAAAAGTTAAATCGATTGAACTCGGCGTTGGAGACCTTGGAATTTCACAGGTTCTAAAGCTAAGCAGGAAACAGGAAGAGGCAGCGCCTTTAGGGTGAAGTTTTTGCGCCTTTGGAATCAACCAACCAGAGGCGCATAGTTCAATCCCTACAATAACAGCGCTTTCCGGTGCCCAATAATTTACTGCAGATTAATAATATTTTGGGGGGAATGGCTACCGTTTTACTAGTTCAGATCAGTTTTATTCAGTATTTTTTGGTTCAGTGTTCGGGACTCTTATTTTGGGACGGAAAGTATACTTATTTTACATATCACAAGTAACTCTACAAGAAAAAAAAAAGTGTGAAATTATTCATTCTCTCGTCCTAAAATGATTGTCTTGTTTGATTACGAAATATAAAAAAGTAAAACTGAGAAATGCCAGTTGAGAACTTGTAATCATGGTCGATTGGAAGGTCCATTCAGTTAGCAACAAAAAAATCGGACTGTGTCTGATCAGTAACAAAAGAATATAGGATTAATGAAAAATCTAATTACAGAGAATCATAGGGTATATTAGGCCGTAGTTGTAGCCATATGGTTCCTGAAAACTTTCTGTACAACATTCTCTCTCGCGAAAATGGGAACGTAGGCTTCAGACATTTAACAACTCCTGGAAACCCTTCACTTGCCTTATCCTGGTTTTGCTGATCCTATTTAGCCATGTTATACTTACCCCGTCCCAAAATTATTGTTTGGTTTGGATTTTCATTTTTAATACAAAATGAACTGAAAATGAAAATCCAAACTGGACAATAATAATGAGACAGAGGGAGTATGTAATTTTGTCACTTTTAAACCAAACTTCAATTCACCTCGAAATCATATGTTGCAATTCAAGCATGCCAGGATGAAACGATATTCTGGAGACGATTTTTTGGTGAAAAGGTTTCAAGATTTAAGAGTTGAGATTGTTGCATACACTTAGCTGATCTAACTGTCGCCCTCCAGCATCCGAAGCACCTATAGAAACGGCAAACAAAAGGCAGTTAAAGTTTGTCCATAGATCTTAGGCTAATGAGATGGTACTTGTTAACACAGCTGGATCAAGTCTCTGATATTTGGAAACTCAATCAATTCATTCACACTGAATCAAGCCCTTATATAAAGTTTATTCATCCATCAAGATGAATGTAACAGTAAAGATACATACCTGAGACATCCGGGGCCTTAATAGTGGGTCTCGTTGGATGCACAGGAAGGCGCAGCGCAACATACATTCAACTTCTTGCTCTGGATAACCATTTGCCAGAACAGGATCGATCAGTTCTCGAATGGCACATTTCTCAAGCAACGGGCGTGCCTGTTTTCGCATCTCAAAAAACATGAGCAGGAAACACAATCATTCAGCAACTACAACGATTCTGATTGAATGACAAATATTACTCAATACCAGTTCTTCGAGGGAGTTTATGATGACTACATACCCACTCAGCTAAGTATTGTTCGCCCTTGGGCCGATTTATATCAACAGCCTTCCTTCCTGTGACCAGCTCTGTCAGCACCACACCAAAAGCGTATACATCCGCTTTCTCAGTGATATGTCCACTTTGAGCATATTCTGGAGATAAGTACCTGCATTCATCAAAACTCAGTTTTATACTGTATCTTAATGTCATACACATGTTTAAAATTGATATGCCTTTTTTGGACGTTGAATTATTTCATAATCATCAAGTACTTACCCAAATGTACCAATGACCCTTGTTTCGAAGCCCATATCTCCCACTTGCTGCCATCGCGCTAGTCCAAAGTCGCCAACCTAGTTTAAAACAAAGAAAATGGAAATAACACGTTAGAATCAGAACATAAGATTTATAAAAAGAATCCAGAGCTCAAGGTAGAAAACCGATGCTTAGCAAAAGTAACAGACCATCATCTAGCATGGATTTGCAGAATCATAATCTTCAGGGAAAGGTCAAATATCACAAGAAAGCAGATGAACGGGGATGACATGGAGAAATACTTACTAATGGCTCAAAATCATGTGTAAGAAGAATATTATTTGGCCGCATATCACGATGGATAATACAACCAACTCTGCACTCTTCGTGAAGGTATCTCAGCCCTCGTGCAGCTCCAACTGCAATTTTTCGACGCGCTGACCAGTCTAATGGATCACCCTTTTGTCCTGCAAGACAGGGTAATAGCATCAGAATACCAGTTTAAACATATGTTGCAATGTATTCCATGAAGTGTATTCTACCCATATCTTTTCTGTTAGAAGAGGAAAAAATTAGAAGTTTTTTGACGACCTGCTACAGACTAATTCATCTAGGCCTAAATAACTTTTTCACATAGCAAACTGAAGATATTAACTTGGAACACAATGGTGGAACTTAAGCAATTGTGAAGATAAAAAACAAGTAGATAAGGAATATTACTCTTCAAAAGCTATTTAGCAAATTTCCAGTATTGATTATGAACCTAAATAGCCCAAAGTTTGACAAGAGATATGATCCAAAAGTAGTATACCATATAGATGAGCATCCAAAGAACCATTGCATATAAATTCATAAACCAGCAATCGCTTTCCACCTTCCACACAAAATCCAATCAGCATTACAACATTTCTATGCTGTGCGCAGCTTAAGACCTCTACTTCTGAGCAAAATTCACGGTCACCCTGAGAACTTGCTGCTTTATGCTGCTTGATAGCTACTACCTGACCATCCATTAGGACTCCACGGTATACAGAACCATAACCTCCCTCAGCCAAGAAGTTAGCTTGTGAGAATCCATCGGTGGCATGTTCAAGCTCAGCGTAAGTAAACCATTTAGGAGGTGTTCCAAACACAGGTGCTTTGTGCTGACATACTGTACAAAGCGGAGGAGGGTCATGCGGCGATTTTGTGTCTAGCGAAACCACTTTTCTCAAATTTGTGCGCAAGTTATCCAGGAGGTGTTTTGGAACTTCTAGATCAGACACTCTATCAGATGCAGGAAATCTCCTATCAAGAGATTCATACACAGGATTCAGCATTCTGTTGTAACTGAGAGATTCTTTCCGGGCATATTTCCAGCACTCCTGTCCAGAACTAAGAAAATCCAGCTCCCATGGCTTAGAACCAACAAATGTTGAAGGGGTACTTAAAAGCTCACTATCTGTTTCAGAATCTGATTCTTCATGGTAATACTTAAACCGATCTTTGTTTGAATTCCAATCAATATCAGAGATAAGTTTTGGAGAGCTCCCAAGATCAAAGCTTGAAATTGAGGATGTCCGAGCATCAGTTACTGTAAATGAGGAGGAGTGCTCCGGACTACTCACCGGAGTCACATTTGGTACCTGAGTGACATTCCACCTATCAGAGCTTTTCTTGACCCCTATCGAATGGAGTTCAGATTGATCGAGGCTCCCATTCTCTGGCATAGGTGTTCCTATTAAATTCAGGCGAAGAACTTTTGGACCATGCTTCTTCATCACTACAAGATTACAGTCAAGCTCTTGCATGCAAGATTTGGCTTCTTTCTTGAGTCCTCTGTCAACAAAATGGAACAAAAAAACCGAGGGAAGATATTCAGAAACCAATGACTAACATAAACAAAATCGAAAAAACTGTGAAGCATAACAACATATTTAACCATCTGATCTTACTTATCTAATATAACCCAATGCGTCCGAGATTTCTTGGCTTCAGCAGCAATCATTCCTTGTTGAGACAAAGTTATAACTTTGACCTTCACATTAATCTGTGAAGTACATAAAGGATAATTCAACCATGTGTTCTAGAAGAGATTTACTAAAGAAAGAGCATATAATCAAACCAAAAAAGTACACATACTTTATCTGCATCATAAAAGCGATGGAGTTCCAGGATCATTTGGGTGCAGGAATCTGTAATATAATCCTTCTGATCCAAGTTTGTTCCTAGAAAAGAGCTCGCATTGCCAAAAGCAACAGCGCAATCACTATGAAACCTTGGAAATCCCCTCATCCATCTGGCTGAAAAATCAAACCATTCATATTATTCAACATTTACATCTCCACTAAAATGGTAAGAGAGCATTACACATTTACACTGGAAGATAATGAGCGAAGTCCTTTTTAAGCAGATGAAGATCAAGTAGCACAAGTATCAGTAATAGAGCATAAATGATGCAGGGCAAAGTAAAGTAACCATTTTGAAAGCCTAAAAATTTACTGAAGAAGCATCAAAGCTTACATGAACTGTGAGGAGAAATGACCACCAGAAGCTTAACACAATCCCCTGGTTGAGCCGCATGAGTGAGAGCCCAAGTTAAAGCATTTTTGGGGATATCTAAAGAAAAATTTACAGCAACAAGCACAACTCTCTCTGCTGCCCTCAACTCTGTCTTCCTCGCACTCTTTTGCCTGAGATTCATCACAAACTAGTACAAAAGGCTCAACCTTTACAGCAGAAATTCCATTCAGCACATCAAGTTCCTTGACCACATTAGTAATTCTTCGACCAAATCTTGTTTCTTCCACTAAACCATGCCAAAAACTCAAAACAGAAAAAGAAAAATATACACCTCCAAAAAAGGGTATGTTTCTTGCTCAAGATCACGCTATACAGTAACCCTCAACGGCATTCAGTTAGACATGAAGAATGTCTGGCCAAAGAAAGGATTTTTTTTTTTTCAAAAATCATTTCCAATAAATGATAAACAATCCCTCCCCAAAAAACCAGCTGTAATTCACTTCATCTAAGTTGTGAACCTGACATCTCAAATTTTTTCAGCAACTAAGTCAATAACTGAAAGTAGTAGGTTCGGTTCAGGCAGAGTTCATAAGGAAAACGTGAACCCAAAAGGACCAAACGTTAGTAGCAATAAAAGGGCTTCTTTTAGAGAAAGTGGCCAAATGTCAGCAAAGCTGCAGTTGCAGGGGCCAAGTTAAAGTTAATACAATTATCTATTTTTGGTGGGGTATAGAATTATAGCTGCTAAGATCCATTGTCTTAGTATAGGACCATAGGTTAGGAGCATCATCAATTGATCAAAAACAAACGAGAAGAAGGAAACAGCAGTAAAGGAAAGGGAAAGGTGACAATGATTATGGGACAAGGGTTGAAATAGAGGACATCATTTCAGCCCCACACTGCACAGGGCGACACAAATTAGTATGTCATTCATGGCAACTTTCTCTCATTCTAAATTTCTAATCAATCCAACAAAGGAAGAAACCTTTTTCTCTAGCTAGTTTGCTTTTTTCCTTTTTCCTTGATTGACTCAACTACTTATTGGACTCTTTTAATCCAACTTGACCCAATGTGAATTATGTAAGAAATGAAGCGTGATCAGAAGGGCTAGTACTACTTTTTTTATATATATACTCTTTTGGACTTATGCTAGTAGCTCTTTTTGGAAGTATGGATGAAGGTATATGCCTTGCATGATCACATAGAATTTAGCCAAAATCTGATTGATCACTCTAGTTTAGGAAATTATGGTCCCTAGACATAGTTTCAAATAATTTTAGCCGAAATGTTACTCTCTCTATGGCATATTAAAGATTCATATGTTTATTGTTTTAATGATTGATGGAGTGAAATATTTTAGTTTTGCTACTAAATGAAGGGGAAAAAAATTGTTTATCTTTTAAGGAAACAAAAGAGATGCACAATCAGCGGTTCCAAGTTGTTGCTGATAGCGATAAAAATCAACTGGATCATACCCAACCCAACCAAAAAGATTGTCCCAAATGTTGACAACAGCAACAAACTACTTACAGTTCCACTATTAAATTATTTGAGTACTTTCTTTATGTGTTACACCTTGCATATTCAATAAATTTCTCCACCAAAAGGAGGCCAACAATTTATTCAGTTCAAATTGGACGTGAACACACAAACAAAAAAAAAAATCGTTTTTAAACGTGAAATATTGCGAACAGAACATAAATCCTTTTCGTACTACTACATTTCACTTTTAAGAAGTCAACTGGTATTATAAAATGCATATACTGATAACGAAAATGTAGAAAATAGCTTTAGTCCAAAGGACCACAGCCATTTTTGCAGCTGGATTAGTTAGAACTCATTTGTGTTCCATCGCTATTGCACAAGCTGAAATCGTCAGAAGATTGCAAAATTAAAAAATTAAGATACCAACAAAATGCTAGATCTCAAAAACATGCCGTTCTGGTTTTAGGAAGAATATGGCCGACCCGGTTGATTGAATTGAAGAAGACAAGCAAATCAAATTGAAGAAGCCGGATGTTCCATTCCACCCGAAAAATTACAGGACATCATTGATCAATGGAAAGATTCCATTGGAACCCAGAAAGAAACATTCAGAATAGCACAGAACAAATCCCATTATTAGGCCATCACAAATTAACCAACGGAAAACCCTTTCTCATCATAAATTTACTGTTACAACAGAATCCATCCAATTTCCAAACATTAACTTTTTTTTTTTTTTCATATTTGCAGGGCCGTCGGTAACAGTAACTAATCCCCTTGCCAAAGTATTTAAAATTACTCTATGTCCATAGCGAGATTCAAACCCTCGATTTATGGTTAAAGGTAGAGGATTCCCTTCCACCCCACCTCAACCATTTTGGTTGAACAGGACATTTGTTTCATACGTATGGGAAGTAAATTCACTATTATTTGGGTTTGCTTGGGTTTGTAACCAACTAACACTTTAGACTTTGGTCCGCTTCTTAGTTGCATTTCTTCGTTTTACACCAATTACCAAGTTGATATGGATCAATTCTTCCTTGGGTTCCTTTTTGGGCTTTCGTTTTTTTTAAGGAAAAAAAAAACACAAAATTATAAATTCATAAAATTATTAACCAAAGGGTTATAGTAGAGTGGTAAGAATTCCTCCACATTTAACCATAGGTCGAGGGTTCGGCTCTCCCACCCATCGAGATGCCTTCCATGAGCGAGAGGAATTAGTCATTGTTGTCGACGGTGAACACCCTGCAATATGTAAAAATATAAAAAATAAAAAATAAATCATGAGATTATTACAAAGAAATACTCCATCCAATCTTAATGATAAAGGCACAAATTAGTAGTACTAAAATTAGTTCAAAGTTATACCTTACAATTAAAACTAGAGGTAATATGCATTTGAATTGTGGTACACTCCTCCGTACATTTGGAGAGACTTCTTAGACCTACTTAGAAACTTAATGCATAATACTATGTTAGTGTTAGGGATTTGATATTGTTTTTTATTATTTTTCTATTCTATTGTATTTGATTTGCTCTCGGTGAATACCCTATAAATACATAAACAAAAGTAAAATAAAGATAAGGAAGTTACAATAGTCATTGTAGTGTCTAAATGTCTAATTTGATCTTTTACATACTAATTTAATTATTCTAATATAATTTTCTCAAACAACAAAGGAATTTTGTCTTTTTCCTTTCCTCTCGGCGCATGTTAACAACCTCATGCTAATGTACGCCCGCCATGGCAAGGGCGAAGAACAAGACCAAAAAACAACCTAAAGATACAGAAATTGAGAGCGAGAAGACGACTGGAATGGGTTCACCGAAGGAATTGACGAAAGCTGCTGGGAAACAAGTAGATCTGGGAGTAAGGGCAATATCATCTGGTCAACAGAAGGAGATGAGCAATCAGATGCAATTGAATCAAAAGGTGGATGAAGTTAAGGAGCATCACTTGCAACAAACCCTGAGTGAGATCTTGTGGGTATCAACGTCAAGAAAGCTTGTCTGGTCAACGGAGACGAAGGAGAAGACAGAAGCCAGTGTATGGGATACTTTTGATGTGAAGAAACTCAGGAAAAGTGGTCTTTCGATTCCATTTGTACAACCTGTAGAGCAGGATGGCAAACTGGTGGCACTGGTTCAGAAGCCGGAGATTTCGCCGGAGTTAGAATACTGAGAGAATTCAGTCATAAGCTTTGTACTGGGCGCGAACCCTCCATTCAAGGTGATGGAGAATTACTACAGGAAGCTTTGGAAGCATTTGGGGGTTGACAAGGTATTACTTACTTCTTCTGGTTTATTCCTTATTCGATTCAATAGTAAGGAGGCTAAGTAGAAAGTACTGGCTGAACCAATAAATTTTTGGGTACCAACCCAGTTATTGTAAAATCTTGGAATGCTGGGAAAGGTATGAACTATAAGGAAGTGAAGCATGTCCCAGTATGGATTCAGTTACCGGGACTTGACCTGAAATACTAGAATCCGACAACACTTGGAAGGATTGCTAGTACTCTAGGTCAACCAATCGCAACTGATGAATGCACTGCTTCTAAGGATAGAGCTGCTTACGCAAGGATCCTAGTATATGTGAAAATCAGAGACTTGCCCCCATTAATAGCTCACTTTGTGAATGAGGAAGGGAAAATTGTTGAACAGCTGGTGTACTACGAATGGAGGCCAACTCAGTACAATTGTTACTAAAATTTTGATTATGGGCAGGAGCATTGCAGGAAGAAACCAATTGATGTAGCTCAACCTCAGGAAACAAAGGCAACCAAGCAGATAAATGCTACTTCAGTAATGGAATGGAGAAGAGTTGGTAAGGCTGGGAAGATTTCAGAGGATAAAGCTGAAAAACAGATCCATGGGAAAGAAGTATTAGTCATTCATGATGAAAAGGAGAATCAACAAGCAAAGGAGAGGAAAGGAGTGAACTGAAAGGGAATGATAGCCCTACCCACTGTATTATGTTGACAAATGGCTATAGTTTGTTAACAAGGCTAAACGATGGAAACCACAGGAATGCATTGGATGCAGTGGAAGTGGCTGATGGAAGACTGGAAGTGAATATGGCCAAAGCCAGGGTGGACACTCCAATAGATCCAGGTATTCATGATTAGTGCCTTATATTGGAATATTAGGAGTTTAAACCACCCTGTCAAGCAAAAAGAATTACATAGAATTACTACTGCATATAATACTAGCTTTATATGTGTGGTAGAGATAAAGATGAATAGTATAAAGATAAATGAAATGGTTAGCAGACTTTGGCAAGGTTTTATGTATGATACAAAGTGTGTTGGCCAGGAAAAAGGTCGAATATCTATGCTATGGAATCCTTTGATTTTGAAAATAGATGTTATCATTAAGAATAGATAGTTTATACAGCGCAGGGTAGAGATAAGGAATAGTAATTATATTTTTTACTGTACTTGTCTATGGCTCTAATTCGAAAGAGGAAAGAGCTGCATTAAGGGAAGATTTGATTAGTATTTTGGGTGGTATTAATGAAGCATGGTTGATGGTGGGTGATTACAACAGTGTCTTAAACTTTGATGAGAGGGTTGGTGGCAATAGAGTTGACTTATCTGAAATCATAGATTTTTGAAGATGTATTGAGGAGTGCCAATTGTATGATCTGAAACTTCAAGGTCTAAAGTATAACTGAACAAATAAACAGATAGGCAATACGAGGATATACTCAAAGATAGATCGACTATGGCGAATGAAGAATGGATTATGAAGTGGCCTTTATCAACAGCAACAGTTATGGTGGAAGGGGTCTCTGATCATACCCCTATTCTTGTAAGATTGGATGGAGGTATGTCACAGAAACCTAAACCTTTTAAATACTTCAATATGTAGAGTGAAGATGAACAGTTCTTAGAGGCATGAACCTACCAGTGAAGATGAAGATGAACAGTTCTTCAATATGTACTATGATGTTTCAGATAGTTACTAAACTTAAGAGGTTGAAGATTGGCCTGAAAGAACTTAACAGAGTAAAGTTCTCTAAGTTTCAACAGAGAGTCCTGCAAACAAGAGACCACCTACAACAAGTTCAGATCAAACTCCATGCTAGACCTGATGATCTAGAGCTGCAAGTAGAGGAGAAAGAAGTGTATAAAGAAATGATGAAAGTAGCTAAAGCAGAAGAGAGCTTTATGCAGCAAAAAGCTAAAGAAATGCGATTCAACTGGGAGATTCCAACTCTGAATTTTTCCATGCAAGGATGAAAGCAAGGCACATGAAAAGCAGAATATGCTCTATAGTCCCTGATGATGGAACAAAAGAGGATGATTGGAATCTAGTGAGTTAGCACTTCATTGAGTTCTTCAAGGAGCAGCTAAAGACGAGGAAAGAAAGGCAATAGCCTCAACCAGATGTATTCAGATATGGCTCTGTGTTAACATGGCAACAACAAGTCTGGCGGTTTCGTGAAGTTACCCCAATGGAGATCAAAAAGGCAATGTGGGAGATTGATAAGAGGAAGAGCCCTGGACCAGATGGATTCGGAAGTGGGTTCTTTATAGATGCCTGGGTTGTAGTACAGGGGGATATCATTAGGGCTGTGATGGAATTTTTTGAAAAAAGACGAATGCTGAAGCAGATGAACTCTACGATGATAGCTCTTATACTGAAAACTGACTTACCACAAAATGCATCGGAATATAGACCCATTGCTTGTTGCAATGTGGTCTATAAGTGCATTCAAAGGTGTTGTGCAACAGACTTAGATAGATCTTGGAGAATCTAGTTGACACTAATCAAAGTGCATTTGTTAGCAATCGATTAATATTACACAATGTACTTTTGACTCGGGAGTTGATTAGATTCTATGGAAGGAGGAATATCAGTGGACGATGCTTGCTAAAAATCAATCTCAAGAAAACGTACGACTAGGTGGCCTGGGGTTTTGTTGAAGAAATGTTGACTGGTTATGGCTTCCCGGACTCGTTTTCTCAAAAGATTATGGAACGTGTTAATACCACTTTATTCTCACTGAACCTTCATGTAGAATTATGTGGCTTTTTCAAAGGAGAGAAGGGACTTAGACAAGGATACCCAATTTCCCCTTTATTATTTGTTCTCATCATGGAGTACCGTATGAAACTGACCAACATTTGCTTTGCAGATGATCTAATGATCTTCTGCAAAGCAGACATATATAACCCCTTCAGGAAGATAATGGAGGTGCTCAAGAAATTCGCTGTTACGACAGGTATGGCTGCTAACCCTGCCAAGTCAGAAATTTACTTTGGGGGTGTGGAAGAGGATCTGGAAAAGCAAATATGTGATGTAACTGGTTTTAGAAAGGGAAAATTCCCCATGAAGTATCTAGGGGTGCCTTTATCTCATAGGAAATGGTCCCAAGTGGACTTTGAGCTTTTGGTGTAGAAAATAACTGCCAGAATTAAATGTTGGAGTTCACGCCATCTCAGCTATGCTGGCCGGTTACCAATGGTGAACTCAGTTTTGATGGTGATGTAAAATTATTGGGCTGCTGCTTTCATTCTGCCACAGTCTGTTATACAGCAGGTTAATAGAATCTGTCAAGATTTCCTTTGGAGAATCAAGGAGAGTGGGAATTATCATGCACTAGTTAGTTGGGATCAAGAGTGCAGGGAAAAGAGTGAAGGGGCTTTGAATATAAAAGATGCACAGTGTTGGAATAAAGCAGCTCTGGTAAAACAAGTACGACACATTGCTTGTAAAAAAGACCAACTTGTGAATCAAATGGATTCATGAGAATTATATAAAGTATAGAGATTTTTGGCAGCTGGAACCTCAAACAACTTCAAGCTGGCATTGGAAGAGGTTGTTGCAACTGAAGGAGAAGGTAAAGGCCGAGTTTGTTGATTTAAAATGGCAGCATACAACATCTTGTCAATATACTATATCATCAGGATACAACTGGTTGATGGGTAATCATGAGAAGTTAGTAGAAGCACCAATTGTTTGGTCTAGGTATAGTGTGCCTAGTCATGTGTTCATTATGTGGCTTCTGATAAAAAACAGGATGTAAACTAAAGATAGAATGATCAGAATGGGTTTCAAGATTGCTGATCAGATGTGTATGCTGTGCAAGTGCAATCAGAAAACACCTGATCACCTATTCTTTGCCTGCCCATTCTCAGGTGAGATATTAATGGAATTGGTTAAATGGATGGAGGTGTATGGAATTCCAGTGGAGAAAAGAAAATGGAACAAAACGATCTTGGTCATTTGGAAGAAATCAAGACTAAAGAGGAATGTTCTCTTCTATGTAATCGCAGCAGCTATCTACCATCTCTGGGAGGAGAGAAACAACAGGATTTTTAGAGGCCAAATGCGGAGTGTTGAGCAGATAATAAAGACCATCAAATAGGAGGCTAAATGGAGAATTGAGTATTGTTTAAAAGGCAAAAAGACAGATGCAGAGATATCGATTTTGAATAGATTATTTTGATTCTTACTTTTCTTGTGTACAAGAAAGAGACTTAGATGTAATAGTTGAACTTTTGGTTGTAAATATGAACTCCATTGCAAAAGGCACTATAATATACTAGATGTTAAACCCGCACGATATGCGGGATTTATACATATACATTTATTAAAATATATTTTTAAATTTTAAATGTGATTAATACAAATAAAGTAACTGGTTTGTAATAATAAATATATCATTAAAATTAAATTAGATCGTGATAAATAAAATTGTTATATATACTTTGAAATGACAACATTTTATAAATTGTATGCCAAAAATGTAATTAAATAGTGGAATGTGTATAAGGATTATATACAAATAAAAGTAAAAAAGACCACCAAAATAATAAATCAGATGTTACATGTCATATAAATCAAAGCAATTTATGTCTATACGGTTAAAAATGCATGTTAATCAAGATTACAAACAATTGGAGAAAGAGACACCTTACATGTTAAATAAAACATGATCGGAGTGAGGTCGTTGCCGCAAAGATGTTTTGTAAAGTATATAAGATGCTTCGCTTCAGTGTTTCACCGGTTGTCATTGTACATGTTAGAGTTAGACCGAAGTGGATATTTATAGTGAATGTCTGAATGAGATATCATAACCAGTAACTAAAGTAAAATTCATAACTATAGAATAAAGACGATAACGTCATGTTGATTAAGGGATAAGATTGGTGGGGAAATGACTTCCATTACATTAATGTTGATTAGTCTTTTTCAATTAAATTTGATTAGTTTTTAATCACTAAAGAATTTCCACTTTCCCGCACGTTGAACTTAGGTTTTAAATCAATCAAGTAGTGATTTTAGGGATTATTTTGTAGAGGAATTTTTTTTTATTCGAATTGGCTGGGATAAAAAATCTCGGTAAATTAATGTTGAAAATAATAAATGCCTTATCCTTTTGAACTTATAATTTAAATCAATCGATTAATACTAATTGAGGATTATTTTTGGGAGGGATTATTTTTTAGAGGGAATAATTTTGGTGCATTAGTGTTCATTAATCCCGTCCATTAAATTTCATTAATTTTTATTTTCCTATTTTAAACTATAGTTTTAAATGCTATTTGATAAAACTTTATTTACATAAAATTTGAAGGACTATTAGTATAATTGTTGTAAATATTTTTTGACTCAACAATTTGAAAAATGACACATAAGATTTTATCCTATGTGGCACATTTAGAATTCTTTTTTGTTTTCTCTCTCTGGTTTCTCTCTTAGTATAATACTATTGATATATATATATATATATAATTTTCTCAGGTTCTACTAATTTTAATGTTTGTGAGAGATGCCATTATGGCAAATCTATGAGGAACCAGTATCATTAAAAAGGTGATAAGTAAAAGTCCATGAAATTACGTTAATATAATTTTCGTGTAAGCAACGACGCCGTACCCTGCTTGCAGACTACACAGATAGGCATGGGTATAAAAGTAATTCACATGATTTCCAAAAAAGTAAAGAAGAAAAAGGAAGTCAATTAATACCCACACTCTCACTCCCACTAGGCTCCAGCGCGCTTTATGAACAGTTGCCAGAGCAGCAAGTAACGGCCAAATTCTTCTTCCTCTTTGCCTCTTTGGGGGAAGAAAGAAACACCTGAGGAACCAACGCTGATGAGGCGGCTGAGAAGACGACGGCTATGACCTCCGCCATTGTTTACCCCTCAATCAGGCTCAAGAGGGAGGAATGTAGGCGTACCAAACATGACTCTGCTTTCTCCCCCTGGAAGGTCTCCATTTTTACTCTCTTCTCTCTCTCTTTTTTTTTTTCTTTATTAACTGTTCTTGAAATTCGATGTTCTTGGATTTTCGATTTGTGCCATGTATCTTGGAATGATAAAGATTCATGCTTTTTGCTAAAAGAAACTGAACCCACTATTTCTTTATCTTGATTTTTGTAGTTGGAATTCCCCATTTCTCCGAAATCATTGTTTGCTGGGCTTACTAAAGACTTGGAAAAAGTGTATGCTTTGCTGTTCATGTAGTGATTCTCGATAACTACTGAATGAAATGTTAGGAAAAAAGGGTATGTTCGGTTAATGGTAGCGAGCTACGATTACTTTGAAATCGCACAGTAGAATTTGTGATCTGCAGCTGAAAGAGAATCAGTTTTGGATCTGGGATATGCAGATGCTTTTAGTCTGGGCCATTTGAGCTTTTGTTGTTTGCAGACTTATGTAAACTTTGTGTTTATGCTTTTAGGTTCTCATTGGTCCTTCTGATTGGGAGGACTATGCCATGGGGAAGGAGGGAGCTGAGAGATATAGGACTCAGAACCTTCCTAATTGCACTTCTTGTACTGGAGTTTATGAGCTTGGGGTAACTTTTAGGCGACGTGGAACTGGAAGAGATTCCGGCAAAATTGATCCCGACTTTGTCATACCTGTTTACCTCGGAAAAGCAGACAATGTCAGGAACAGAATGCAGCAATATGGCCGCGAAGGAGCTCATTTGGAGATTGGCACTTCAAATGGTAGATTCAATGACTCCTGTGAGATTTTGGTGCAAAAGGGGCCTGGAGTGTTTAAGGAGATATTCTCGAAAGGCTTTTCTATTGTTTACAGATGGGCTCCTGTAAGTGTTTCACTTCTGTTTTTGTGTCAATCTTTAATATGTTGCTCCATTCTTTTGTTTCTAGTGTTTAGCAGTAACCAAGAATGGCATCGGATAAGGTCATTTTTGTTTTCATTCATCGTTTCAGAAAAAAACTGGAGGTGCCTAGATTCTGTGTTCTTGCAATAATATAGATTAACCTTTGTTCGAATTCTATCAAGTTTTCTTCAGCTTAGAAAAGCTTTCCAATCTTAACCGCTAGTTATAGCTGTAGATATATTGTCAGCACCTATTATATTCTTTCGTTGCTCAGTAAGCTGTGATTAGAAACTAGGATAATACCAGGGAGTCTACGTTGACATCTCAAATCACGAAATCTAGAATTTGAGCTTTCTTCTTTTTTTTTTTTTTTTAATATAGAATTTGAGCATATCAGTGGATACATTTATCCATAGGTTCCATACTTCCATCTGCCATGATAAGCTGGAGCTTTCATTTATTCAGAATTTTTCGTTTCACCTTGCATTTTATCTACCTTGGCAGATGGAAAATATACGGGATGCTGAGAAAACAGAATCCGACCTTCTTGAAAAATTTGATTATGCATGGAACAAAGGCAGTAATGGTAATCGCCGGCGCAATGACATCCTAAAAAAACTTGGACGAATATCAAAACCTTATTCTTTTCTTACAAAGCTACAGATAATGCCTCAACAGAAGAAGGGAATCAAAATCAAAGTTTCCAAACAACCTTCTTTGCACAATGGTTTGGACTTCTATTCCAACTTGGAAACAAATGGTTTCCTTCATCGAATTTTCAAATTTGGGAGATCACAGCCAAGATTAGTTGTCAGACCAGGTCTCGATGATGATTGCTCTGGCATCTGTGGTGTTGCATTAGGTCATGGAGTCATCTGTAAAAGGCCACCAACTGAAGGGAATAAGAGGTGTATAGAGCATAAAGGGATGAAAGTAAATGGTTTTACTTCTAGAGACAAGGATTCCAATCCTGTTTGTGGATTTCTATTGGATGATGGTTCTAGCTGTACAAGCAAACCACTCCATGGAAACAAAAGGTGCCTGGAACATAAAGGAAGGAAGATTCGCAGCTCTGTTAATCGTCAACAAATGAAAGATAAGAAAGTAGATCATGTACATTCCCCAGTTTATGTATCCCCTCCAAGTGAAGTAGTGAAACATTGCATTGAAAATGGTGACAGTAGAATTGAATGTGGAGTGGAGCTAGGCGGCGGGACTTACTGCACAAGACAACCTCCCAGAGGGAGAAAGAGATGTGAGGAGCACACGGGAATGAGGATCAAAAGGATCATTTCTACATCCTCTCCCTCTTCAGTTGAAAGAAATACTAGTAGAAAAGAGGGTCCAAATGGTCTGTTATTTATTCCAGCAGCTTTTATCGAAGGAAGTTCTCCTACTTGCGGGGCAGCATTACAGAATGGTTCATTCTGTAGCAGGAAAACAACGAAAGGAAACAAAAGATGCTGGCAACACTACGGCATGAAGGTCAATTCATGTCCTAGGATTAGCCCTAATGAGTTTATTTATGGTCAATCTTCTTCGCAAGCCTCGATCGACACCGGGTATGAGAAATGTTCATCAACTTGTGGAGCACCCACGCGCAACGGTTCGCATTGCAGAAGGAAAGTGAGTGGAGGTAGATGTTGGCAACATGGAGGCTATAGCAAGCTTAGGAAATGATACCAAAGGCAGGAAAAATTTTTGTTGACAGTGAGATTGCAACTTGTTCAGTTAACAATTATCTATTTATTTCTTTGATTGGTTCCATTCCATAACAATCATCTTCAAAATCAAGAATGAAGAATGCCTGGTGGAGCAATTTGAAAAAAGAAATTGTTGATGACAAGAACCCCCAGAATTGCAGTGCATTTACTATATTGGAGAATCTGCCAATGCCACCCTTTCACAAAATCCACCAATGGAGCATATGGATGACTTTATGAAAAAAAAAATATCCATAGATTAGGACAAATGGCAGACTGTATTCTGTCGGAAACCCATTCGATTCTCCTCAAAAAAACCGAATCCACACAATATTACTATCATAATTCAGTGAGCAGCTGCTTGTTTTTTTGTTTTCTTCGCCCGACAGATGACACGCGTAGAAGACAATCACAAACAGTATCAATTAGTCCAAAATAATCCCCACTTTTCTCCCGACAATCACCCAACAAAAGTCACTCACTCCATATACTTTAAATACCCCCAGTGGAGAAAGAGTACTTAGGCAGAGTAAGAGAAAATTGAGGAGCTGTAATGCCCGGGGAAGAATTACGCGCCGCCGCCACGTCGTCACCGCAATTACAGCCTCCGCCGTCCCCGATGGACGCCGCTGAAGACGGCGGCGACGAAGAAGCCCAGGTGTGGGATCAGATTAAGGCGGAGGCTAAGCGCGATGCAGAAGCGGAGCCGGCGCTAGCCAGTTATCTGTACTCCACGATTCTCGCTCACCCTTCTCTGGAGCGTTCTCTGTCGTTTCATTTGGGGAATAAGCTGTGTTCTTCGACGCTGCTTTCCACCCTGCTTTATGACCTCTTCCTTGATACTTTCTCCAATGACCCTAGCCTCCGTTCGGCCGCCGTCGCCGATCTCATTGCTGCCCGGGTTCGGGACCCGGCTTGCGTGTCGTTTTCCCACTGTCTTCTTAATTATAAAGGCTTCCTCGCTTGCCAGGTGATTCCTACTTCTTCGATGGTGTCGAAAATTTTCAGCTTACTTTCGTGTTAAAGATTGAGTCTTGGAATCATCGTCTTTTCTTTCTTTTTTTTTTTTTTTTCCCTCCATGAATTGGTGAATTGTACACTTGCTGTTCTTATTTTTACCGGACATTGTTGGAAATTTCGGTGTCATTTTCTATAAGGGATTAACTTTTAAGGACAAGTTTCAATGTTGCTTTGGTCTGACAAGTTTGGATAACGTGATGTGATTCTTAGGTTCATATTTTATATTAAATAGGAAGAAAATGGAAAGAGAAACTTATGGGAAAAAAAAATCCAATTTTGCAGAAATGAGTACCTGAAATTTGATTACCAGAAGTTGGCTTGTATCATGGTTGTAGTAGTGATGGAGGGGTTTACCTTTTCAAATCCTTTGTTCAATCCATGTAGGGGAAAGTAAAAATAGGCGCTAATTACGCACATACATTGCTCATAATTTGAGATTTAATGAATTTGAAACAGCAGTTCAAGCTTTGCGACTGTGGAATTTGTCTTAACGTAAATTCTATAACGAAATGATGTGTGTTGAGTTCCTGGAATAAGCTTGTGGATGAAATTATATTAATATTGATAGATGTAAGAATTTAGGCACAAGGGTTTTAGACCAGGATCAGCTTTTTAAAAATTCCTAGTTTTGAGAATTGGGCTGTCTAAGATCAACTATACTTGAAAAGTCCTTCATTAGCTTGGCTCCTTTTTACGTGCTCTTGTCTTAAGCTCCTGCTCTTGTCTTAATTCCGTTTGCATCATTAACAACATCATGTAAATTTTCCGGCTCATGATGCTGAAACCTCTCTTCCTTATCCAACTTCTCCAGTATAGAGAATGTGGAATTGACTTTATGTGATATTTTCTTCTAGCTTACAGCATATTCTGTGAGTCTTAAGATTCTTGATGGAGTTATATTTTTTGCTCCTCATCATCAAGTATTTAGCATTTGAGGCTTCTCTGGTTCCTTTGGTTATGAAGATGACTATCATCTCAGCTTTCTGTACTGTAAAATGCATGCTCAAAAGACCTTCTAAAGATTAAGTGCCATTGTACGAGATTTGTGCCCTCTTACTCTTTCTCTGCCACAAGGTTACTCTTGAGTCTTAGCAATTGTTACCCCCTGATGTTTTGGTTGCTGCTCCTGTAGAATCGTAAGACCTCTTTAATACCATGAGGATGTGGACTCTCAGCAAGTGCTCTAGTCTTTGGCTGATAACGAAACTTAGATCTAGGTGGAATAAAGGTGTGGATCTAAAAACTTCTTAAATGAGTCTAAGAAAGGTAAGCGACACCTTGGCATTCGTATGGACAAGGTGAGGAGTCTCTCTTAGTTCTTGTGACGACACTCTGGACTTCATTCCTTACGCTTTCGTACTTCCATCTCAATCATCTTTCCAATAAACTGACACTCAGGACTTCACCTCAACGTTTTCGTGTGTGTGTGTGTGTGTGTATGTGTGTTCTTTTTTTTTTTTTTTTTTTTTGGCTTTAGAGTTTCTATTTCACAAATAACATTAGCTTATGAATAAAATTAACCTTCTTGGTTAAGTTGGATTGTGATTGATCTGTATTGGAGTACATGGATTCTGAAATTGGTATTTACTGGAAATTATGTTCTGAAACTCAGATTAAATTCTTCGCTCTTAATCTTCTCTTCCTACTTCATCTGAATTCTGCTGTTCATATTTACCTTCCTGGTGTTGAAGCATCCTTTTTTTGACCTTTTTTTGAAACTTGAATTTGTATACCCCCAAATATTTCAGGCCCATAGAGTAGCCCACAAGCTCTGGAGTCAATCTAGAAGGGCACTTGCCCTGGCTCTCCAATCTCGAGTTGCTGATGTATTTGCAGTCGACATTCACCCTGCAGCTAAAATCGGCAAAGCTGTCCTCTTTGACCATGCAACTGGAGTGGTGGTTGGCGAAACTGCAGTGATTGGAAACAACGTATCGATCCTCCACCACGTAACTCTTGGTGGCACAGGAAAGTTTGGTGGCGATCGACACCCAAAAATTGGTGACGGGGTTCTGATTGGTGCTGGGGCAACTATACTAGGCAACGTAAAGATAGGAGAGGGTGCCAAGATTGGTGCTGGATCAGTAGTCTTGATAGATGTTCCTCCAAAGACGACAGCGGTTGGAAACCCTGCTAGGTTGGTGGGAGGAAAGAATAAGCCCAGACAGCACGATGAAGTGCCTGGAGAATCCATGGATCATACATCTTTTATCACCGAATGGTCTGATTATGTGATATGACCTCCTTCTATAACATAACCTGGAATCCTTCTATAAACGAAGTCTTCTGTATTGTACAAGATTGCCATATGTCTAAAAAGTAGGGAGCTTCCGAGAGATGCATTATTATATTCTAAAAATCAATGTATCATTTTTGCTCTCTTCATTGAAGCTGAAACTGAATATGCCAATTTTGATGAGCGTAACAGTTAAAACCTTGGATGTGGAACTTGTCACTTGCTAGGAGAAAATCGTTTGTTCTGTATTACATTATAAGATGACTTACGGAAACACTTGAGCCTTAAATCCTGGTCCTATTTTGGAACAAAGTGAAGTTATGGTAAGCGGTAACAATCCAATCATGTGGAGTCTAGTTGGTAAATGGATCATATGTGGCCGATTACCAACTAGCAACGAAGAAATAATAGTTACTCTTTCTGCTTCAAAAAAATAGTCGAGTTTCGAAATTTGTACTCTTCACTACACGCTGCAACGACGCCGTTGAGTAGATATTTTCTGGATACGCTCTTAAACAGTGGCATTTCCGTCGAATTCCTTCGTTTCAACTCTTCTCCCTCACCAATGGCTTCAATGTCTTCTATCCACACAGCAGGCAACTCCATTTTCTCTTCTACCAACTTTAAGTTTTCCTTTCCATCTCCCTTCTCTCATTTTCCTGTAAAGGTTTCTTCATCCAGAATCTCACCATCAAAACTTATCTTCTGTTTCAGTGCTCCAAGTTACAGTACGAGACCCAGACCCCGTCAGAACGCAGCTTCCATACCATCCCAACACAACAAGAACAATTACAGAAAATCCACTCTTGATTCAAAGGGCGCCAAACCATTACCTGAAAACCCAGAAACAATTCCACCACCAAACGTTGATTTGGTGTCTCTGTGTCAGGAAGGCAAAATTAAAGAAGCAATTGAATGCATTTCGCAAGGTGCCGAGGCTAGTTATTATGTGTTTGAATCTTTGCTCAGTTCGTGTTGCAGTGCTGAATCAGCTGAGCTGGGGAAGAATGTGCATGAGCTTATTATGAAGTCGCCATTTAGTAGGAATGTTGAGCTGAACATTAGATTGGTGGAGATGTATGTCAAGTGTGGGAACATGAAGAGTGCCCGTAAAGTGTTTGATAGGTTGCGTGACAGGAAACTGGAGTTATGGCATTTGATGATTGATGGTTATGGGAAAAATGGGGAGGGGAAGAATGGGCTGCTTTTGTTTGAAAATATGAGGAAAGCAGGGATTCTGAAACCGAATGGAGAGACATTTTTGGCAGTTTTATCAGCCTGTGCTAGTGAAGGGGCCGTGAAGCGAGGGTTTTTGTACTTGGAGATGATGAGAGATGAATGTGGAATCATGCCAGGGATGGAGCATTATCTGGGAGTCATTGAAGTTCTGGGTCAAGCCGGCCATTTAAATGAAGCTTTGGAGTACATTGAGGATCTGCCAATGGAGCCTACAGTTGAAGTTTGGGAGGCAATGTTGCGCCTTGCCCGAATACACGGAGATTTGGAGCATGAGGATCATGCTGAGGAGATGTTGATGAAGTTTGATCCCAGTAAAGCTCCAGCTGGTAAACTTCCTACACCATTGCCCAAGAGGAATTATGAGTTCAATATGCTTGACGGGAAGGACAGAGCCATTGAAATAAGATGCATAGATCCTTACAAAGAAGGTGGAAATGATAAATTCAGAGGCCTAAATGGGCAGATGAGGGATGCCGGGTACGTTCCTGATACAAGGTATGTACTTCATGACATTGATGAGGAGGCTAAGGAACAGGCTTTGATGTATCATAGTGAACGTTTAGCTATTGCATATGGTTTGATTAGTACTCCAGCACGAACAACCCTTAGGATCATTAAGAATCTCAGAATATGTGGAGATTGTCATAATGCTATAAAGATCATGTCTAAAGTTGTTGGCAGGGAATTGATTGTTAGGGATAATAAAAGGTTTCATCATTTCAGAGATGGCGTATGTTCTTGTCGGGATTATTGGTAATTACATAATCTTTAGCTGCTGGAGCCACAGATTCTTTGTATTAGCTAGTACAATTCTCAAAACTGTATAGAATTGTTAAAAGGAAAAGAATAGTAGATTATGTAATAGAACTATGGGTTAAATAATGTTGCACTCTTGTATAAACTGGTTGTCTCCTCATATCCAAATACAAAGAGGAACAACCTTCAAGAATATGGGACCGAATCCCATTAGGGCCTTATCTCTAGAGTATATGATTTCAATCTTTACAAGAATAGGAATCAACATTGTGAATACGAAACTGGACCATTCCTCTTTATTCCAATGTCCCAAATAGTCGGTTGATCAATCTAGTGCTGGCCATTGTGGTTGAGTCCTTCCATTCATCAACATTCTTTCTCCTTTGATTTTCAGATTATTATGACCGAAAAATGCCTATATTACAGTTGAATATGATACAGTCAAGTGTTAAATGATGACGGTTGTCTGTTTCTTCTGTTGGTTGAGACTTCTATTACCGATTCGTCTCTTGATGGAACTCTCAGATATGATTTCATGACATCGTATACAGTGAATCCAATAGCAACAGATGGTACAACCTGAAATGTGAGTATGTTCAGGAAATCTGATCTGTAATTGACAGAATGATCCAAAACAATTTAGCGAAGACCGATGCAGGCTTACCTTCAAGTAGTTCAGGCTAAGGCCGGAAAATAAGTGCTTCCATCCATTGTTTTGCACAATCATAACAAGGGTCTCTATGGTCCCTTTCATATCGGCACTGTTAGATGCCGAAAGTCGCTGGACCTGCCATGTTTTAATTACCACTTCTTTTAGAAATTAGAACATGTATAGATGGGAGTTCAATTCGGAAACTTTGAGGAGCTTACCTGCATTTGTCTCCTGACAACATCAAGAGGATAAGTGAATGTTTGACCAAGTAAACCTGCAACTGATCCACACGCAAGTTTTATAGTAATATCCTTCTTGTGGTCTTCAGGAACACGCCTTTTCATTTCCTCATAGAAGTAGAACTTCAGTCCAGCATAAGGGAAAATTCCATACAAAGATGGAGCTGAAATGATAGAATAAATGTCAAATAAGAGAGTTGAGGAAACAAAACATGGAACTATTAGGAAATTTTATATATAAATATAAATATATATATATACATATTTATTTTGGGGTAAATAACTAATAGGAAATTTGGGAAAGCTTAACATACCAACTCCACGATAAAGGCCTCTGGTTCCAGCCTCCCTGTAAGTCTTGGAGAAGCAATCCACGATTCCTTTATAAACTTGTTCGCTAGGAAGATGGCCTTTAACCTACAGTAAGGTAATCCAATAACTTCTGTTAACCAGATTCAAGTCTGATGAAGTTCAGAAGAGATATAATTCTTTCTCCTACCTGGTAAGCCAACTTCGTCCTAACTAAATCAAGTGGATAAGTGAAAAGGACGGCAGTTGCACCAGCAAAGGATCCTGCTACCAGATCAAGAACAGGGCCTGTCCCAAAGCCAGGTATCGAAAGGTTTATCAGTCGCCGGTATTCTTCATAGGCCATATAATGTAGTGCCGCATAGGGCACAATGCGTGCAGCACTAGCCCCATTTCCCCTGAAGGAAAAATCCAGCAAGCACATAATTTATAATTAATGCCCACACTTGTTTATCGAAATAAGCAACCTGAACACCTACATTATAAGGCTAAAAGCTAGAAGATAATATAATTTCACCTGTAGAAGCCGAGGAGCCCTTCAGTTTTCGCAATCTTAGAGAATGATCCAAGGAGCCCTATACTCCGGAATTCAGCCTGTCTGGTCTAGCAAAAACAAATGAATGCAAAATTAGCTCATTCTGTTTGAAGTTTACTTTAGCCTCAATATCAATGTGTTCATTAGAATTTCATATTGCTCTGATCAACAAGTTCTGATCAATCAAACGAAAACCCCATTCTCACCTACATCAAACAAAAAAAAAGAAAAAAAAAATGATCTTGCAGAGTTCCAAGCAGACACTAATCAACAATTCTAAACTCCACCAAATCACATAAGCAAGACCATCATCTCTCTTCACCACAAGCATCCCAAACCAAATTGAACAGACAATGACTCTCTAGGGGACAAAAAAAGATCCAATTCCTCATAAATTAGGCAACACTACTAACTGGATGACCCCTGTAATCAGTAAATTCAAAGAATTGTGATTAGCAGCCCCAAACAGTACCTGAAACAAGATCTTAATTCGTTCAAGAGGGGCAACAGCAGATTTTGCAATCCCACCAGCCACACCACCAGCTATGAACTCTTTAGCAAACAAAGGCATGCCCTCAATCACCCCATCTCGAGAAAGCTCTCTTTCATCTCTCTTATTATCCATCCCCAATCTTTTCTGCAGCATAAACAATACAAAGAACAAGAAGAAAGAATCAATCCCTCCAAGAAGAAAGGATAGATCCCTTGCTTCTTCCGGAATCAATTGCCACTTGCCAACAAACAATGCAGAATCGAAAACGTCTTTGTTCTCTTTAAAAGTTTAATTCCCCTCTAGAATCTGAATGGGGCGAGAATTGGAAAAAAAACATGAAAAAATTTTGTTGGGTTATTTATGGGAGTATCACGTATGCGTACGTACAAAGACGGTATTTTTAAAAAATACACAAGATATTGTTTGCGGCACTAGACTTTCGACAAGTCAGACTCAAGTTCCATTTACGTCTCCTATTTGTACAATTATTTAAAACAAAAGTTATACTACTACTAGAATATTTTTCTTTTTAAAAAGGGTGAAAAAAAAATTCAAAATAAACGTGCCCTGTAATATAATTTTTCCATTAGGACGACGCCATATCATTTAGAACCTCTGAAAATGTTAATGGTGGGCGGAAAGGATATGTTATTTTTATTTTATTGATAGGATGATTTTTTTATATAGTATTTTTTTTTTTTTGAAAAAGAACTATTAATTTTATAACAAAAGCTGAAATCAACCAATGATGACCAGAGGAGACCATTTTATAATAAAAACTTGAATCAATCAGTAGTGAGTGATGAACAAAGACAACCACAATGTGTCCTCACCTTAGAAGACTTTAACATTATCAGCAATTTCTTGAGTTAATGAATTCTCTAACCGACTAATCCAAAATAATCTAAAATAGATTAAGATTAGAGAATTTTTGTAACTTAATAACTTAGTGTGAAAACAATATATAGACGGGATGATTTTTTTATATCGATAGTAACTAAGTTCACTATTTCTTATGAGTAATTTCTAGATAAAAAAAGAATATCCCGCATTAGTGTGAAAATTCAATTGACATTTGATCCCAATTTCTTTTGAAAGATTGCATATAAATACAACTTTTTAGGCCAAGAATGTGATTTTATTTGTAGAGAAATCCAGCCATTAGTCTCCGCAGATTAGCAATTATCCACCATTTCGATCATTGCCAGCATCAATAAGTCGAAGAAGAATCTGCTCAAGTTCTTCCCCATTGGACCATTCATGAACTCCTGCTTCAATGAGCTCTGGATTACTATTTATGCGATCGCATAGCGGGAAATTCTTCCTGGGCATCACATGGTCTCCCTTACCAAGCTTCAAGGCAGGACAGAAATCACCACCTCCATCTCCAAGATATATGAATCTGGTATCCTCATAGTCTGCCCCCAATGAAGCTAGGAACCTCTTAAAAACAAGTCCCTAAGGAAAAAAAAGCTGATCAGATCAGAATGCCTCATTGGAGGACTCATAAACAACAGCCATTCTAGCAAAACAAGGGTCCAATGAATCACTCTGAACAAATTTCACAAGCCCGCGTTGAGCGATGTTTTTGAAAAGACATTCAATCCAAAAAACAATTGTAGTAAATGAAGAAAGGGGCAACTACTTGAATGCGGTTGAATACCTTGCACATGTTAGGAGGACAAAGGGTGCAGCCGTGGGGAGCATTTATGTCGTGGTAAGGGTAAATCCTAAGCCTGTCGTGCTCATCCACTGTAGATGGATTTGTGATGATCTCAGAGAAACAATCAAGTAATCCGTGATGCTTCAAGACAGTCTCAATGTAGAACTTATTAGCATCACTGACCACTTTTAGATCACATCTGAGACACAGTAAGCACAAATTTATGAATGAGAATGTGAAAAAAATTGAAGGACAGTACAGAATGGAGAGTGAAGGGATTCACCCCTTAGAATGAGCTGACTTAATGGCAGCAGCAGTTCGCTGATGCAGAGGAATCCCTTGCAAACACTTGGCAATCTCTTCAGTTGTTCTACCTTGTGAATGTAATTCTTCAACCATCCTATCCTAGTACATAAACAAATCAAAAGCCAACCCTCATCTCATCAAACCTCATCCTTAACCATTTGCAAGAACTGTCTAGCCTAATATATTTGGGATGAAATTCTAACAAGTGAAACGATATAACAACTTGGCAACAAGAAAAACAATGAACAGCCAACAAAAACAGCATTTGATGAGTTCTCTGTGTCAATCAAGTAATAACTTCAACAATCAACAATCAACATCAGCAAAGGGAGTAAACTGACTGAAGAAGGTACCAAAAGCTGCAAATTGGGCGTAAAACAAAATTATACAAGTACAAGCCTAAATCTTTTCATACCAAAGCAATCATTCATATATGAACTGGAATCTACGGCCAATCTTCATAGTCAAGACACAACATTAATGTCAAAAATTAAGAAAAGGGCACTTAGGGATGTACTTAGGGAACTGACCATGAGAGATGTCCAAGGCATAATGGGTCGGAGCTGATTGTACAAATGGGCCAAACCCATCTCACAAATAACCCACCGGTCAGAGTCATCGTCGATCAGCGTCCGATCAAAGTCGAATATGATCACAATTTTGTTGGCCATTTTTAACGGTTTCAGGAGCACCCCACGAAGGAAAAATGTTCTGTATCCTTTGGGGCCTCCTGAAATAAAAAAAGTGGAGAAGAAATTTCAGTTCTATCAAAATTCAAAATCCGATCACTTCGGTGGTGATGTATATGATTTAGTTTTAGATTAGTATTACTGGTTAATAGTATCCTTATCTCTCTGCTGATTTCAATTAATTTCTCACCTTTTTTTGAGTTTTTCCCCACCGTTAAGGTAAAGGTACCTCATTTATCATTTCTTTTCCTTCGAATTGGTTGTTCACTGTTTACTTTATCTTTCCAATGTCCAAATTTTCTCCCCCTTAAGACAAAAGTTAAAAAGCAACAGCTGTTTTCCGTGTTCTTCACTTGAAGAAAAATGTCCATAAACAATGAATGCCAAGTTGCCCTTTGCCAACCTGAAATTTGGTGGCATACATGTCTTAAAAATGGTTCTTTGAGCCATTTCAGCAGAATCAAATCGAAAGGGGGGAAAAAAAATAAAGAAGTTTGAAGCATCAATGCCCGCAAATTATTGATCTCTTTTGTCATTGTTTTCTTTCATGTAAATGTCCACTTCAAGATGGATTTTACAACTGAAGAGCCATTTATAGGATTCGCTGACTACAAATGAATGAATACAGTGGCATGTATCTCCCTCCTCCCCCTATGTCCATTAAAGAATATCAGTCCTATATCTACATTCCAATATCTACCCATCACCGTGAAATTTCAACAGCGTTTCAAAAAAGAAGCTAAAAACACAACAATGTGGATTATTAATGTACATCTTTGTCAGTCCAATGATCCATCATTATCTTTGGCATATTTGGCTGGGACGACGCCAATGTTATATTCTTGTTTTGATTGGTTTCAATTTCAATCCCATACTTTCGGGTGAAAGCAGCTCCGGCGATATGCAAGTTGGGCTCAGAGGACTCCTTGGACTCCCGGTTAACTGAGTCGGGCGGTACATACCGAATCCAGTCAGGAAATACTCCATGGGTATTAACATTGCATGAGGCTGCTCTTCCGTCACCATTGATCCACAAGCTTGTACCTGCAAGAATATAATAACTCACCCTTCAGAAATTCTAAAAGATATTGATCGCATTCTGATAAAGATAGTGCTAATGTAATAACAATGTGATTGGGAGCTAGGATCCCACATTAACGCCTACAAAACTGTGGATTCAGATCTCAGCAATGAAAAGAAGGTATGTTTTGTTAGTATTTAATTCCATCTGCTGACTTGTAAGTAATTAAGTGTGATTTTTTTATGAATATCACACCAGCTCATCATTACTCCTACCAAAATAAGTTGGATACAGTTCAGAGTTCTAGAAACTAACAAAAAAAGGAAAGGAAGATCTACCAGTTAATGTGCAATCTGATTTCTAAATGACATCAAAAGAATGTCATTGGTAGTTGGTACAATACCTCAACTAAAGCACAGTATCTTCTGTCCAGCTTAGATGTCATGTGGAGAGCCTCGGCATAGAAAGGAGAATTCTCCCCAACAAATATTAATGTCCGGCATTTCAAACTTTTCAAGCCCTCCGTAATATCAGGTCTCCTGTTTATCAGCAAGAGAATGCACAAGTTGCAACATTTGTGTCCCGAGAGAGATTATTACATGCTAAAAATCATAAAATTGCTCGGAGTTCTTTTACCTATCAATGCATTGAAGAAATCGGAAGACATTAATACTCTGTCTCTCGTCCAGCAACTGAAAGAAATGCATAACACGAAAACATAAACTTCAACAATCAAAGCATCTGGTGGGGATAAAGGGGCAGAGTCCAATTATCATGCCAAATAAAAGAAACAAAAATGAGGCACTAACTCTTCTGCAGGCTTGAACTATATCTGATTCTGGAACTTCTGCACTACCTCGAACTTCCTGATACATGTCGAACAAACTTCCTTAACATAAATGAAGGAAAAAAGAAGGAAAAGGAGCAAACAAGGTTTAGCAGGACTAGTGTCACTTGACAGATGGTTATACCTTGCTGAAGTAACGGAAAAGTAAGCAATCCTTTAGCAGACCACACATACCATAGAAGTACAGCAAGTTCAACATCACCTACACAGAAAACAAATCACTTAGGTTAAGGTCATTTTACTTGGACCAACTAACTACTAAGTAAAAGATAGGTGTAACAAGACAGACCTTATTACAAAACCATTCCGTCCACGAGGGTGTTCTGCACAGAGGAGAAACGAGGATCAACCCAACAACCCGCTCTCTATACTTCATCTGGGAAAAAATTACTGTCGGTCAATGAACACCGTAATTATGATGCTATTTTTAAACATGGGCAGGAAAGGGAAACGTACCGCAAATAAGGTGAGAATGTAAGCTCCTGCAGTCACTCCCATGCACATAACTGCCCCAAGCCTGAATAAAGACAATTTCAGAGTCAGGGGGGCGATGGATAAAAGAGGGAATGTTCGAAATGCATGCAAAATGACACTAAATAGAACAACCATTAGGTTTAAAGAATTAAGATTAATGAACTGCATTCATACAACTCCCAAAGTAAATTACCTAAAGTGATTTAGAACCTCAACTATTTGATCAGCTAAATCATCAACTGACGGGACGGGATCATCAGGACAAATGGCAGCAGCTCCCAACTGCAGGAACTCTTGTGGAAGTCCCCAAAACACTATGTGAGTAACAGCATTATCAAGTAAACGACAAGTTTTGAGGCTAAAAATTTCTCCCCGGGGAAACAAAATCTACAAACACGTTAGCTACAAGAAAGCAAGCACTGACCTCATGCCCAGGAGGACTGATGTGGTAGATGCAGAAATTATGAAGCAGCAAAGTAGCTGCTTCTGGACAAAAGAACAATCCTTGGAAGCATGACATGTCTGCAGGAGATGCAATAATCACACGGGAGAAAAGCATGAGACAACAAGAAAAACAGAACAAGAAACTATATACGAAAAGCTATTTTGGAAAAATAAAAAGAAAATGACTTACGATTTAGGGCTAAATCAGGATATGTGACAAGTGCAGGCTTGTCTTGGTCACCATATACGATAACAGATACAGAGCCACGGCCAGTCCGTACAGTATGTTCCTGCATATAGATTACGTATCTCGCATTACAAACATATTCCTTATGCAAAGGTATTTCAAATCATGGAGAGAAAATTAACTCAAAGTTCAAGGATTTGTCAAGTGAGAATACATTTATTTGTGCCATGAGACTATATCAACAGAGAGAACTAGATTAAACTAGGCTCATAGCTCACAAGACACATTCAATGCGTAAGAGAATTCACGTCCAGATTAAGCAAATCCAATTAATAATGGCAGTAACTAATGTAAGTTTTCGGGGATCTTCGTCTTATCAGCTTGCATGACAAAGACCAGCCAAGAAATAACTTTTATAACTTTTCAATAATTGAACTTTTGAAAAAGTAAACCCAGCTTAAAAGAAAAGTATGGGGCCAACAAGCCAATAATGTAATCTTGACAGGTGGTATAATCAAGTGATGATTGCAACACCTAACCAGATGATATAGAAACTAACACACAGACAAAATAACAGATGCATAGAGTAACAGCCAAGTTGTGTTTTCCAAAAAGAAATTAGTGATTGGCGCATGACAGGTGTCAGAAGAAAGTGCCCCCAATTAGGCAAATTTAAGTAAGGAATCAGAAACCAACCAACTAGAAACGAGATGTATTCAATTCATCCCATGGAAAAACAAGGACTGAAAAATAAACCAAAAAAAAAAAAGATGAGGAAGCACCAAACATCTTACTATTTGAAGATTTACATCCCACATTGGGCAGAACAGAAAGTGTGTCCAAATTGATTATGCGTGCAAAAACTAAAGCAAAAATGGAAGCCTCAATCGGGTAAAGAGGAAAACTAAATGAAGAAGAAAGAAAAGTAAACACCTAAAGTTCCATTTTTTATCCTCTAATAAGGTGGTAATCCAAAAGGTGACCAACAGCCACAATTCTTAAACTCGTGAAGAATCACAATGCACCACAAATCCAATTTACCACGTTATCTCAAAAAGGGGGAAAAAGAAGGATCAATTCAAGCTGCACAAGAATTTAATCATTAACAACTTATTATCACAGAAAGAAAAGGCACAATTTTCGAATTACAAATGACACCAATGCGCTAATTCAATTACTAATTCAAAATGATACAATTCAACCCCCAGAACAAGAAGAACTTGAAACAAAACCATCCATTTGTAAACAGCAACAAGAAAGAACACCAAAAAACCTAATCATTGTGCTCCCTCCAAACATAGTTTCCACATTGATAACCCAGGTGGAATACAAACTACATTCTTTGCGCAAACAAAACGCGCAAGTTCAAGCAGAATAACAAAAGAAGGAAGAAATTTCAACACAATGCACGCAAGAACCGCAAATCTTTTTTAAAAAAGAGGAACAAAAATAGAACCTTTCCGCCAAGATAAATAGTCTCTATATCGACGGAAAAGGAATCGCTTGAATCCGCCATGGGCCGGTGGCTCCGACTATCTGGGTGTGAAACCAAAGAACCAGCTAGAAGAGAAAAAGCCTTCTCAGTCTTGTCAATCAAAATCAAATATTGTACATCTATATCTATCTATATATAAATGTATGATAGAGATAGAAAGAAGCCTCAATGGCTTATGTACCAAGCGATTCTTTCTCTTTATTTTTCTTGAATATTTTTCTCTTTCTTTTTTGGTTGTAATGGGGAGCTTTCTAATCTCTGGCTGTCTTTCAAACCAGAAAATAATGATCTTCGGCTAATAATATAAGGGATAAACCCAACCGACAGTTTTATAAGTTAAACGTCATTATTTTCTTAATTTTCTTTTCTTTTCTTTTTGGGAGGGGGACTTTCTCTCTCACACAGTCACACAGTTGAGAAAGGGGAAGAACGAAGGAGAAAAATCAAAAATGGCGACGGGCTGTGAGAGAGAGAGAGAGAGAATAATTCGGGGGGCTTATAAACTCTTAAACCATTGAGCTGAGTTGGAAGGGTTAACTGTAGTTAATTGAATGACCCCGACAACTGGGCTTAGCTTGGCTCCCTTCGTATATTTGTGGGTGTATGGGCCCAGTTTCGGTGGGTGCCCGTATTTAGGGCGCGCTAGCCTGTCACCTGACTCACCGTTCATACAATGAACCCGCTACCTTCCAAGGGGGTCATATCGTAATTGTACATTTTTTTCCCAGTTGTAATCGTGATTTTCTTTTTTTTTTTGACCTACAGTTGTTCCTGGTCAAATATTAGGTTAATACACATTTCAACAGAGCATCATTCCGTTTAACCCCCCCCCCTCCCCCCCAAAAAAGCATCGTTTCCAGCTTCATGTCGATGACAGCCAAACGATCCGTTCCAAAAAATACTCTAATTCATTTAGATTAATCATTTCGAATTCGTTGAGGCACCGGTCTTCTGTGATACCATTGTGTTACACTCTTTGTGACACCACCTAAAATATTGACAAGTGTCAATTAAAACACAATCTAACTGAACATAAACTCTAATTAAACTTATTATTAATTCCTAAAATTAATTATTTATTTCCTTATATATAAAAAAACAACTCCCCCTCGCGCCACCCCCTCTTCTTCTCTGCTCTCTCCATATTCCCTTGCTCTCATCTGCGACTCACGTCCTTCTATGTTTTTCTCTGAAATTCAAAATTCAATTTTTTCTTTCTTGCATAAAATTAATACTGTTAGGAATTTTTAAATCTATGACAATGATTTATTGTTTGTCAGATATATTGAAGTTTATTACCGATTACCAATTGTCAACAAAAAAAAAGTGAATAAAAGGAGACAATTGATTGAATTGTAGGACTTCAGTGGCATCACACCCAGTTAGGATTGAAATTTTAAAATTGGATTTTGGGAAAGAAGAAGCATATGATGGAGATTTTGTTTTTTTGATGACCTGCGTAAGGATTTGATTCAGATTTTGGTGAAGGAAAAATAAAAAGGATTGAGAAGTTGGCGACCTGAGAAAATTTTTGCGGTGGTGGTATCGGCGATAATGACTGTTTTGGTGAAGACGGCGACTCTGCAGCAACACGTATTTGATGTGTATATTTGATAGGTTAAGGCAACGGGGAAGTGGAGGGAAGGGAGAGTTCTCTTTTTTTCTTTTTTCTTTTTTAAATGAAGAAATAAATAAATAATTTTAGGAGTTAATGATAATGTTTGACTAGAGTTTATGTTTGGTTAGTTTGAGTTAAGTAAATGGACACTTGTCAATATTTTAGATGGTGTCACAGGGAGTGCCACACAATAATGTCACAGAAGACCCAGTGCCACTCGTTGAGAAGATAATCGATAAATATTTTTTCATAGATGATTGATACGTAATAATAGCTCTAGTGAAATAATAGAAAAAAAAATAATAATTTGCATAGACTAGAGTTTCAAGTTTTAACACTATCTATGAGTAGGGAACAAAAAAAAATTGCAACGTGTGTTAGGAATTCCAGCTCGTGATAAGCCTAAGGAGTTTCGATATTAAGTTCAATAAGTAAATATTAATCCATTTCAACTTAAAACTTCAAGATGATAGGTGTTTGGGCTATTACTCTCAGGTGTTGAGCAGATTAACTTAATCATGATTTCAACAATCTTTTCGTTACTCTTATATATATATATATATATATATATATATATATTACTCTCAGGTATTGAGCAAATTAATTTACTCATGATTTCAACAATCTTTTCGTTACTCTTATATATATATCGATGCATAAGTCAATGCAGTACAAAATTCCTCACGGAATATTTCGTTGACTTATTTGTCAAAATATAAATCAAGACGAATAACTCGACGAAGAGGAAATATTTCCTGGTATAAATTTTGTTGACTTTTTCATTGAGCTATATAGATCAACGAAAAAGTCGACGCAACACAAAATTCCTTAGAAATATTTCGTCGACTTTGCCGTCCAGATAGATATCGCGATGTATAATTTGACGAAGGCAAATGAATCATGGTGTGAGTTTCGTCGCCTTATTCGTCGAGATAAGTATCTCAACAGGTATGTAGACGCAGTACAAATTTTTTTAGTGAACATGTCAAGTTATGTATTCATTTGAATAGGCAGGGCATATTTTAGCTTCCTTTTACGGAGCGTGCATGGTGATCTTAGTACTGGAGGAATAAAACGCTGGATATGAAGATTTTCGAGCATTGAGTATTTGAGTAAAGGAGCTTTCATAATAATTAACCAACAAATATTGCATTCGTGATGGGGGGTGATCAAATCCATAGACTTTGTATGTGTTCCAATGGTCATATATATCAGATAATTGGCGTGCCCCCTCTGTTTGATGTGTTTCAATCGAAGTATTTGCGGTATTTGTTTTTAAGGAAGATATAGCTAATTTTAACATGAGGAACATACTTCGGTCCATACTGGAGGAAAGCGCTAGCACATTGAGCAGCATAATAAATAAGGTTAATCTTGGTGCAACAACATTTTCTTTGAATATATGATCCTTCATCCCATTTGGTACAAAAGAGGTTTCCAAGTAAACATCTAAACAAGGAAGCAACTTTGTAAAGGTTTCCGCAAGTGTAAATTTGTGATATTAAGTAAGATGCAATCTTTTGCTTAGTTCTAGAAAAGAAGACAAACTCCTCTACTATTTTTACTTGTAAGTTGCTGTAAATTAAAAACTTCAGACATCTCATGATTCTTAGTTTACCTTGAAACCATGAGTTTAATACAACAACAACAACAACAAGCCTTGTTCCTACTGGGTGAGGTCGGCTATATGGATCATATGTCGCCATCGTGTACGATCGGTGCATAACTCATCTAACAAATTTAAAAACTTTAAATCATTTTTTATAGTTTCTTTCCATGTTTTCTTAGGTCTACCCCTACCCCTTTTAATTTGAAATCTTGATTCTATAGTCTCTACCCTCCTAACCGGAGCCTCTACCGGTCTCTTATGCACATGCCCAAACCATTTTAAATCGTTTTCTCTTATTTTTTCGTCTCTTGGAGCTACCCCTACTTTCTCTCTAATACAATCATTTCTAATCCTATCTAATCTAGTATGCCCATACATCCATCTTAACATTCTCATCTCCGCTACCCTCATTTTTTTTGCTCATTTTCATATTTAGTGGCCCAACATTCGGATCCATAAAGCATCGCCAGTCGAATGGCCGTTCTATAGAACTTACCTTTCAAACTCAATGGTACTTTACGATCACAAAGTATTGACGAGGCACTACGCCATTTATTCCACCCGGTTTGGATTCTATGTGTTACATCTTTATCAATACTTCCATTTTCTTCTATAATGGATCCTAAATATTTAAAACTTTTAGATGTGTTCACTTTATGTTCTCCAATCGTAACATTTACCATGCTATTACTCCTACGGTTACTAAAGTGACATTTCACATATTCCGTTTTAGCCCTACTAATTGTAAAACCTTTAGATTCTAACGCCTCCCTTCAAGTCTCTAACTTGGCAGTAACCCCCTCCCTTGTTTCATCTATTAGAACTATGTCATCCGCAAATAACATGCATTCAGGAATGACTACTTGCAAGTGTTTAGTGATTTCATCAATTACTAAAGCAAAAAGGTATGGGTTCAACGCTGACCCTTGATGCAAACCAACCTTGATGGGGAACTCACCCGAGATTTCTACGGGAGTCCTCACACAAGTTGTTGCATTATCATACATGTCTTTTATTATTTCTATATATCCTACTCTCACTCCCCTCTTTTCTAACACCCGCCATATTATATCTCTATTATCCCTATCATATGCCTTTTCAAGGTCAATGAAAACCATGTGTAAATCTTGTTTTCTCTCAATAAAATGCTCACATAATCTTCTTAATAAATGTATAGCTTCTATTGTTGATCTTCCGGGCATAAAGCCAAATTGGTTTTCCATTATGTTTGTCTCTTGCCTTAGCTTAGTTTCTATTAACCTTTCCCACAATTTCATTGTGTGCCACATTAGGTTTATGCCCCTATAATTAGCAAAATTTTACATATCTCTTTTATTTTTAAACAAGGGTATTAGTGTACTCTTCCTCCATTGGTTAGACATTTTCTTACTCTTTATTATTATGTTGAATAACTCCGAAAGCCACTTAATCTCAAATTCACCAAGAAATCTCCATGCCTCTATTGGGATGTCATCGGGACCTACGGCTTTACCCTTTTTCATTTTGTGCAAAGCTTTCTCAAGCTCTTTAATTTGGATTTTCCTATAATATGTGAAATTTTTATGCTTCTCACTTAGCTCTAGTTCACCTAGTGTTGTTTCCCTATTATCTATTTCATTAAATAGTTTGTGGAAATAATCTTTTCACCTATCTTTAATGATCTTATCATCCACTAAGACATGCCCATGTTTATCTTTTATGCATTTAATCTCGGTTAAATCTTTTGTTTTCTTTTCTCTTATTTTTGCAAGTTTATAAATGTCTTTTTCTCCCTCCTTACTATCTAATTTTTTGTAAAAGTTTTCAAAAGTTTTTGTCTTTGCCTCACTTACTACTTTTTTCACTTCTTTTTTAGCATTTTTATATTTTTCAACATTCTCATCACTCCTACAAGTATATAATGCTTTGTAGCATACTTTTTTCTCTTTTACTTTTTCTTGAATATCTTGATTCCACCACCATCATTCTTTATTGCATTTATTCCCTTTTGAAATTCCTAGTTCTTTTTTAGCTATTGCTCTTATTTCTTTAGTTACCATTTCTCAAGTTTTATTGGCTTCTTTTTTCATGTTCCAATTAACTTTTTCAAGTAACGTCTTAGTAAACCTATCTTTTTTATCTTTGTTATTAAGGTTCCACCATTTTATCCTATGTATTTTAGGTATTTTCCTCTCACATATATTGGTTTTAATTCTTAAATCTATGACCAACAACCTATGTTGGGTTGTTATACACTCTCCCGGTATCACTTTATAAACTTTACAAAGTTGTTTATCATTCTTCTTAGTTAAAAAGTAATCAATTTGTGATTTGTTAGAGCTACTTTTATATGTAATCAAGTGTTCATCCCTTTTTTTAAACAAGGTGTTACATATGACAAAGTCATATGCCACCGAAAGGTCCAATATAGTTTTACCTTCAATATTTTGTACCCCAAAACCATAGCTCCCAAGAACCCTCTCATATTCTTCATTTTCCCTTCCTACATGTCAATTTAAATCCTCACCTATAAAGATTTTTTCATTTTGAGGGATTGATTGGATCAATGACTCCAAATTATCCCGAAATTTTGATTTAGTGGCTTCGTCTAATCCTACTTGAGGCGCATACGCACTAATTATATTCATGGCCTCATTTCCTATTATCATTTTTAAGGTTATTGATCTATCCCCCTTCCTAACCACCCCTACTACTTGGTCTATGAATAATGAATCCACTATAATACCAACCTCATTCCTATTCCTATCTTTCCCACTATACCAAAGTTTGTACTCCGTGTTGTCTAGAACTTTGGCCTTTTCACCTACCCATTTGGTTTCTTGCAAACACATTATATTTACCCTCTTTCTTCTCATACGTTCTACTAGCTCTAGAGATTTACTTGTTAAGGATCCTATGTTCTAACTCCCTAACCTACAAGTCTTATCATTTCTATGATTATTCCTAGGTTGTTTTCTACATTGGGGATTTTTCCTAGTTCCCACTACTCTTACGCCCTTATGAGAGTATAGTGGTCTTTGCCAAGAAGTGAAAGATTTAACTTGTAATGCTTTCTTGGCGTATGGGGCCTCTTGCACATTTTGCACTACACCCAAGTCCCCATGGGGATGTAGCAGTCCTTGCCAAGACGACGCAGTCGGACCCTATGGTGCGCCACGTACAACGGATGGTGTTCTAACATTTACACGATTTCTTATATGATCCATATTCATGAGAATGGCGGGGGTTTTTAATGATGGTTGCCAACCTAACGCAAACCCTCCTTCTTTACATTGGCTTGGGATAGTCAACGATAAACTCTAGAGAACTAACGAACCCTAGAATTTACCGCAAGCGGAGTTGAAACCATGAGTTTAATGAAGTACATTAATGATCCCAAGCGTCAGTTCCCAGTGAATCAAGTACTACTTGACCAAATTGTAACAAATGCAGCACGGGGGGATGTAAAATAAGTTTAAGATAAATTTTACAATTTTATTTTTAGAAAAAAAAATTTATTTATATGTTGGAAATCGTCCAACTGCGTTCGACAATACAAAGAAACAGTCTAAAACACAACTTGCAACAGATTACTATCATCTTATTGTTGTGTTTACCGTGAATAAACCTACACAGATCTATCCAAAATAAGACTGGACATATCACGTACCGAGATTCAGATCCGGTTAAGGATATATCACTAATTAATCATATGAAAACTCCAAATTATAAATCTAATAAATAGATTTATAACAACTGATTCTTGTAGAAGAGTCAACAACGAGCCCTCGAGCATCACCACCACATCATGAACATAACAATCGATTCTTGTTGAATAGTGAACAACGAGCCCACAAGCATCATTAATGACACCACGAACATTGCACACAGCATATCCTACCCCCAACTAGTAGATTCGATCTACTGGGAGAATACTATAATCAAAAGTACCCTACTCTTTCAATAAATCACCCGAGTAATAACTTTTGGGATTAATCCCCTTTATTAAAACAGAAAGAGAAACAAGAATACGATAAAACTAAAGAAAAAATTATTTCCCCTCTCCTTCCATGATGGAAAGAAAGGGGAGAATTGGGGAATTTATTTAGGGTTTAGATAAATTTGACAATTTAAGTTAAAATGTTCTATGAATGGGGTATAAAAAGAGATAATTTTAAAAAAAATTGGGTTTAAATGTTTTATATGTTTCTACAAAAGTCTAGAGGAATGTCCATAATTTCTAAAAATTCAGGGCTCACTCCGATAATTTTCGCAAATCAGTAGAAATCTATCACCCTGTAAAAGTAAACAGTAAAACCGTTACTCGAAGTCGAAGCTGGAAATCTTATCATTGTCCTATACTACTCCAATTCAGATCGTTTCTTTCCGTTGCTCTCATTTCCAAAAACTAACTACAGACTACAGAGTTCGAAGACATAAGAACCAATTCTTACTTGGAAGAAATGGAAATTTACAGTTCCCCGCTTGTGGATGGGTTAATTATACTGCCCGGAAGTATTATTCCTTGTAATGTAAAAGTTTCTACAGGTAGAGGAACGAAAATGAAAAACCCAAGATTCCGGCCTCCAAATGATCCCAACAAGAAGCTCAGTAGAATTAGATATTCTTCTAACTTAACCGCTCTTTTGGAGGATGCTGGTATAGAAACTGTTAATAAAGGGGTCAACACAGCTGGGACGGATGTTGGCGGGATTGTAAATTTCAGTACAGAAAGGCTGCTGAAATGGTACTCGGTAAGGTTTCGCGATTGTGCGGAGAAAACGTGTCTGAATGAAGGAAAAGCAATTCATGGGAAGTTGATAAAAACTGGGATTAACCCAGATACTCATTTATTTGTTTCATTGATTAATTTCTATGCAAAATGCGGAGCTTTGAATTTTGCGCGCAAGGCATTTGATGAGATGCCTGAGAGGGATGTTGTGTCATGGACTGCATTGATTTCTGGGTTCGTAGCTGAAGGTCTTGGTAGTGAAAGTGTTGAGTTATTCTGTGAAATGAGGAGGGAAGGGATAAGGCACAATGAGTTTACGCTGGCCACAATTTTGAAGGGCTGTTCCATCGCTTCTGATTTCGAATTCGCAAAACAATTGCACGCTGACGTGGTTAAAGGAGGGGACTTTGAGGATGTGTATGTTGGTTCTGCTCTAATTGACCTTTACACTAAATGCGGTGAATTGGAATATGCTGAAAATGTGTTGTCTGTCATGCCAGAGCAAAACTCAGTATCTTGGAATGCACTCCTCAATGGCTATGCACAAATGGGTGATGGAGATAAAGTCCTGAGTTTGTTCTGTGAGATGATGAAGTCAGAAGTGCGGTTTACTAATTACACCATTTCTACTGTTCTTAAAGGATGTGCAAGTTCCCAGATTCTGAGAGCTGGTCAGGTTGTTCATTCAATGGCAATCAAGCTTGGGGGCGAGGTTGATGATTTTGTTTGTTGCGGTTTAGTTGATATGTATTCCAAATGTCAGATGGTGAATGATGCACTCCATATTTTTTGGAGGATCAAGAATCCTGACCCTGCGACTTGGTGTACAATGATCAATGGCCTTGATCAGCAAGGACAGAAAGTAGAAGCCTTGGATTTGTTTCAGTTGATGATGCGTTCGGGTTTGAGGCCTAACCAATTCTTGCTATCTGCTATTCTTGACACAGCCGCTGACTTGGGTAATCTGGAGTTTTGTAGAAGCATTCATGCTTGCATTTGCAAATATTGTTTTGATTCTGATACGTTGGTCAGCAATGCCCTGATTTCAATGTACATGAAACTTGGATTAGTGTTTGAAGGTTCCCAGGTGTTTTCTGATATGAGTCAAAGGGATGTGGTTTCATGGAATGCACTTTTATCTGGATTCCATGGCAATGAAAGTTCTGATGAAGCACAAATGATTTTCAAGAGTATTCTTGTGAAAAATATAAAACCAAACAAGTTTACATTTATAAGCATTCTGAGGAACTGTGCTAGCCAGTCAAATGCTAGCTTTGGGAAGCAAGTGCATGCTCATGTTCTAAAAAATGGCATTGATAGTAGGGATATTTATATAGGAAACGTTCTGATTGATATGTACTCCAAATGCAGATGCTTTGATGCTGCCAAATCTATTTTTAACAGTTTGAACGAAAGGGATACCTTTTCGTGGACTGTGATCATTGCTGGCTATGCTCAGAGAGAACATCTAGCAGAAAAGGCCTTGGAGTGTTTCAATAAGATGCAAAGAGAAGGTGTTAAGCCCAATGAGTTTACTCTTGGCAGCTGTCTCAAGGCTAGCTCAGGCATCGCAAACCTTCAAAATGGACAGCAGTTGCACTCCTGGGCAATTAAGTCTGGACAGGATTTTGATGTATATGTGGCAAGCGCACTCATTGATATGTATGGGAAATGTGGTTGCATTGATGATGCGGAGAATATATTCAATAGCATGGATGCTGTTGATACAGTTATGTGGAACACAATGATATGCGGACATTCCCAGCACGGACAGAATGAACAAGCTCTTCAATCTTACAAAACAATGTTAAACAAAGGTGTGCTGCCTGATGGGATTACTTTTATTGGTGTCCTTTCTGCCTGCAGCCACATGGGTTTGGTTGAAGAAGGAAGGAGATATTTCCAGGCAATGACTGAAAATTACAGAATCACTCCTTCAATTGATCATTATGCTTGCATGGTTGATATCCTAGGGCGGGCTGGTAGATTTTGTGAGATGGAGAGATTTATTGAGGACATGAAGATCACTCCAAATTCCTTGATCTGGCAAACTGTTCTTGGAGCTTGTAAAATTCATGGAAACGTAGAATTGGGTGAAAAAATTGCTCAGAAACTTCTCGAGACTGAACCTAATGAAGATGCACCTTACATATTGTTGTCCAACATATATGCAGCCAAAGGTAGGTGGGATGATGTTACAAGAATCAGAAGTTTGATGTTAGGTCAAGGTGTTAAGAAGGAACCTGGTTGTAGTTGGGTTGAGGTTGATGCTCGAACTCACGTGTTCTTGTCTCAGGATGCTTCACATCCAAGGTCAAGTGAAATTTATCAAAAGCTGGGAAACCTGCATCAAGAACTATGTTTGACGGGCTATGTTCCAAACGTAAATCATGCGCTTCAAAATGTATCAGACGCAGAGAAGAAAGAAAATCTCTTTCATCACAGTGAGAGGCTAGCTTTGTCCTTTGCGCTTATAAATAATGTTCCTGGTGGACGAATTAGAATTTTTAAGAATCTAAGAATCTGCGGAGACTGCCATGAGTTCATGAAGGGTGTTTCAAGCATTACTCAGAAGGAGATTGTTATCCGTGACATTCGTAGATTCCACCATTTTAGAAATGGGAAGTGCTCATGCAAGGAACGTTGGTGATAATAGGGCAATGGCAAAAGATCCCCTGTAACACACGATAAATGCTACTTGTACATACTACATACATCTTTACCTCGGTTGCTAACATAAGAGAGTGACGAACGAAAGCAATTGTTGAACATTATAAGACATGACTACTAAGAGATATAAAAGGGAAAAAAATAAGTTTCACATTTGATTGACCCATTTGAATGTTACTCCAGATTTCACCTACAGCACCAACTCTATGTCACCATTACAACAATATGAACTTTCAATATACTTGTCGTTTCTGTCCAAATGATGCAGCTTCAATGAATATTCATTTGAGACAACAAAAACTGCACCCTTTCTAACTTGGGAGAGTGCATGTACTCCCATTGCTATGTTTGAAAATGTATTCTGATACAACTAATCATCTTCATCAGAACTTGGATTCTCAACATCACTTGTGCTATTCAAATTATTGGTATCAACAAATGTGGACTTCTCCCCAAGCAGATCAGAATCTTCATAGAGTTTGTACTTGCGAAACTTCAACCGACCTTTCTTTTCAACCTTTCCAGATTTACGCTTCTTTCCTCCACGATCAGCTGACTGTAGCGAATGAGCAGCAGTCACAAAAGAGGCGCTTACGGCTTCAGCCATCTTTTCATCTGTCTCACCTTCATCTTTGTCTTCACCCTTGTTATCAATGTAAAAGAGAAGATCTGTATCAGAGTTCTTCTCCTTGTATGCCCCCAGTTTGGAATTATCTTCTGAATGATCAAGAACCATTTTGGCACGATAAGTTCCCATGTCATTGTCAAATACTTGCATCCCTCGATTCTCTATATTAAGGATCCATCCTGAAAGTTCAAGCCACAACAGTTAGGCCACATTGTAACAGCTAAAACATATATTCTGCGTCGAACGCTATTAAAATGCTTACTTAAAAGTGCTTTTGGTGACACTTCGTTTGGTTCATTTGCATCACCTCTGATACCAATTTGACTTTTGACACAACGTATTATCTGAGATTGCAATCTTGAAGCAGAGAAGGCATTTAAACAAGAAAGTGCTTTTGACTGTTCTCCTTGTTTTCTGCATCGTGGTAACACAAAAGAGATTCCATAATTATCATTCTGCCAAGAAAGAAGGGGAAAAAGCTGCAGATAAGTTATTCAATCATTCCTACCTGAAGAACTCCACAGCTTCATGGACAACTATCAGCCTTCCCAGGGCAGTACTTTTCACATGCTTGAAGGGCAGATGAACCATTCTCTCAGGATTAAGAAAAGAGTATTCAACCAAAATGACAGCATCATAAAGGACCTTCCTGAATCTAATTTCATCATCAGAACTCTGCAGGTAGCCCCCATAAGAAAAATCAATTTAGAGATGATCACATTAGAACTTATATCTTTCCAAAAAAATATGATGCAAACCAACAATATTAGGAAAACCACACACATTGTGAAAGAGCAAAAACTAGCAAAGTTATATGTGAAAATACATAGCTTCCAAGATACAGGAATTGCATATCCAATTTCACACAAGAAACAGCTCCAATTGCTCAAGGGAGGGCAAATCCGCAAATAAATTAAACCATCAAAGCCTCCAGATTAAATGAATTTCCGAAGTATGAAAACAAACAAAGATAGAAATGAATCCCACTTACCAAAAGAGAGGCAACAGGCAAAGATGGTCCTAGAAGCAACCTTAGCAGCGCATCTGAATGACAATTGAAATAAGGAATCAAATCGCCTAACATGCTGTCATTTAACAGAAGAGCATTATGTATACTGAAACAAACAAGATGCTTCTTAAGATCATCCAGTGAAGATCAGTGATCAAGTAAAAATTGACATAAAGGAACCAAATAAAGGAAACTAACCAAAGAAGTATGAACTGCGAAGCCCCGTAATGGAACCAACCACCCCATCCCTCAGTTCATTCAGCGAATCCTTTGGGGAACTTCCATCAGGAAATGCCAAGCAGTACCTTAAAAGGAACACCTGAGCAATCACACAACCAGCCAGCTCACTCAATCCACAACTTCCACCTATCATCTTTCCCACTATCTCATCCCCTAAAAGTGGGAAAAAAAACTTTAGCCTGTCACCTTCCTTTTGCTCCTTCTCGTCCGAAATCCAGATACTAATTAAATCCTCCAATGGCCTAATCAAACCCTCCAAGCTATCCGCATTGTTCTCCAATCCCTCAGAGAACACACTTACAAACCCAATAACTGAATCCACCAAGTCCCTGATATCTTTCATCAATTTCTTCTCTTTCTTCGACCTCAACACGAAGCCTTTCAAATCCACAACAAATTTATGCACATGATAAATCACAGGTGACATCATTAAAATGCTTACCACAGAATTGCAAGGAGCTGAACGAGAAACTATGAGCTGAAACAAGTCCTTTAAGGCTGCAAAGTGATTCAAAGGCTCATTCTTGGAGGAATTGAGCTCTCGAAAGGCTAAAGCTGAATAAACCCATACAGTTTCAAGTGGTTGGTTTATTTTACATTGCAACAATTCGCTAAAAGTTGATGTTAGACTTGAGAGCTTCTCAAAATTCCAATTCGGGGCCGAGTCCAGAAGCGTTTGGAGTGATTGATCGAGTGCAGTATAATAGTTTTTGCCAATGAAACTTTTGAACTCACTTTGAGATTCCATTTGAATGGAATCCATGCTTGACGACGGACAGAAGGATGGTTGATGAATTGACGACGGTGTATATTGGTGGGAAAGAATTAGGGTTTAAGAGACCGGAATTGAAGGGTTTAGGAATTTAGGATTTGTAAAGTTTTCGTTCAATTGCAAATAGCTCCTTGGGAAAGAGTAAATTTTATGATCTATCCATTTATATTTTAAAAAAAACTTTGCCCCTATACATTTATCAATATTTCAGATCTCCGCGACAAGGTTAACAAAAAATTTAGGTTACAACCACAATTTTATACTTATACTATACCTTACTTGATTTACACACCAAATGTTGAAAATGAATATCTGTTTCAATTCTTCTTTCAACATGACTAACTCATCGTGAGTTGAAGTTATAACGTGGTTGAAACACGATATTATTAGTGTTTCTTATCATTGGAGTGTAAATATTATTCCATTTTCTATCGATGCATAAAAGATAATTCTTAGAACTTTCAGACCGTGCATAATCACAGTAATCCTTTTTAGCAATTCTGTCAATTGAGATGCTAACATAGCATATTAAATACGCAAGTGCACGGTCGAGGGTTTCCTGGTCTTTCTCTCTCAACGAAGTCTCTCTCTCAGCTTGAATAAGAACGGTAAAGGATGGAAACCGACCCTGTCGAGGTTTTCCCCGGCAGGGACGTCGGCCCTTTGCTGGATAACGCGAATCAATCGGCAGGGCCGATTCGGACAGAAGGATTGGGTGGTCCGCCGTAGCCCATGTCGTTCAAGGAAAGATTAATTGGAATTAGGAAAAGGAGAGCTTCCTCAAAAATCCAAATCGAGCTTAGGGATGTTATCATGGAGAAAGTTCCTATGGGGGAAGCTTAAATTCTCGGAGCGATTGAAAGCAATCTTCAGAGAGGACTGGGAGGATATGGTTGTGGTCTCTTTGATCGGAGTTACTCTAACTTACCGGGGACTTCACACTGCCATCAAACGAATGTGGTGTCCGAATAGGGATTATGAAATCCTTGACTTCACGAATGACTTCTTTGGTGTCTTGCTACCCAGCAAGGCGGAGGAAGAGAAAGCCCTCAAAGGAGGCCCATGGTTCATTGGTCCACACTGTTTATCCATCCAGAAATGGATGCCAGGATTTAGGGGCTCTACGGTGAAAGTCAACTCGGTGGTAACTTGGATCCGATTACCAGACCTTCCAGTAGAGTATTATCATGAAATTGCTCTTTTTTCAATTGGAAATTTTGTTGGCAGAACTTTGAAAATAGACGAAAAAACGCTAAATGCCGACAGGGGAAAGTTTGCTAGAGTCACCGTCGAATTAAACTTGGATGAACCTCTAACGCCTAGCTTCCAAATTGAGGACAAGTGGCTGGCGGTGGAGTACGAAGGACTTCCGGTAATCTGCTACAACTGTGGCTGCGTTGGACACGGTAGTACTACGTGTGCAAGGGAGCCTAGGCAACAGAATCCGATGGTGGAGCCGGAGGCGGATAACACTGTTCAGGGATGTCGAGAGGCAACATCTGCCAAATAGGCAATTGAGGAGGAGGGACATGTGGGGCTTGGACCGTGGATGGTGGCGCAGAGGAAGCAGAGTAAGTTTGTCTGGCAGCAGGAGTCGGCGGCTGATCGGCAACAGACGCAGGGAAAACAGGGGGGTGTGATGGGCTCGCGTTTCAATACGCTAACAACATACTCTGACAATGGGGCCGAAGAGGGTGTAACGACTCCAAGTCAACATCAGGAAAGAGAGTTTGCCTTTTCTAGCCCAAAAGGTCTTTCAGCCCAGGAGAAAACAAACCGAAGTTCAAAGAAGGCCCAGAAATCGGTTGGAGTGGGTACTAGTGTGGACTCTGACAAGAAGGCTGGCCCATCAAGAGTTTAAGAGGTAGGATTGGACAACTCTAATTCAAGGAAAGCCCATCCCATAATAAAGTCTTCCAATGGGACCATAAAGGTGCATGAGGTTATGTTGGGCAACAATAGCTTGGCCCCTGAATATTCAATTGGGTCACAGTACGGAGGAATACAGAGGAAATATGAATTTAAGCAAACATAAAAACATGGGGTCAAAGGGGAGTATAAGGAGCAGAACAAGGCAAACACAGATCAAAACCAGGACAAATATGCATAACCTCTTTTGGGTTGGGATTCAGAGTACTCAATTCCGGTTGAAGGTGATAAGAAAAGAGGAAGATTGACACCAAATTTGAAGAAGCCGTCGTCAATATCGGGTTGCTCAGACATGGCCTTGGACAAGATTACGATCCTCTCTAAGCCACCAGATCCACAGATATTGAGCCAGGTGGTGGTGCAGCCCGGTGAATACGGGGTGGGAGAGACGACTCAGTTGCAATTGGAGCTACCGGATCCTTCGAGGGAGGGAGTAACGAAACCCCCGTAGGATACAGTCGTGCAAGAGCTAGGCGATGGGGTTCCCCAACAGGGAATCTAGGTACTGATTTTGTGAGCTTTTCACCCTCAATTATCTTTTAAATGAATATAATTTCGTGAAATGATCAAGGCGCTGGGTCGCCGAAATTCGGCCCGGCGGTCAAGCAACTTGTAAGAACTGGAAACCATATATTCTGGCATTATTGGAACCTCGAATTAGTGGTGAGGATGCCAGAAGGGTTATCAGTAAACTGGGATTTAGTGACTGGTTTGTTGTTGATGCAGTTGGGTTTTCGGGAGGACTATGGTAGCCTCTGGAATAAGAGTTGTACTAAGGTAGAAATTCTGAGCTCGTCAAGGCAGTGGATCCATTTTTTCTGGAAAGTGGGGAGTGATAGGGGATACAGTACAGTGGTGTATGCTTTCCCGGCCTCCCAAGTGAAAAAAATCTTGTGGGAGGAACTGGTAGTTCTGAAGAATAAGATACTGGGGTCCTGGGTAGTGATGGGGGACCTAAATGTTTACTTAAGTGTAGAAGAGAAAGTAGGCGGAGCTGCTGTAAACACTTCAAAATGTAGGGAGCTGAATAATTTCCTCTATGAGAGTGGCCTAGAGGATCTGGGATACATTGGCCCGAAGTTCACATGGAGGAAGGGGAAGAGCAATAAGCTACAAGAGAGGATTGACAGAGCATTATGCAATCCAGATTGGAGACTCAAATTTCCCGACAGTATAGTGAAGCATTTGAGTTGGGTTAAGTTCGACGTAGGCCAATTCAGTTGAAACTACACCAGAATTTGGCACCAAATTTGGATGAGAGACGCTTTCGTTTTCAGGCCTGTTGGCTAACTCACTCGGGGTTCGAAAAATTTGTCAGAGAGTCTTGGAAGTCGATTGCAGGGTACAGAGAGGCGGAGGAGGATCTTAGGGCGAAGTTGATTGCTCGGAACAAAAAAGTGCTTGGCAACATATTTGTAAGGAAAAAGCAGCTAATGAATAGGTTAGAAAGATTGGAGAGGGAGTTGAATCATAGCTCTTCAGACAGGTTGATTACTTCGAGGAATCAGGTTAAGGAGGCGCTTGAGGAAACGCTAATCTAAGAGGAAATTTTATGGTTTCAGAAATCTAGAACGAATTGGCTACAGTTTGGCGATATGAACACGAGATTCTTCCATCTAAGTACATTGGCTAAAAGAAGACGAGGTAAAATAGAAAGGCTGCGAAACGAGGAGGGTAATTGGGTGGAGGATCAGAGTCAATTGAAGAGCATGGCAGTAGCTTTCTACAAGAGGCTATTCTCAAGGGACGTGATACTCATGGATCGGACGAGATATTTTGCCAAGTTCTCACAGCTAAGCAAGACATATTGGCTTTATCCAGACCAATAATGCCGGAAGAGGTTAAAAAAGTTGCTTTCGAAATGGGGGCATATAAGGCCCCAGGGCCGGACGGCTGGAGTCCAATTTTTTTCCAATCGCAATGGAATACGATACGTCAGACAGTCACTGATTTTGTGTTTAAGTGTTTTCAAGAGGGTAAGGTGCCAGGGAAGTTGAATGAGACCCTGTTAGCTCTTATTCCCAAAGTGAAACAACCAACCCAACTAGCACAATTGCGGCCAATAAGCCTATGCAATGTTGTTTATAAGGTGATAACCAAATTACTGGCCAATAGGTTAAAACCCGTTATAGGGAAGTTGATCAGCCGTACCCAGACAAGTTTTGTTCCAGGTCGCAAGCTCGTTGATAACACATTGATCGTCCAAGAGATTATTCATTCAATGAGGTTGAGCAAAGGTAAAAAGGGTTGGATGGCTGTGAAGATCGACTTGAAGAAAGCCTATGATAGATTGGATTGGGAGTTCATTGTTTACACGCTGGTGGAAGCCGGGATTCCCAGGAAGCTAGTGGAGTTGATTCAACACTGCGTTTCGACATCAAGTATGAGAGTATTGTGGAATGGTGGCACATCTGAAAGCTTTGAGGCAACAAGGGGAATTAGACAAGGAGATTCTCTTTCACCCTACCTTTTTGTGCTTTGTATGGAAATTTTATCTCACAGTATAATTGACTCAGTTCACAGGAACAAATGGGCGAGAACACGCATTGGAAAAGGTCCCATTATTTCACATTTGTTTTTTGCAGATGACTTATTCTTTTTTTATGAAGCAACTGAGGAGCAGGCACGTCTAATGCAACTTATTTTGGATGATTGTTGCAGGACATCGGGGGAGAAGGTTAACCCTAAAAAGACAAAAATCTTCTTCTCTGCAAACACTCCATTGTCGGTAAAGAAGACAATTATTAACAAGCTGGGTTATTGGGAGACAAAGAACTTTGGCAAGTACCTTGGTTTGCCAGTAATTCATGGCAAAATGACAAAGAGCACCTATAACGAGCTGATAGAGAAAATCAGATCAAAGCTGTCTAGTTGGAAGGCGAACCAACTGTCCCTAGCTGGTAGAATAACACTTGCACAATCATGCCTGCAGTCAATTCCTATGTTCAAGATGCAGTCCACGAAGCTGCCTTTGCACATCTGTGATGAGGTGGACAGCTAAGTAAGGAATTTGTGTGGGGATCGACGACTGATAAGAGGAGGCTACATCTCGTCAACTGGGATACAGTGTGTAGTCCAAAAGAGAAGGGTGTGGTCTTGGTCTTCGAAAAGCAAGGTATGAGGAATGAAAGAGTTTTTAATTGAGCTAACTTGAGTTGTAATAATGCAATCAGAACTGCTGTGCATAGGTATGAGGGGATAGACAAGAGCCAAAACTTACTAAAATGGCATAGAAGGGGCAATAGAGGAGTTGAGAAGGGTTGGAGAAGGCCTCCTCCATCGTGGTGGAAAGCGAACTGTGATGGAGCCGTTTGTACTGAGTCAGGAAAGGCAGCAACAAGAGGAATTATAAGGGATGCAACTGGTCACTTTGTGCTAGCATTTAACAAGAATGAAGCAGCATGCTCTATTGAAACGGCGAAATTACGAGCCATTCTTCTCGCGATGCAGACTGCCAGAAGCCGAGGATGTTCGCGGCTGCTGGTGGAATCTGACTCCTAATTTGCGGTTCAGATTGTGAATCGGCTTAGGGAGCAAGAATTTACTCCCCTGGATCTTGAGTTACGGGAGATATTCCAGGTTTTAAAAGCTGAAAGGGAGGTGCAGGTCGTATTTGTAGATAAAAATAGCAATGTGTGTGTGAATGCCCTGGCCAAACATGCTTTGAATGTAAAAAGGGAGTTTTATTTTTTGGATGTTCCCCGAGATTTATTTTGCTGTTCTTAGAGGCAGACCTAGAGTCTTCTAATGCCTTGTAACTGTATTAGCTTGTTAGCCAGTGGGGCTAACGCTTGTTTACCAAAAAAATAAAAATAAAATAAATAAATAATACGCAAGTGCTAAAAGAAGTGAAACATTAAGGGCTTGAAGTGAAATTTTGCATAATCAAGTTATACATATTGTGCTAGAACCCCTGCAACTACTCCTAATGCAAGAACCTACGTGGTTATCTTCCATTGGTTGATATTGGGGACCACCTACACCGAGAATTTAAATCAGCCAATCAGATACAAAAGAACACGTAAGAACTAAACGACATCTACCAATATTGTATTCCTTCTTTCAACACCCACCCCCCCACAGCAAAATCACACTGCTCAAATTTCATCTTCTAACCCGCACTTCGTTCTTCTAACTGGGCTGGTTGAACATAAATTTCCATGGCAAAATCTTACAAAACAGTAGTTTTACTGTTACCTTTGATGGTAATACTTTCATCATGGATGCCCATTTCACAATGTTCGAAGAAGCCGGTTGGGATGGCAAGAAAAGAAGACATACCTTACATTCAATGTCAGGTCTGTGAGAAATTGGCTCATCAACTGTACCAACAAGTTCAAGCAAAACAAGATGAGATATTGCCAAAGAAGGTAACTTTATCATCTAGGGTTCGCTCAATCGCTCTGATCCTTTTAGTTATTTGTTGATTGATTTTTTTTTTTTTGTTCCTTGATCAGTTTATGGGACTGTATCGATCGTCCCTTCTTTATGCATATTTATGATTGGATTGAGGCTTTCTTTGAAATTTCTGCAATGCGCGCGCGTATTAGTTTAACAGAGTATGGATTTGGTTGTTAGTGGCGTTCTTTAAACTTCAAATCTGCTTGGGCTTCATATGTCTTAACTCTTCAAGAAAAGTGCTTGATTAGGAGTGATATATGGTAGTTACATTAGTAAAATGCTAATGTTGATGGAACTTTGTCTGGAAGTACATTTTTTTCCCCTCCATTTTGTTTTCTACTTTTTTCATTGTTGGTTTCACGCTCATATACAACTTGTGTTAATTGTCTGCTTTTCAGATTTCAGAGTATCAAATCATTGAAATGACGGAGAATGTTTGCAATCTGAAGAAGCAGGAAGCTGACTGGATCCTCAAAATTGATATTGTCGAACAAGGAGATCGTTTAGAGGTAACCATTCTATTGTTTGCTAGCATTTAGAATCAATTTATTCTCGATTCTCAATGATTCAATAAACTATGAAGTACAAAGTATCCAGCTAAATTCTGTTTCCATTACTTGCTTGAGTGCAGCTTGTTGAACAGGACTCTGAAGGACAATGCGGTTCAGAATGTAAAACAATTGAGAGAGCTTGTCAGGAGGTGAATTTTTAATTTCATCTTTCGTATAAACATTTCACACATTACTACCGGGCCTTGGAATTTTGTTAGTTAAAAACTTCAAGATAAAGTTGTGCTGGCCACTAGTACAAACATAGTTCCTGATTGTTGAACATTTCAATCATGGCAGTAAGAGGTCCCTGATTACCGAATTAAATCCTTTGTGAAACTGTTGTATGAAAATCAGTTCCTATCTTTTACTTCACATTTTTGGAGCATCTGAAGCTCATCTATGAATCTAAGTTTAGTTGTTTCTCAACTATTGCAGGTTATGGGATATTCGGACACTGATGTGGCGGAATACCTATATAAGGCAAAGCCCGATGTAGACTCTTTAGTGAAGTATCTTTGTAAGGATCTCACTGGGGCATGCAGCAAAAAGCCCCCAAAAGTGCCTAAGGCAAGCTTCTCTGACTCTTGCTTAGTTTTGATTATATTGGGTGTTCATGAATTCAGATTTTTTCTTGGACTGATAAAAAATGCAAATGGTGTTGTTTATTTTGGGGTGGGGTGGCTGCCTTTCAATCTTTTCATAATTATGTAAAGAATGTTTTCGCCCCAGCCTTCAAAAATCTAAAATGTTCAGCAAGCATTTGATAATGATAGAAACCTAATCGTAAGTCACGATGGTGCAAATGTGTGAGAATTCTTAGATGGTTCCAATGTGTGATTATCCTTTCTTTATTTCATAGAGAGACTTTATCTAAGATGGTGCCAATGTGTTATAGTTCTTAGAAACCATGGATCTTGGTGAGCGGTTAATTTCATCCGACGTTATCCTTTTGACACGTCTCTGTGAAATATCTAAGAATCCGAGAGCAGTTCAACTACAATCACTACTAAATAACTATGTGCGAAAGAAATATAGAAGGATCTGGATGACACATGTGATACCCTTATTCCTTTGCCGATATCCCTAATGCAGTGGGTGCAACCTATCTTTGATACTTTCATTACAAAAAGATGTGGTTGTGCTCAGAGAATAATAAAGGAAGCTTGGTGCTTAGGGATAATGGGTATGGTTGTGTGTAGATGGTAAAAGTGGAGAATTAAATTCTATATTTGTAATCAGATTATATGATTTGAGAAAAAATTTATGTGATTTATCTTGATTAGATTTCTCTACGTTTCCCGTCTACATAAAGTTAAATCCGTTAGGCATCACGTTCTTGATTGTCTTATTCCCTTTGCAGGATAGAACTCCAGGAGAGCCATTTGTTCCAAAATCCTCAAAAGAGGCTGAAATGGAAAGACTCTTAAAATCTATGGAGGTGACTCTATAGTGTACGAACGTTGTATTTTTTTACACAATTATTTGCACCCTAACTAAAAGTATTCTTTATTATAGGGGATGCCAGGAGCACCTGGTATGAAGATGTACTCGAGAGATGATTTGATGAACATGAAAAACTTCGGTGAGGATGATGCGGATGAGGATGAGGATGAAGACGATGATGAGACGAATTTCCCTTCTAAATTGGTATGAATCAGAGCCTTTTTCCCCTTGATCTAACCCGAACTATTGACTTCAATAGCTAATAATGCTAAGGATTGCTGCAGGGGAAAGCCCTAAGGGATAACGAAAAAACCAAAGGAGATTGGAAACATAGAATCACTAAAGGAGTCTTGGATGCTGGTGAGGCAGTCAAGCATCATGCAAACAAAGTCTCCAACAGGATTCGACAGTGGTGGAAAAAGCGTACAGCAGCATATAACAAGCAAAACTCGAAGGGCAACAAGGCAGAGCTCTAGCCAACGGACACGCTTTTAGACAGTGGAGGTTTGGGTTTAACGCTTATTCTCTTAGTTGTATATTTAACCCGAAAAAGCATCCCTATGACATGTTTGACATCCTAATTAAACCTCATTTAACAGATGTAGTTCTTCTAGCAGCTTTGTAGTACTACTTTTTGTACCATTAGAATCCAATTTTACGAATGAGGATGGACCATTTTATGGATACACAGTTTTGTATGCAACGGATTGAGTCATTGTTATTTATCTTACTACTGAAACTTTAAGCATGACGGCACCATCTTTTGATGGTGTCGATTAAACAACTCTGCAACATTTGCACACAAAAACGGGAAATGCCAATCCCTGTAAAGAATATGCAAGTTTGCATAAGGCAATCAATGTTAATGTTGTGTTTTGGAAAATGTGGAGGAATTGCATACCAGAAAACCTGTTCTGGAGTGTGACAAGGATGATATAGCCTATTGCATCAATAAATCTGGATTTAGCTTTGAGTTGCCGCCAAATCGATAGTTGAACTCTTCAAGAATTCCTTAGCAACAATAATTTTATGTACGAATATCTTTGTGTTGACTTGCCAGTCAAGGGGGTAGTAATATGTTCAAAGGACTAGGGGATTTTAGTTTGTAAGCCTAAAAGTAATTTGCCCATATCTTTTTGAACCAAGCCATGGTAAGCATGGATTCGTCTTTATTAATTACAGAGTTTTTAATTGGCGAAATTTCATGTAAACTTATGGATAAATAAGTGAAATTCCTCTAATTTAAACGTAGTCGATCCTTTGTATCTAGGGAAAGAAGTTAACAAAATATATGGTTTCATGTAGTAACTATCGTTCAGTTGACCATATACTGTATGTCTATCTAGCTAATTAGAATGAAAAGGTTTTCACTTTTTTTAACAATGCACGTCTCACATATATAATACTCACTCCGTCCCACAATTATTGTCCAGTTTTACTAAAATGAAAGATTTTATTTTTAGTCAAACTTAACTATATTTTACCTTAAACAACCGGATATACCCCTACATAAGTAATTATTTAACCACTAAAATTTTATGAATAATATTTTTTATTAAGAATAAATGTGTAACTTGATCCATAAAAAGTCAAAGTGGACAATAATTTTGGGACAAAATTTTTTTAGCAAAGTGGAGAATAATTATGGGATGGTAGGAGTAATACATATAATACCCTGTGCTGTTTTTCTCATAAATTATCTGCACTGAGAAACCAGAAAAAGCAAATTTTATCACCAAGATGAACCGACTAATCAAACTGGGGGTATTGAAGGCTATAAAATAAGTAGAGCTACAACCTGCAGATTTTCTTTAAAAATTATACACAGGCTTAAAAGAAAAAAAAAAAAAAAAGAGAGAGGAAGTTTTCCAAAAATTCAAAATGACCAATAAGAGGTGGCATAAAACCCTGCAACAAAAACAAAAAAGCAAAGCAAAAACAATAGCTTGCTTAGCTCAAACGATCTCATAATATATAATTACCACGACCGTTCGTACTCTACCGGCCCATTTCTCCAAGTGTCTGGTTCCTAGCTCACACACGCGCACACACAAACTGCAAATCTCATATTCCCGTTGCTATCCTAAAAGCCTCCTCAGTCGTTCCTCCCCCACACTCTATATATATATCATTTTCCTAACTTTTATTTGGTCAAATGGGTTTCTTTCCTTTTATTTAGAGGAAATTATTATATTAAGTCACATATAAACGTAGCTAACATTTTCCTTTATTAAGGCAGCCTGATTATTTAGCGAGGTTTTGATGTTTTGGTATGTTCTTTTTAATTAAACTACTATTCTTGTTTAAATAATTGCAGCTGCAAGGAGAAGGAGATTGGCTTTACGCTGAGACCCCGAACTTTGTTCCCCGAATAAATGGCGTAAGGTATCAAAATCCACACCGGAGAGTTGCTGCAACCACTGGATATCCCTATCCCTATCCCCGTGCATAGATAACAGATTTACAACCTCTCGGGAAAGCAACTTGCATCTTTGCCATATCATATGAAGGGGGAATTATGTTCGCAGTTGATACTCGCTCCTCCCATATCTATAGAGTGTTTTCTGATTTTTTTGTTCAAATAGGAGACTACCCTTTTAAAGGTCAATAGGTACATCCATATGTTTGGGTTGGTGGCTCCGGAGTTTTGGTAGAATTTCTGGACATGGATGTGATCTTTTTGAGGGACGAGGCCAAAGAATTTCCATCCAACAATCAGTGCATGCCTATATCCGTCCGTACGGCAGCTGAATGACTGTTCCAGCACATTGAATACGAAATCAGATAGAAAACACATAGCGCTGCCGATTCTGCATTCATCCTTGCCGGTTACGATTAGGAAATTCCAAGGCTATAAAGGGTTGAAAACTTTGGTATCCATGACGCGCCACAATCCAAACCCGGTTTCATTGTCTTGTCCTGGGTTCGGGAGACCAATTCGTGAAACCTTTTGTTCTTGACGGATATAGAGCAGGCATGAGCACGCACGCACATACACAAACTGCATATCCCATTATTCCCATTACTACCCTAAAACCCTCCTCAGGCGTCCCTCTCACACACTTACACTCCAACCCGGAATCCCCTCCTCACACGCTTACACACACAAGACAGTCGACCCTAGCGTTGATTCTCTTCTCCCTTTCTTCCCTTTTGCTATATAAATTCTTCTCCCCCTTTTCCATATATAAGTTTTTATTTCCTCCCTTTTATTCATCTTCCATAAAATAAGAATGGCCAAGTATAGTCAACCATACCTTCACAATGGACCATCCAACACCGTCTCCTCACACCAATTCGATGGAAGACGTGGTTGTAGACGTCTAAATCATCAGCACAGATCATGGGACGAATCATGAAAGTGAAACCGGAGGTAGATTTCTACCAAACCATATCAGGCGGGCCGTAGTGCATGGTGGGGTAAAATTGCCGCCAGAGGTAGAGTCGTCTTAAATAATCATTATCGAGGCCGTAGAGCATAGGGTGAAACCGATGTTGGAGGTAGAATGCTAAACCACCATCATCAGGGCATATCATGGGCTGCAAACGGAGTCTTCTCTGAATCCCAGGTTGTTTTTTTGTTTCAATAATTAATTAATTTAGTAGTAGTAGATTTAGTTTCTCAAAAAATAATTATCATTATTATTATTTAAAAGCATTAACTTTTGTTTGGTCAAATGGGTTTCTTTCATTTTATTTAGAGGAAATTATTATATCAAGTCGCATATAAATGTAGCTAACATTTTCCTTTATTAAGGCAGCCTAATTATTCAGCAAGTTTTTGATGTTTTGGTCTGTTCTTTTTAATTAATACTACTATTAGGATACTTCTGCCCACGATACGTGTGGGCCGGCCGATTGTGATCTCTGTTTTCATCTTTGTTTTCCCCTTAACGGAGTAAGTTTTATAAACACCAGTCTCATGTAAATACGACGCAGCTAACTTCGCTGTCAAAAAACCCATGTCTTTCCTAATGAAATACAAACATTCAATTATCCCGAACAAAAGTGCTAAAATTAAGGAAGAGAACTGTGTAAAGAGTCTTACATATTACAAAAACTGTAAATGCCCAGATCAAAATGAATCCATCATGTCAATTCGTACCTAATCAAAAGTTACCAAATAGTAATGTTCATGAAACGGTGATGTTACATCACTATTGCAACGGTGATGTTAGTTATGTCTTTGGGCATTTACACAACAGCTACAGAGTGAAAAAGAGTTCAGAGATCAGAGTCTTTACTGTTGATCAGAAGGAGGGAATCTTGTTTTTTTGGATGCCCGTTCAATATCATGAGTTAGAGTTCTTTTGACCGCAGTACCTTTCTTTTCTGCATCTTGTACTGAAACATATTCTGAATCTTCTGCCACTGAGGTGGGAGTGTCAACATGAGTTTGTGATTTTGTAGTACTTCCTTGTTGACTTGGTGAGCTTGTGATTGCTGGGTAAGTAGCTGGAGTAGTGACAGCTTTTGTTGGTGTATCTTCAATCATCATATCACAGGTTTTTTGGTCTGGAGTGAATGCTGTAAGTTCAAAACCAAAAGCTGATTCTTTTATTTTAAAAATTCTCAGCCTGGCATACAGAACTTGAGTTTGCAATGTTGTATTCACCTATCGCAAATCCACGGGTTTTCCCTATTTTGACATAACAATAGTATGATCAGTGCACTTACTGTAGGGATAAATATGGTTTAAATGTTTGTACTTACCGCTAGATGGTTATGATAAACTTCATCAGCACTGCATCGTAACAATTTTTCAGCATATTCATTTTGGATAACAGCTTGTAGAGTACCAGTGATGTCAGCCAAGTTGATGACAAAGTTTAAGCTGATAGAATTATAGGAAAAAGAAAAATTTGAATCTTTAGATGAGGGAAATGGTACTGAAATAGTGAAGAGAATAATACTGAAAAATACAAAATAAAATAATGTTTACCCTGGTTTTGGTGCTTTTCCAGAGGTACCACAATAGTTGCAAGTAGAAATTATGCCCATTGGTGCACCAGATGGATTGTCACAATTCGGACAAATCGTTGTGTATAGACGTTGGTTGTCTTTTATGGTTGCTGTAGCTTTGACCCAACAATTTTTCACCTATAAGAAATTTTTCTTGATTATTAGAGATGTGAGGTTGGATACATTATGAAGGTAAGGTTTACATAAATTTAATAGAATGAAAATATATACAATTACCGTGTGTTGTATGTTAAGGACTTGATTGATTTGACGGATATGTTTTTCTTTTGGTACTCGAACCTCTTGCTTCTGTTTCTCATAAAGTTTCTTCTTGATGACATTTTCAGCATAGTCTTTGTTTTCGACAATCCTGAAAAATACAGAGATTAAGATTAGTGAAATGCAGTTGTAGTATTTAAAATAGAATTTTTGTTTTGAGAGGATTGTAAACCTAGTTTTCAAAGAGTTTGTCTCAGGGATTTGTGGATCAAATACGATTTTGGTGTTGTTTTGAGCACCAACACATGTCCCTGTGAATTAAGAAAAAAAAAAACAAAAACAAAAGAAAGAACAGAGAAGAAGTTAATAATGATAGGAGAAGGGTACTGGTGTTATTATTGTTTCGAGAGTTTTGGTTTTATGTTACCATGGAAAGTTCCAAGTTTGACACCTATGAGTAAGACAACAGGACGAGTATGCATTTGATTGATGAGTTCTTGATATTCTTCAGCTTGATAACTTTCCCATATTGATAGAATTATGGGTCTGCACCTGTAAAATTAGGTTATGTATCTATAACGTCCATAATACTAACTTATGAAGCACATAAAGTCAGAAGGCAGCCAAAAACTGTGTAAGGGAAAAGGAAATCTTTTCTATTTTATTCGACTTACTCATTGTTAATGATCACAAAGTCTTGTACAATTGTTGGTCCATTTTGCGCATTGACTGTTCTGGGAGGAAGCATATGGAGGACAACGCAAAGGAGATCTGGAAAGGAGTATTGAAGGAAATGTTAATGTAAATGAGGAAATACAAAAGTAAGAATAACAGTTAGAAAAAAGGTTGTTCTACGAAGTATATTACTCAGATTTTCGTTCTCTTTGTCTGGATCAACATCTATTTCCCAAAAAGGAGTTATTGGTAGGCACTCATCTAGATGGTAGCTCTTGGTTCTTTCAACTTTTTCAAGAAAACTTTTCCTTGTCAATGTCATTTGAAATGGTACAGATCCATTTTGGTTATAAAGGCATTCCCAATATAGTAAGTTTCATAAAGCTGAAGCTTTTGTTCAAGGAAATTCAGGTCCTTTGTGTAGATGACAGCTTGCATAAGAGTTTTCTGCAAAATCATAAAGAAAATTGTTGTTATGTAGTTAAATTAGAAGTTCAGAATGTTAATGAAACTATCCTTTTAGTAAGTTATGTAAGAATATCTCTTTATCAGCAAAGAGAAAGCGTTGGAAGGAGCCTGCTTTTCCTTTGGAATTGACAAGAATCCCTTTAGTCAATAGGATTACCTTTGTATACCATTCGACAGTTTTTTCGTCCAAATTTCTTAATGGAACACATCTATCTTCCATATCTACAACATGGAATATTCAAGTATTACCTGTAGTACTATAACGGAATATATGAAGCTATACAAGTTAGTTTAGCAGAATGTTTGAAAGTTTTTTTTCATTTTCTTTTACCTGGAAGAATTATAGATATGATGCAATATGAATTCGATTTGTTCTTGTGCTGGGGATGATTTTCAGGCCTGCAAAAAATGATAGGGGTCAGTTAAAAGTCAGGTGGACAGAACTAATACAAATAAAATTCAGGAAATACTGGATTAAGTATTTTCAGCAGCAACAATAAATATTTCAGGGTACACTATGTTTCTTGTGCTATTTGGATACTCTGTTTTGTTCTCTGTTGGTTTAATTAAGACCTTGACATTTTCTGAAGTTCTAGCTCTAGAAAGGGCTACATATAATTGACCATGTGAAAAAACAGGTTCTTTTAAATATAGACCAACAAAATCAAGTGTTTGACCTTGTGCCTTGTTTATTGTGAGCGCAAAACATGGTCTACCAGGAAATTGTATTCTTTTAAACGGTACGCAACTTTCATCATCAGGACAACGTAATAGTCTTCGAGGTATGAACACTTCTTTTCCAGAAAAAGAACCAACAGATATCCTAGCATGTATGACATTATCAGAAAACTGCAAGCATGTTAGACGCGTACCATTACAAAGACCTTCTGCTGGATTTAAATTTTTAAGCAGCATGATAGGACAATTTTCTTTTAATTCATGAGATGGCAGGCTAGGTGGATTATAAGTCTGTAACAAATCTTCATAATCTCCTTGTTGCCTTTCATCAATTGTTTTATTCAAACTGATAAATCTTTTTTCAACTCCTGGAAATCTATGAATTAAGATATCATGTATTTGGTTAACAAACTCATTTTTTGTGGTTAAAATTGCCCTATTTAATAACCAAACCAGGATCAGAATGAAAAAGATGAAGATTTGGAAAAACAGAATGAATAAGCATGTCAAGTGAAGTATTCTCGTTGGTGAATGGTAAAAGAATGGAGGATGGTAGACAGATTCTATCGTCTTCAAAAGTTGGTTCTTCTCCATTTCCAACTCGAAGTAAGAATTGACTAAAATTAGGGTCTGATTGTGCTCGCATGTTGGTTGATAGTTTAATCTGTTCCAACATAGGCCATAAGTCTGACATGACGAGGCTTGCTGAAATACAATCCTCTTTTTGTCCTTTTCGAATAACTGGTAATGTTTGCCGAAAGTCACCACCAAAAACAACTACTTTCCCACCAAATATTGTGTCGATACCCATTATGTCCCTGAGCATTCTATCAAATGATTCAACTGAGTACTTTTTGGCCATACTTGCTTCATCCCAAATGATCAACTTTGCTTCTTTAATAAGCCAGGCTGTTCCTCTCTGTTTGCTTATATTACAGCTGTTGTTTTCGCCTTGCCTTACAGGGATTTTAAATCTTGAATGAGCTGTTCGGCCTCCAGGAAGAATGGATGCTGCTACACCGGATGTTGTTGTAGCTAAAGCTATTTGATTTCTTGATCTTATCGTTGCAAGTAGAGCTTGGTATAGAAAAGTTTTTCCAGTACCGCCAGGGCCATCAACAAAAGATGCTCCTGGTTTTCCATTATTAACGTGATCCATTATTTTTTCATATGCAGCTTTTTGATCTTTATTAAGCATGCTCACACTTGAAAGGTCTTCATCTGAAACTATGATGCTTTTTTCTGTAATGATCTCTTGGGTTTGATCTTGAAGATCAAATACTTCAGAAGGAAAATAGCTAAAACCATAATTATCTAAAGTTTTCCCCATGGACTTTAGATGGTTATTAATCTGTTGCAAGACCTTGAAACGTACCTGATCTGTGGACAATGTAGTGTCTCGTGCTATGTCTTCTGAAAGATATGTCTTGTACGTAGAAAAAGCTCATTCTCGAGGATGCTAAGAATGGTTGTGTGTTTTTCATCCGGAGCCATTCGTAGAGTCACAGTTTCGGGACTATCGAAAATATGCTGCATTTTGATGACATAACGATGTGGGTATGTTCTCATTCTGCGGAGGGTCACTACTGGATGGAGAGACTGGAATCTCTGTTGTTGATCTTAATGTGCCACTCAGAAATGGATGCTATCCCTGCAGCATGTGGCTGACACTTACGCTCTCGGCTTACCTATTAATTTCTGCAACGTGGAGCTCGCACTGATCTTCATTGCGCCGTTAAAGACTCCAAGTACTCCGTAATGCTTCCCTTAAGGTGTTGCACTTGAGGCATTGCGTTGTCACAAACTGTCTGAGTGGTTGGACTCCTTCCAAATTAATCTTTAAGTTGATTTATTGTCTTTGCTTCCCTGAACTTGTAATCTCCCTAAATTTCCCCCCTTCATTTCATGCTTGCCATTTTGAATACTGATTTATTGAAAATTCAAATTAGGTGAGTTGGGGAAATGATGTTTACCGTCTAACCTTCTCTACTTTGCATGCAGCGAGAACCCTTGGAGACAAATAAACTACTTTCTAAGGAGACGCCAGAGCTGGAGAAAATAACTCTTGTGGAGGTTGCTGTTGTTTGTGACCTGGGACGAGTTGCTTGTCCCAGCCAAACGGTGGCAAAGTAGATAGGTCTGCCATTGGGCAGTGCACCACGAAAAGTTTAGCTTCATTAACTGATCAAGAGTATAAACAAATTGACTATGGCAGAAAATTAGCGCTGAGTGAGTGCAGGAAGATGCAAACGTTGATGCTCACAGTTTTTCAAAGGTGTGGTGAACTTATTGATAAATTTCAGCCACTGAGATTCACGTATGCTTTTGAAACCTCATTCTGTCATGTGAACTTCACATTTGTGATTTGACTTTCAAACTTGACACTTTGAAGCTGAGAAAAAAAAATCACTTCTCTCTCTTCTTCTTGCAGGCAAGCTTCATCCCAAATTATACATCGGTACGGAGTACAATTATCATGTTAAAGCAGCTTGGGTTTGCTTTGAAGAGAGAAGACACTGCCGTGAGTGACATGCTTTGGTATGTTTTTATGCATGTTCGTAATCTTCTCGTTTAAATGATTTAAATATTATAGTTCGTTCATAATTTGTCACACTTTTTAACTAGATCCATTAACATTGTGATGTGAGAATCTTTCTCATTGGGATGGATCCTAGGCACGCAGGGTTACAGATTCTATTGTCCATATATTGATGCTTTCGTTTTATAGAAGACTGTGTAAAAAGATATTAATAAATAGTATAGAAAGGCTGAATTAGCATGGTTTCCATCCAAATGCTTACCTCTTTCACATTTTTTGCAGAAGAATTCATTGCTCCATTGATCAGATACTGCCCTCAAGGCAAAGTCAAGTGACTTGCCCCTCCTAACTTGTGCATATTTGTGTGTGTGTGTGTGTGTGTTGGGGGGGGTGGTTGTCTAGTGTGTGTTTGTGTGTCTAGATATATGATTTTAGGATATGGTCTCTAGAGTGGCTTTTTATCACGGAAATTTAGGGGCAGATGCATAAGAACAGCAGCTTTAGGGATGGTGTTTCTTGAAATGACTCCTTTAAGAACAAGAAAATTATTGAGATGAGCATTTGAACACTTTGTGAAATTGTTGTGCATGTAATGAAGAATGTGTTTGATTTCATTTCATATCATTTCATGTCTTAAGCTGGCATTTCATGCGTTGAGTTGGCAAAATATATGGGTTACTGCTAATCACTATTGCTTCTTGCAGGCTGTAGGTTACTTCAGCATCTTTTGATGTGAGCAGAAAAAAAGGTGCTGGTTCCTAATAACTGCAGCAAATTGTGATAGTCAAACACAATTTACTCCATTTTCAAGTTAGAAAACAGGTAATGATGCCAGATAAGCAGCTGCCCTATGTATGTAGAAATATAAAAACACAAATTCCTTGATTGATCTGATTTTTAATTAATATCTTCAATCTCTCTGTACGAAGAACGCCAAATAGCAATTACTGTAAGCAAGAGTACCTGGATTAAAGCCCATAATGCCCAATATAAGTGGGAGGCTAACATAACATATTAGTCTCATACATAGTGAGCTTCCAGATCTTGGTCAGAGACCTGTTCAGACAAGAAACTTAGTAGCTACATCTTTCAAGTCCTAATATAATCAGTGTTACAAAATTATATGGTGAAAGATATCAGTCGCGTAAAATAGGAGGCAATATGAAGATTTAAAGGTAAGATGATTCATGCACCCAATGCAGAAGACAGTAACCTTATATACAATGTTAGCCATGGTTTCAGCAAATTTTATGATAAGTTACATGTTGTTCTACTACTGTCGTAATACAGAGGATGAAAGCTACTTCTAGACAACCAGCGGCTATTGTTTACCAAAGCCACATCAAGTTACCATGAATTCATTCAACCTGAACTACAAGGTAGAGTCAGCAGATGTGTGTGATCAGGCAAAACAAACGACCAGACCAATTGGCAGCCATCACCATCATAAAGTCCGTCATAAAAACATACAAATTAAAAAATTTGTTTCAACAATTTAGAACAGAAAGTCCGTCTTCAACAAATTAAAAACCAACTCGATACCTTCATTTGGCAATTTCTATCGATCCATCTTTACAAACTAAACAGAGTAACTATCTAATGCTAATGGAAAGAGAAGATCACCACTGCAAGTTCAAAAAGACTGAAAACCAAGTACCTCATCTGGCCTTTCAGGATGTAAATAGAATCTGAAGAAATGATATTGCTAACCCTTGTTTGGATACCTGAAAAGCATATTAAAATTGATGACCACTACAAATTTTACAAATCCCAGAACCACGGAAAAGATAGTAGTAAGATGCACAAGCTGTATTCACAGTCATAGCCAGCATATTCATTAAAGTGATTTCAAAAGTCAAAACCTCTGTAACTGTATGATCCATATTCGAAATCGATGAAGTAGAGCTTCTCTGGTCATCCATCAACAGATATGGTAGTCAGGAAGTATCCATGTCGCTGTATCAACAACGATAGGAAAAATTAAAGGCAGTAGCTTAACTTTACCACTTCCTTTAAAAACAGTAGAAGTCTCCTCCCTCTGGAGAAATTGGTAATTACCACGTACGGTTCAAAACAAATTGCGAAAATAAAAAAACTTCAATCAACAGTTCAACATTTTTTTTAAGTGTACCACTTCTTATGTAGATTTACATTGCATGTAATGTTCCTCGATGCCTAACCAAACAAATATTTTACTCCTACTAGATACTGAATGATATTTATTATTAATTTAGTTCTAACACGAAAACCGTAAAGTGGATTTAAGACTGAGTCAACAGAAATAAAACTAAAGAAATTTGCACTAAATGTAGCATTAACACATCCCAATATAATCTTAGTTCCATTTTCTTGAAAGGAAAATGAAATTCTTACAACTAGGAAGTTGTTCCAAATGCCTTGAAACCAATGGAAAAATAGCTACTAGGGAATGGGGTAGTGGATGTCAACAGGGAGGAAAAGAGACAGCACATCCAGAAAGAAGAAGCTAACCAAGAACGAAGTACCTTCATAATCATTCAGCATCAAATTTCCTGAAAGTATGAGCATAAACTACAGGAACGTCAAGATGTCCAGTCAATTCTTGTTATAGATGATAAAGTTTAATGAAAGAAGGAAGTAGATTAAAGTGACCACATTATTTAAAACTGAAGTTGTAGATTTATAACAAACTTACAAACCTTCAGCTCAGAAACTTCAGTATCGATTTCTTCAAATGAAATCATTCCGTACATCTTTTTCTTGTCAACATCATTGAAGTTTAATCCAGGCGCTACAAGCAACAACAAAAACATGCAAAAAGCATGAGAAAACAGATGGCGTGATATTATCTCTGCTCTGCTTGGATATAGACAATGTTACTGTATTCATGTGGGAAATGAATGCTAAACTGGAGAACTGAAAATGCTAGACAATAAACCTTTTTTAAAGAACTTAGAAATGTCATTCCACAATTGAGGTTCATTAGAGCCTGGTATCTCCACCTGATGAAATACGAAGTTGTTTAGCAATTTCAGCTACTACCTTTGGCTTCCTCATGTCGGACAACTTATAAACAAGAATAAACCAACTTAACTAATGTCACAAAACCTCCAATGCAGAGAAAGGATGGAAAAAATGATATAAAGTAACACTGCAATATAATGACCAAAAAGACCTGACCCTTCTCATCAATGCAACAATCTCAGTTGAGCTATCTCGCGAACCACCTAAAATTTCAGTCTAACCCTAAAATGCATCTCAACTAAAAACCAATATCCTTAAGAAGGGTTGCATATTTCCAAAGTTCAGAGCACAAAGTTTAGGCCCTTCTGTTCTTAACAATAATACTTGGACAAATAATTTGGCACAACTCAGAGGTTGAGAAACTACTCAACGAACAGCTAATGAATACTAAAGCAGTATTTTAAATGTCTTCACTCTTCATCAATAAAGGTGAAATAGCCATTTGATCCTTTGCGAAATCAAACAATGTTAATTTGGTAGAATTATCTGCCAAATGGCAATATGAATATCATGTCAGTTTGAAAGAGATACCTGAAGGAGTTAGAGTCCGTGCATTGATAAACGATTGGACCATCCCATTACCACACACGCCAAGTAACTTCCCACCAAAGCCTGCAGCTGAAATATAGGGTATAGCCTGAGAACACGGTGCTATAACATAATCAGAAAATAGTTGTAAAAAAAGAATGCTCAGCTGGAAAGATTTGTCAAAAGCACCACATGAGTATTAACCGAATAGTTCAAATAATTAAACAAGTTTTAGAAAAGACAGTGAAATCATGCTTGCACAGTACACATTAAACGACTCTGAAAACAATTCAATGAACCAAGACCAGTCCAACTGAGCCAACATTTCGCGAGTATTCATCAAAATAAATAGCTCGCTTTGCAATCAATTAAGCAGGACGTGAACAAACACCATATACACGAAAAGCTTCAGCTAACAAGATACAGTAACTAACCACAGAAACGAATCCTTAGAAAGGAGCTAGAATTTCCTCATTAAACAAAAAATAAAAATTACTATCTAAACATCCGGCGGCAAAAAAGGGAAAAGGGATAAGAAAGAAGAATAAAAAGGAAGCGTACACGATGCGAGGCTTCATCTTGGGGGAAAAGAGAGGGAGTGATCGACGGTGAGAGAAGAGCATGAAATGTCGGAGGGATGAGTCTCCCGAGCTCCCTCCGCCAGTTGGACGGCGTTCCAGATGTTCACCGCCCCCCATCAGAATCTGATCTCTTTTTGGTCGGAGTTACCTATTGAAAAAATGTTAGTATTTTAAAGCTTTGTTGAAATCACCCAAAATGAATGAAGAAAGAAGTCTCCGTTTCCGTTGAATTAATTCCCTTGATGTATGAAATGTAAAAGCAAGGCCAATAAACAGTAAGCTTGCCGGATTGCTGACGGTGTTAAATTCTAAGAGATGCTACTGAGCTTACACAGAAGCCTATTAGACTTTGTTTGTAACTTTTTTGTTTGGAGGATTTTACGCCTTTTGGCTTTTTCTTCAATGTTGAATGAATCCTTTTGAGGACCAAACAAGAGAACCTTTTGTAAATAGGTTGACTCGTTTCTTTGCACTCTTCTTTTGTTAGATTGATTTGTCTTTTTTTGGCTTAGAAAAGAGACCAAAACAATGATGTCTGTGTGGATGATATAACACCAAGAAGCAGGCAGCTCCATGGGACCCATCACGTGAAAAAGCAGAATGAGATGGAGTTTTTTTGTGGTTGGGATTCAGGGAAAGAAATGTCCATTGTGGGTGGGTGTTCTATTTCGTCTCTTTGTCCAAAGGTTCCCTGTTTATTTGGATTTGGCGGTTGCCTGGGAAGAGAACATGGAGCAACAAAGAGACAAATTTTGGATTTAATGAGGACATAGAACAAAACCTGAAAAAATAATGGTCAAATGCGAGATTTTGGTGCCAAAAAAGAAAAAGTAACTAGGCAAAAGGCCCTCTTTTTTCCTTCTTTTTTGAATCCCACGATAATCCTTTTTACCCTATTAAAGCAGAAGACATGAAACTTATGTGGCAACTAAGTATGCATCTGTTTTGGCTCCAATGCACCATATTTCAGATTTCAGGAGTCTTTTTGCCACGTGTAAGTCTCTTTTAATTAGAAGTTATATAATTTTTTTTTAAAAAAAAACACATGTTTTACTATAAATAAGGATCAGTTACATTTCAAACGAATGGATATATTAATTCAAATTCAAATGTCCAATCGTATAGTTTGCAGGCTTAATATAAACAAAAAATAAAAATACCTAAATCTAGCAATTAAGAATAATGCCTTATAAACTAATTATTTATTATTCCGTTATAACCTCAGATTTATAGGTATATTTTTTAAGCCCCAAATCATAGCATAAATGATATCTACGCCAAATTAATTCCTCAAAAAATAGTAATTCAATTAGATTTTAATAAAATAGTAATTTAGAAGGTGCGCCCGGACATCTGCCTGGGCCAAACATCTAGTAAGTAATTATTACAGTTCCTTTTTTAAGTTTCGGCGGCGTACCCACCCACCGCACACACATTCTCATTCATGATCCAACAAGTCTACCATTTTCCAATGTCCCACCCGGATCAATTCCATCACATACAGTAATTTTTATTCTAAATCAGTAACGATTCACCAGATTCTTCACTAAAACCATTCTAATTTTATTGTTATCTATTTTCGCTTGGTGTAGTCACTACCTTTAATACGATCGTTAGTGTTTTTAATGGCTCGTATCCACATATTAACCTTATGTAAAGTGTTATCATTTGGGAACATTTGGACAAAAACATGATGTAGGAGTATTTGTTTAAAGGTTATGAATTGTATTATTAATGGTAATTAGTAACATACATTTTACGATTAGTCTATACTTTGAATTTTCTAATTTACTTATCAAAATATAAGCCAATGTAGCCCACCAAAAACTTGGCCGTAGTTAATGTACTATTAAGGACTAAAAATGAATTTATTTAATCAAATGCTTGCAAAGAAAGAAAAAGAAAATTACATTCCGTTGAACCATTTTTTTTTTTTTTTTGGTGAATTACTAAATGACGAAAATTATCGGAGGTTCTAATAATAACTTTTGTTGATGTTAATGTTAAGGTAACAATTTTGCTCTTTCTTTTTCTTTTTTCCTTTTTTTTTTTTGACAACAACAATTTTGCTCATATGATACAGAAAATGCTCGGAACAGGAATTTTTATTTTTATTTTTATTTTTACAAAAGCTAGCATAATCCATACTCACTCCATTTTTTCCTCCATTTATTTTTACAAATCATTTTAGATTTGGATATATATTTCAAAATATAGGTGGTTCTAAGATAAATTAATGATTGCCTTTCCAACTTTGCTTTAAATGTTGTTAACTACTCCTCGTCTTGTCTTATTTATAGTTCCAAAACAATTAATTATTGAATGATTGACTTTTTAATTTTACGTACAAAATCTAAATTTACTTATAAAAAGAAATGGAGAAAATAATCCATACTATTAGGGTTGTCTGATCGGGCAGGTTCGGTCGGTTCAGGTGAATTCGGATCGGTTAAATCGGTTTTTTTAGTCTGATGAACCGCCCGAAACTGAACCGTAAATACTATTCATCCGAACCGAACCAACCGAATAAGCAATCGGTTTTAGCAGTTCGATTTCGGTTTAACCGATATTGAACCATAACTTGTCAGACTGACTTTGATGTACCATGCACTTTATTCACGATCTGGGTGGTTAGTTAATCATGACACTTTGCATTGCATGCTGCAGTTTCGTAATCTGGAAAGGGGTGTTGACATCCTAGTTGCCACTCCTGGGCCCCAGGTTGATATGATAGAACGAGCTAGAGTGTCGCTTTGGAATGTGAAGTTCTTGGCTCTAGATGAGGCTGATAGGATGCTGGATATGGGGTTTGAGCCTCAAGTTCGGAGAATTGTCCAGCAAATGGAAATGCCATGTGCAGGTGTCAGGCAGACTATGCTTTTCATTGCAACATTCCCTACTGAGATACAAGTCCGTATTCATAGCACTTTGTCTCTGTATCTTGTATTCTGTCATTTGTCCAGTCCTTAATCCATTTGCTTGAATTCCCTCAAAATAATCAAAGTTAAATGTTGCAGAACCTTGCATCAGATTTTCTATTGAACTACATCTTTCTATCTGCTGGAAAAGTTGGACCAAGCAATGATCTTATAGCTCAAAAAGGTGCAATTTGTTGCTGACATGGACAAGAAGAGTCGGTTGATGAGGCTTCTTTTATTTCAGAGATCAAATGGCTCTCAAGGGAAGGTAAAACAGATGCATTTTAACAATGTTTCTTTAGGCGACACATTCTCTCATTCATATAGTTCCCTGCTTGAGCCGGAAACATGTTTATAAATTTTTGCAGCCTATTTTAACTTTGGTGTTTGTCAAAGTACTTGTTCCTGATCTGTTCCTTTGTACACCTTTTTATATGTCTAAATGCTGATGTAATTCATATATGAGATTTCTTTTTACGGTTCAGATGATTACAAACAACTTTGAAGGTCATCCTGAACATCACCTCAATTTTTCTCATTGCTTTGAGTAATTAATACGCGCTATTTCCATGCTCTGATTCATTTGTCAAGTGAGGTAAGTGCGATTTCTGTTGCTTTTGGATTCCGAGTGCTGTGTGAAACTGTAAATAGAGGATTCCCATTCCACAATTCTCTCTCTCCCTCTCCCTCTCCCTCCCTGAGAGATTCATTGCTGAATGCATTTTGATTATCTGCCACAGCGACTTAAGCTAGTGATGGATTCCATTATTTGGGCTTTCCGGCGTACTGTATGGAATATTGCTGAAACTGGATTGGTACTTTTACTAGAGATTCTCAAGAAATTTCAGGTTTCAACTTTTTTTTAATAGTTTCATGAAACCTTTTTTTAATAATTTTCTCCTCTTTTTCTTAATTTTTTTTTTCTGCTTCATTGGTTCTTAATTGGTCACTGTTTCCTTGGCAGGCCTCTGAATTCCGTAATCAATTTTACCAATCATACTTTTTAAGAATCGAGGAGGAGATGTTCGTGGTTTTAACAGATACATTTCATAAGCCTGGGTTCAACCTACAGGTTTTAGTGCTGCCGCATTTATTTAGTCTGGTAATTTCTCTTCCCCAGTGTCCTGCAAGCTTTTTATTAAGAAGATTTTATGCATTTGAGTTTCTTTATCATATTGTTTTGTGATTTCAGGTAGGATCAGATACATTAACAGAACCTTTGTGGGACATCTCCACAGTTTACTACCAGTATTCAAATAATGAAATGTTTGTGCGTGAATATACCAATAAGCTCTTACAGAAGATGCTCCCAAACATGACAGAGGCTGAGGTAAGAGTGCATTACTCTCGCAAGATATTCCCTGTTGTGCACTTAACACATTTGCTCTATTTTAATCAGTTGGATGATTTCAGGTTGCACGATTTGTGAGAAGGCTTCTTGAATCAAAGTCTGAGCTCTCCAAATTTAAGCACCATATGAGAGACTTCCTTCTGTTATCAAAAGAACTTCAGCTAGGGTATACTTTGACAGCTCATGATTGCTGCTTGCTGTTCTTCCCTTCTCTCACACAACGAACTTTCTCTATTCTAAAGTATGCTTCCTCTTGTCTGCAGCAATTTTAAGGAACTACTACACTTGTGTTCATATACTCGGGTAGGCTTCATTTTGCTGTGGATTCACGGGCGTCTGCATTGGAAGAATATGGCAGGGCAATCACAATTCAGGATTATGGACATTAAGCCATCGTGATAAACAGATCCTTAAACAGAGTTCTAAGTGGTAAGAAATAGTATGATTCCACCCAGAGTCGTAAAACTGTCATGAGATGATTAGATGGCATTTTCATCTAAGATTGCGCTGGATTAATTTCTTCAATGCATCTTGAAGTAAAAGATTTTATGTTATTGTGCATATTTAACTTTTACGTGGTCCGTGAAGTTTTCTTGATGTTCTGTGTTGTGCTACTTTATTGCAGGTCCACCGAATTAGGGAACTCCCTCAGAACAAAAATATTACAGCAACGGATGTTGAGTGCCCTGAAGTAAGTGGATGACCAGCCTGCTTATGTTTCTGTGAAGCTGTTGATCTTTCCTAGTTTGACGTGCATTGTTGCAGGTCCTCATCTGGGATGTTAAAGCCCAACCTTAAGCATGTTGTTCAAGAGGCAGGGGAGTCTCGCCTTGATTTGGTGCGTCTCACTTCGTAATATTTTTTTTGCCTCATTTCACCTTAGTATTCGTCTTTCGTGGTTAAGTGTGAATTTGCATTTGCTTCTAGTACAAGTAGTCATGTTTAATTCATCTTGTTCAATCATTGATAATTTTGCCGTGTGAAGTGCTGTTTCTGGATGCCAGTAGCTTTGGAAATTTGTAAACTTGTCTGTAATTTCTATATTCGTATTTATTAGAAAGTAATTGCGTGCATCCATCAAGTTCATTATGACCCGGTGATCTACGTGTTTACTTTTCGTGTTCTTTGTTTCTGTTTCTTTGAGCCAAGGGTTTTCTTGACCTTGACTTTTCTCATTACAAGTACTTAAAGAAAAATGTCTGATTGTGCCGTGCTTAGTTGTTGTCTTGCATATATGCTTTTCATGGAATTGTGTTAGAAGATCTTCTGCAGGCATTGACAGGATACAAGGATATTGTTGAATTTGCCCTCATAACGTGCCCATCCGAACCCTTAGAGCTTTCTGGAGGTTGGACTTGTTTTCGTCTGCCTTTTTGTTGAAATTATTGTGAAGTCTTTGGGTACATCATCATAGATGCAGAAAATGTTAATGTTTTCTCATTTTTTCTCTCTTTTGGTTATTGGTGGACCCTTCACAGGGAAGGATGAGATTGCGGTCCTCTGGAATATTCAAGATCACAGATATGCATCTGCTAGTAATGGATCAAAGGCCTTCTGTTCTACTGGGTCAATCATTAAACTTGCTGATGGTTCTCCTGTCTGGCCACATGGTTTTTTCAGGGGCGTAATTATATTGTTGAAGATGTGCAGTGTTGCCCATCAAGGTAATCCTCCCTTGAACATTGTTCCTCAAATAAGTAACTGGAAGAGGTTCGATTTGCACTTAATTGGTAATCTGTAATTGCTTCTTGAACAAGAGAAACAATCTTCGACTTCTTTCAAGGACTGGAATTCAGAATCTAAGTAGTGCATACTAATTTCCAGTATTAATTTTGTGAATTGATGGATATACCTTTTTTGCAACTGTTTTTCCTAAATGCATTTTTCTGGATACAATGCTATTCTATTTTTTTAGTGCATTCATTTGAAGCATATATCGGCTGGAACTTTTCTGCAGTTCACAGGAGTTTTGTACTGTTGATGATGATTCTTGCTGGATATGGGATGAATGAACAGGAAATAGGCCAATGTTGAAGGTTAGTTGGACATGGTCCTTGTTTTTTAATGTTGATCACAGGTCTCCCTGTCGTGGCTGTTATCTCATCAGCTAAATTAGCTTGAAATACCATATAAAATTCGTGATCTTCTGTTCAGCTTTCCTATTATCAGTCCCGTTTTTATAATATTTAGCTAGACTGCACCTACTGAGAGTGAGAGCTATTTTTTAAATCATGCAGCACCCTGATGTTCTTATGCTATAGGGTGTAAAGTGTGGCATATGCTAACTGATCCTTGAAACTAGAATTATTAGCTGCTAAATAAACATGGGTTGGGGAAAGACAGTTTAGTTAATAACTAATCTTTGCTTGCTCTCTTTATGAGGTTCCCTGGATGCATTTTACTAGTCCGGTTCATGTTTGCTGGAATCATGTTTTCCTTCTCAACACAATTGATGAATAAGGATTCCGCTATTATTCATTCAGAATATCTTAAGACATGCTTCAAAGGACATTGGAAGTATTTGAAGATGGTTTTTTGTTTGCGGAATGGCCCCTTTGGGCGATGTTTCATGCATAGTTTTATCTACCGAGTAATTCTTTTTTTTTTTGAAAAATCTATTATATTCTCCTTTGGTTTTCAAGACAATAATTTTTGTGTAACTGGATTTCTGTGATGCTCATGTCTCAATTGATTGATTTATTTGCAAAAGAGCTGTAGTACTGTGCAAATTTCTGGTTCAGCCTTATCTGAAGTCCCTGCATGTGTTGCTTAAATAGGTTGAAAAGGCACACAATGCTGATATCCACTGTGTTGATTGGAATACTCACGATCAAAATCTGATTCTGACCGGGTGGGTTCTCATAAGTCTCGCTTATCAAAGATCTGGAAGTTAACAATTATGTTTCATTGTCACCTTAAGTAGATTTCAATTCCATGTAGTATATGTTATCATTCACTGATTTTTACAGTGAATGATATTGCCAATGAAGTTCAAGCCGCGAAATAAAACATACTTGAATCAACAACAGGAAACACAAAACTAGTAACATATTCACCATCCAACCAAATATTTAGAAACAAGTAACTATCATTATGTTGTTCTATCCTGGATTTCTGACAAGTACCCAAAATCATAACAATTTGATCATATGCTAAAAAAAAAGTTTAAAAACCAAGATTAGATAAAACCGCGATTACAAAACAAGTTTTAAGCAAGTAAAATTTGCACAGTTTACTTGAAGCACTTGGCATCCAGTAGAGCTTCACCCTCGAAAGGCTCAGAATCCTCAATCATCCAATTCACACTCAATCACAAATTTTGCTGGTCCAATGCCTCGAGGCTTCTTTTTGCTGGTCAAATCATACAAAGGAAAGAAAAGAAAACCATTGAATCAAAAGCAATATCACGCAACCCAGTCAAGGAGCTAATAGGCTCCCTTTTTTATCTTCCAGCAAACAGCAGAAACAACTATAACAGAAAACCAAGCAAATAAAATTGTACTGTCAAAACTCCATCCCAAAGAATTTTCAACCAGGCCAATTATAACAAAAATTTGAAAAAGAAATCAAAAAGCCTACTACGAAGGTGGAATAATAAGATAAACTTCATTTTTTATCTTTTCAAGACGTTCTTGCACACCAGCAACATCTCTCATTGATCTCGCAGTCAGCCTACTCGCATAATCTGTTGCAGCATTTACTTTTGATGGCACCCACTGGATGTCAACTTTGCATCCATCTGTTTCTTTGAAGTTATACAATGTGTTCTGAAGCAACCGACCCAAGAAAACAATAACATAAATTGACATACATTAAGACAGTTCATATGAAGGCTTAACCAGAAAAAATGAATTTTCTCCAAAATAAGCAAAAACAGTTATATATACACCTGGCCTCCTCGAAGTAAGATTCGCGTTCATTTGGACTCTTACCCTCAGCAACTTGTTTTGCACACACAGAGTCCGTCTCCAATATAACATGACAACCCTTATACTTCTTCTTATACTTGTTACTTATCAGGACATCTATTCCCATCTTCATTGCTTTGATCTCAATATCATTCTGCTGTAGTTTCTTGCCAATATCTATGTCTGTCTCAAGATGCACAAAGTTACCTCTGGAGTTTACCAAACAGCAGTCATAACCCTGTTACCGTCTTCATCTATAATAGCATCGGAGGAAACTTTGATTCCCCTTTAAATAAAAAGCAGTAAAAGAAAGTCAAACTGAATACATCCAAATTGCCATGGCCAATCTATAATAGCATAGGAGGAAACTTTGATTCCCCTGCAAATAAAAAGCAGTAAAAGAAAGTCAAACTGAATACATCTAAGTTGCCACGGCCAAGTCAAAAATCAACCAAAAAAGATACAAGTCTGAATCAATTTTTACTTGACAAAACCACCCCAAGAATGAAATTAAAAATCAAGAATAATTTACCGAGAAGAAACTTTAAAAAAAAACACCCAGCAAAATAGACATTTGGTGTTTTTTCAGCAAAGAAGTGTTAACTGGACATTATCTGTTCAAACAGGTTTAAATAAGTGTTAAAGGAGAATATCAGACAACTTTCAGTAGTTCATAACAGAGAGCGAGCATCTTGTATGATGAACACAAGGGAAAAAAAAAAAAAGCACAGGCCCTGAGACAAGGTAACTTAGGACTATGAAGAGAGCAGCTTGTGTCAAACACAGCAGACTTGGTATGTACAGTAACATAATGCCCAGGCAAAGATATTTCCTAACTGCAGTTCTATATTTCATGGCAACCATTTTCAATTCATTTCCACAATTGATACAATACCAAAATCCAAAGGACAGATATAGAGTACCAAATCACTTTGAATGGTTTGGACTCCCAAAAGTAACAATCAGAGATCATTCTAACAAACTTACAACAGGATAGTAAACACATGGAATCAGAGATGCTGACGAGAAACTGAACAAAAAAGCAAAAATACATGGAAATCAGATATGCTGACGGGAAAATGAACAAAAGGGTGAAAGACATTTAAACCGTGATAACCCAGTGATCAAATCAAACACCAATCATGTATGATATGTAACAGATATAAATCAAACCCAGTGGTACTCCATTCTTTTCTTTGACCTTACCTGATCTTTGGCTATGATTATTAAGTTTCATTGGTTTACCATTTCAAGGACACTAGAACTTTTAGTCACTTATGTTGCCACCAGAAATTATAATTTTCTTTTTCCTGGTTGCTTTTATGGTACGTCTCAATTCATGGTTTGATCCTATTGTTTGAATATATGGAACTACTTTGGAGTTGTGTATCAGAAGCAGCCTGTGACACTGAAATGTTCTCCTTTCTTTCAATGTCTGGTACTTATTCTTCATTTGTTTTAATTATTACTAGGGAACCCCAGATAAGGTTTTTGCCAAGAAGCTATCCTCTGCAGCTGAAATCAAGAAGGTCTGGGCCCTGGGGCTTTATTTATCTACTTATTTTCTTAATTTTTCTTACCTACTCTTTTACATTGATTTTGTACTATTTCGATGTGCTAGGAAGCCTTTTTTTACCTGGCTTATCTATTTTGTTATCTTTATATTCTCTAATACAGGTTGACGAGGGTAGTTCTGATGGGAAAGTGAAGAAGTGGATGCTACTATTTCTGGTGGAGAGTTTGAGGATGGTGCAAAGTTGCTGGAAAATCTGCAAGCCATGGTATTGTTTTTGTCAATGAACTGAAACTCATGTTGGTGTACTCTTCACTCTTGTTTCGGTTGTGTAATGGCCAAACTTATCTTTCCCCAGGTCTCAACTGAGAGCAGCTCGAATAAAACATCTTCAGAAAGTGATGATGAAGGGTTGTCGTCTGAGGAAGAGAAGCCTAGCAAGGCCCCTCAAAAAAAGGTAATGCAGGGTGCTTTTAGCTCAAAACTATTTTTAAGTTGCTCTAGCTGAAATTTCAAGTTATGCATTTTTTATCCCGCAGCCTGTATTTGTAGTTACATTTTTACATTGTCTCAATTGACAGGTTTCAGTTAATACAGCAAATCCAAAAAAACTGATTGCCACTTTGCCAAGGGCATCAAAGCTATACATTGGAAAGCGGTCATATTCATCAAAAAAAGTGTCAAAATCTAAGGAACATGCACCAGTTCGAAAGAAGCAGACAGCAACCATTTGAGAACTTTACTCTTTTCCTCCGTGTCATCCTTACAAAGATCCCTCTCTGGTAATATTTGTTATTAACGAATGTTTGATCACGGTTTTGTTTGCTGCTTATCTTATTATTTTGGGTGCTGATGCCTGTAGGAGGAGATAATGGCAATTGAAAAGCATTACGAGGTTCCCTTCAAAGAACAAATGGAGATTTCTAAGTGTACAACCAAAATAAATCTTGGCATCGGAGATTTTGTGCGGTTCATCTTGTAATGTCGCATTAATGTTCGGCCTGATGCAGTGAAGGAACTCAGTGTGAAAAATATCAATTTAGTGGATGATTATACTCTCAGCAAAGACAGATTGATGTTAAGAACCTGGATTCGCAAATATCCAAAGAAGGGGTAATCCACTTGCCCCTTTGAATATCCTTCCGTAAATCTGTTACATATTTACTTGATTGGTGTTTCATATCTGTTACATATTGTACATGATTGGTGTTTGATTTGATCACTGGGTTATCACGGTTTAAATGTCTTTCACCCTTTTGTTCATTTTCCCGTCAGCATATCTGATTTCCATGTATTTTTGCTTTTTTGTTCAGTTTCTCGTCAGCATCTCTGATTCCATGTGTTTACTATCCTATTGTAAGTTTGTTAGAATGATCTCTGATTGTTACTTTTGGGAGTCCAAACCATTCAAAGTGATTTGGTACTCTACATCTGTCCTTTGGATTTTGGTATTGTATCAATTGTGGAAATGAATTGAAAATGGTTGCCATGAAATATAAAACTGCAGTTAGGAAATATCTTTGCCTGGGCATTATGTTACTGTACATACCAAGTCTGCTGTGTTTGACACAAGCTGCTTTCTTCATAGTCCTAAGTTACCTTGTCTCAGGGCCTGTGCTTTTTTTTTTTTCCCTTGTGTTCATCATACAAGATGCTCGCTCTCTGTTATGAACTTGTTATGAACTACTGAAAGTTGTCTGATATTCTCCTTTAACACTTATTTAAACCTGTTTGAACAGATAATGTCCAGTTAACACTTCTTTGCTGAAAAAACACCAAATGTCTATTTTGCGGGGTGTTTTTTTTTAAAGTTTCTTCTCGGTAAATTATTCTTGATTTTTAATTTCATTCTTGGGGTGGTTTTGTCAAGTAAAAATTGATTCAGACTTGTATCTTTTTTGGTTGATTTTTGACTTGGCCGTGGCAACTTAGATGTATTCAGTTTGACTTTCTTTTACTGCTTTTTATTTGCAGGGGAATCAAAGTTTCCTCCTATGCTATTATAGATTGGCCATGGCAATTTGGATGTATTCAGTTTGACTTTCTTTTACTGTTTTTTATTTACAGGGGAATCAAAGTTTTCTCCAATGCTATTATAGATGAAGACGGTAACATGGGTATGGCTGCTGTTTTGGTAAACTCCAGAGGTAACTTTGTGCATCATCTTGAGACAGACATAAATATTGGCAAGAAACTACAGTAGAATGATATTGAGATCAAAGCAATGAGGATGGGAATAGATGTCCTGATGAGTAACAAGTATAAGAAGAAGTATAAGGGTTGTCATGTTATATTGGAGACGGACTCTGTGTGTGCAAAACAAGTTGCTGAGGGTAAGAGTCCAAATGAACGCGAATCTTACTTCGAGGAGGCCAGGTATACAACTGTTTTTGCTTATTTTAGAGAAAATTCATTTTTTCTGGTTAAGCTTTCATATGAACTGTCTTAATATATGTCAATTTATGTTATTGTTTTCTTGGGTCGGTTGTTTCAGAACACATTGTATAACTTCAAAGAAACAGATGGATGCAAAGTTGACATCCAGTGGGTGCCATCAAAAGTAAATGCTGCAGCAGATTATGCGAGTAGGCTGGCTGCGAGATCAATGAGAGATGTTGCTGGTGTGCAAGAACGTCTTGAAAAGATAAAAAATGAAGTTTATCTTATTATTCCATCTTCGTGGTAGGCTTTTTGATTTCTTTTTCAAATTTTTGTTATAATTGGCCTGGTTGAAAATTCTTTGGGATGGAGTTTTGACAGTACAATTTTATTTGCTTGGTTTTCTGTTATAGTTGTTTTTTCTGTTTGCTGGAAGATAAAAAAAAGGAGCCTATTAGCTCCTTGGCTGGGTTGCGTGGCTGGGTTGCGTGATATTGTTTTTTATTCAATGGTTTTCTTTTCTTTCCTTTGCATGATTTGACCAGCAAAAAGAAGCCCCGAGGCATTGGACCAGCAAAATTTGTGATTGAGTGTGAATCAGATGATTGAGGATTCTGAGCCTTTCGAGGGTGAAGCTCTACTGGATGCCAAGTGCATCGAGTAAACTGTGCAAATTTTACTTGCTTAAAGCTTGTTTTGTAACCGCGGTTTTGTCTAATCTTGGTTTTTAAACTTTTTTTTTTAGCATATGATCAAATTGTTATGATTTTGGATACTTGTCAGAAATCCAGGATAGAACAACATAGTGATAGTTACTTGTTTCTAAATATTTGGTTGGATGGTGAATATGTTACTAGTTTTGTGTTTCCTGTTGTTGATTCAACCATGTTTTATTTCGCGGCTTGAACTTCATTGGCAATATCATTCACTGTAAAAATCAGTGCAAATATATAGTAGTTGTATAATGTCTGTGTATGAAGAAACATATCGGATTGGGAACATGACATCCACATATTCCGGTAGATACGAAAAGTAAATCATGGACGTAAGAACATGTTATGCTTCTACGCATATGCCCAACTCGCCTTGTTCTCGTAGATCTACTATACAAGATTCTGCATAGTTATCTGGGGGCGGGAGGTGGGGGCGTGCTCGCTTTTCTTCCTAAAATTTGTACAACAAAGATCCTGTAAGGTAGTTAGTTATGTGGGTGGGTGGGGGGTGGGCGGGGCTCGCTTTTCTTCCTAAGATTTGTACACGAACTTACTGTAAAAGTCAACAAAGATCCTGTAAGGAATTCGCTTTACAACCAGCTTCAGGATTTCCTTCAAACCAAACATAATAAAGGCGCCAACAGTATTTGTTTGTAATCAGGGAAGCTATCCTGAGCCAATCTTGACATTCTTCGCTTATGAAAAAATGCAAGAACATCTTTAAAAGGCAAGCTCACATACAGTGAGAAAAGAGAGCTTTTAAGGTTTAACACTTATTGTCACTAAACATTTTACTACTCATTACAAAGAAATTTTCGGAGAACAGTTGTCCACGAGAACCTCAGAACTAAACAGGCAGCCGTATCCAAACATGGTTGATTTTGGAACGCAAAACAATAACAAAACAGATGGCGGAAAAATGCTCCATCCTAACAGCACAGAGATAAATCATGATACTAATATAAATCATACATGACACTAATCCAATAACTTCGTGTACAGAACAAATCATTGCACCCCCCACTATCCGGGAGCGGAAAAGAAGAGGCAGCAGAATAACCTCAAAGCTACAGAATGCAACATTAACGCATCCTGTATGACTGAGTTCTTGCAGCCTTACAACGTCGGCCATTTAATGAATACTTCAGCACTATATCCACATCTCGGGGATTATTCTTGTTTTGGGCAACCGTCATGCTGCCAACTATAGTTTCTCCTTCGCAAACAGTTAGCACATCTTCAAGGTAAAGAACAGTTTGTTTCCAATGAGTTGCTCGCGATTTTGGCCCTGTAAATAGACAATCTAGTGTCACGATACAAAACTAAGGATAACAGTGATCAAAAGTGGTCAATCATTTGTTATTGCTCTAAGATCTAAAGATTCCACAATCTCTTCGAGGAACTAGGTTTCCATTCTACACAAGAAAGGAAGCCAGAAATTCTTTCCCACTCGATGAGGCTGCCGCCTCTGAGATGCAGATGGGAATAAAGAAGCATGTATAAATAAAGGCATCCGAATAGATACTTTACTGGTTAAAGAAAATGGAGATCTCATTCAAGCCACATTTACCTGTTGAAAAGCCCATCAATTTGTGGCATTTTGTAAAAGACACATCAAAATAAGCTACAAGAGCATGGATGTAATCATCTCGTTCCGCCACTAGCTTGAAAGGAGCAGTGAAAGAGGCATCCCCTGAATCCATCTTAGCAATGTCCATTGTCTGCATGAATCAACTTCAAAATTAAGACAAATGATTGATATGACAAAACAGAAACATTGCAGTTTCAGAGGACTGATAAATTTCCAACCTTAAGCCGCTGACAACTTGTGACAATCTGCTTCTGGTCTACAGTGTCAACAAGAGGCTCCATGATGGATTGCTTCCTGATGCAGCTCATATTAAAGCCATATACATTGTTCCAAACTGCATCAGCACAAAAAGAGTTGAGAGTTATGAAATAGAGCTTACTTAAAAAGTGGAAGAAGAGCAACTGTCAGGACGGTATCTGCTATCTTAAACTACACCAATAAAGAACTTGAAACCATGACGCAATCACACAAAGGATGAATATCTCACATTCAATTTTGTCTTCCTTGTAATCTGCATCTTCTATTGCTGTGAGGTAGAGAGAAGCTTTATCAGGCAATACAAGTCCATCTTTGACCTGCATAAAAGCAGAATACAAAAGCTGAGCTCTGTTTGCATAAGAGGAGTAATCTTAAACTATCAATTAGCAGAGAGATCCAGGGACTAGAGCATACAGATAAACTTAAAACTCAACCAAAACCATGAGTTCACATTTGAAGCACTTATTACAGAAAAGAGACAGAACTCACAAGCCATTTATTACGAGCGTAAAGGACTGTGTCCAACATATTTTCATAGAGCAAAAAGTATCCCATCCACTCTGAAATGATTATATCCACTTGTGCAACTGGAAGCTCAATCTCTTCAACCTTTCCCTTCAGAACTGTAATAACTGAACAATAGAGAGGAAAAAAACACAGAAAACAGAATCAGATGGGTAGAAAGTAACAGACAACTAGAAGTTGAAAAAACAAAACATCACCTTCTGAATATCCATTAAGTTTCACAATCTCTTGCGCCATATCAGCCATGCCGGAGCATTCAATCTGAGATATCAGGGTTCAAAGGCAGTTACAATAGAGAACCTAAACATATTACTGACGCCAATGTAAAAAATCCAACTACCAGTAGCAACACAAACACGTCACCCCCTCCTCTCCCAAACAATGAATTTCAAACCTTAAAAGTGAACATTTAACAGGTTAAAACCTTAAGAAATCACAAGAAGCACAAACTAAGGAGGCAACATAGGCTGCCCTGTTTTGTACCTTCTAAACTTATCCAATAACCGCTTACTGTCATCTCAAGTTTTGCAAATTCGAAAAAACTAACATAGAGTTGGTTTGTTTGAGAGTGAGAGAGAGAGAGAGAGAACATACAGCGTAAACATGTTTTGCCCCAACTTTTGCACAAAACAGGGAAAGGATTCCAGTCCCAGCACCCACATCAAGTACAACTTTATCCTTGAAAAGAAAGCTATTCTTGTAGATGACATTTTGGTAAGTCTTAGTTCTTACCACATCCTTCAACATTTCCTGCAATAGCAAAAACTCGTATGCTTGAGAAGAGTTAATAAACCCAAAAGGCACATTGAAGCCGAAAATTGGCTGAAGTAAGATAAAAAATTTTGCTTTCAACTCACTTCTGTAAAGAGAATATGGCTTAAGTCACATAATAAATTTTGGTTTCACCACACTTTTGTAAAGAGAATATGAATTAACCCAAAACTGAGATAGCTGAAAGATGGTTAACACGAAAAAGATTTGAAAGTAAAGCATTTCTGGTGCAGTATAGGAAGAATGGATATACATCCAAAGCAGGCAAAGCTAGAACAGTGGGATGTTCTGATTCTGATACATATGGCACTCTCAAATGACAAAAAACAAAACATAGCCTAATACTTTGAGTAAAAGATGGTCCCTTTGATATGACCTCTGAAACAAAATTTAAGCCCAAAAAAAAAGTACAATATGCACTCTGCATAAATCAACTCAAGCTGTTGCAGGGGGAAGGCCAGCTACAGAGGGCAAAGCTAAAAACTTTATCTCCATCAAAAAACACGTACCTCGTGAATCCCTGCAAAAAAAAAAAAAAAAAGAGGCAAAACACCAAGTAATTAGCTCTTGCAAAGAATGCGTAAAAGAATCAGACGTGAGAACTCACAAAGTTTAAAACTTTCAAAAGCGCCAGTAATCAGCTGAAGCATAAGAAAGATTGCAACTTCATATTTAAAATAAACCAAATTAAAAGAAAAAAATTCATTAAACCAGAGGCAGCTGCATAAACTAAGCTCCAAAACCAACTTGGGCAAATTTTTCAAATTAAGAAAATTTGAAAAAAAAAATAAAATAAAGAGGGAAGGAGGGTTGAGTACCAAAGTGAGAGTAGGAATCGAAGTAGTAATCGGCGCTAGTTTTGTCGGCGCCAATAACAGAAGCGTCATCCGGGTCGGGATCGCACATGGTAAGATCTTCTTCGAGGTTGGAACTCTCGGTGGCCGCCTCTTCGATGGTTTCATCTGGGTCTTGGAATCTTGATTCCTCCTCCCCCTCGTCGTCATCGTATTCAAATCTTATCTTTTGCGGCATTTTGCCGGAGGGATTATTCTGATACTCATGCTCCATTGTTGACGACTTTCTATTCCTCCTCTCTCACAGAGAAAGGGTTTTAGGGGGAGCAGAATACAATTGAATGGGTGGCTATTGTTAGGGTTTTAGACCACGCACACGGTTAGATTTGAATTTATTTATGGGAAAACCTCAGATTTGGTCCCTAATGTTTTGGGGTAGTTCAGGTGAGTCCCTTTTTATTTGTTTTCTAACAAAATAAGTCACCAAAAATGTTTGTTTGGTCAATTTTAGTTTTTTAACAGAAATTTTGAGAATTTAACCGAAGAGGTCTCCATTCCGTCAATTGTGTAATATTTAAGTAATTTTTGTGATTGATGCGGGCCCTACAACTTTTATTTAGATTTTAATTGTTAAAAAATAAAAAACAAAAAACACAACTAATAAAAAAGTCCCCACCTTCCTCTTCCTCTCACCCCGCTGCCGCCACCCCCGAAACCACCACCCTTCCATCAGTTCATCGCCACGAACAGAAATCCGTAAATCCTCCATAAATCTTCAAAGTATTCAAAGAAACCACTTCTCTGGACCCTTTTCTGAGATCAGGAATAATGGAGCTGGTGACTAGCTTAATGGAGCTTCCAAAAAGCCACTGCAGATCAACTTTTTGTGCGGACAATTCGTAAATGGAAAGTGTCTGCATGTACTTGGTAACTATTTATTTCGAACAATCAGAGATTGAGGAAGGCTTTTTGCTCTTAAATCTGGTAGGAGATGGCCAAAAGCAACAGTCAATCGGGTAGAGAAGATGAACCCCGACCCATTTTTTTAGACTTGGTTAGATACTAACTGAAATCACAATCCCCGTTCTTGAAAGGTGAGCTCAGAGTTAAGTTTGGAATTGTTCCGCTTTGGACATCACTGGATAACTTGGCGATTCAGATTTGGAGTTCTTGAATTTGGTGGGGTTTGGGGATAATTTTGGGGCCGCGTGTGGCGCGTTCCCTTCGTTTTGGACTTTTCACATTTGTTACAGCCCTTCTTGTTGTTTGAATTTTGAAAATGCCTTGCGATACTGAGTAATCCATGAATCAATAGTTACTTATCTATATAGCGCACTTTTTCTTGGCTCTTCAATCAATTCTACATTGCAAGTTGAATTAAATCACGAGAAGAGAAGGACAGATTCAATCGGACGGCTGGACCTCAAAAATTGCACCTTTACCAATCAAAACTACCATATATAGAAAAAAATTTAGAAGAAAGAATAAAGAATCAATCGATTGTGAAGATTTCCACCTAACTCATTTAACCACCTATTCGAAGGGATTATTGAGCTTTTACAAAGGAGTAAGGTGGAGGCGATGAACTGATGGAAGGGTGGTGGTTTCGGAGATGGCGGCGGCGGGGTGAGAGGAAGAGGAAGGTGGAGGCTTTTTGTTCAGTTGTTCAATTTTTTGGTTTTTTTTTTTTAACAATTAAATCTAAATTAAAGTTGTGGGGGTCGCATCAATCAAAAAATTAATTAAATATCACACAATTGACAGAATGAATACCACTTCCGTTAAATTCTCAAAAATTTCTGTTAGAAAAACTAAAATTGACCAAACAAACATTTTTGGTGACTAATTTTATTAGAAAAAAATTAAAGGGGACTCACCTGAACTATCCCCAAACATTAGGGATTAGAGCTGAAGTTTTCCCTTTATTTATAGTACAACGTTTGTTCAAACTGTACTTTTGAGTTTTGACTATACGTAGTAAAATATGTTTTTTTTTTAATCTTTATTTTTATTTTTTTTAAAAAAGAAAGACTATGGTATATACTAGTAGCATTTTTCTTCTTTGATTTATTATTTTCGGATAAATTATGTAACCACCCTCAACTTTCTTTGATCCTCATCATCATCATCTTATAAAATCACCAGAATTACCAATTGAGTCTCTTTTTCTGGCACAATTTTTTGTTCATCTTTTCACTGAGAATTCCAATATGGGTTTACCAAAAAATAAAAAATAAAATAAATTCCAATATGGTGTAGTCCAAGCCTTAAAGGCAATTGACAAAAATTGTTCTCGATTTGACTGGCACAATGTTTGTTCATCGTTTTTCAGTTTTTCACTAAAGAATCCAATATGGTGTAGTCCAACACTTGAAGCTAATTGACAAAATTTGTTCTCTATATCTTCCTCTCAATTCTGTACGTTCATTTTTTGCTTGTGATTTTTTCTCAAGTCTCTACCTTGATGTTTGCTTGTGATTTCTTTTGTAACAACCAAACTGGTATAATAAATCTAGTGTTGTGGTTTTCGGCTTTGGTAAATTTACCAACGGATTGCATCATTGGGAAGGGGAGAGTAGGGGTGTATTCGAGTCGAGTCGAGCCGAGTAGTCGTGTACTCGAACTCGAACTCGGTCTCGAACAGTACTACTCGAACTCGACGAGTTTATGATATAGCTACTCGAATTCGGCTCGATCGAGTTCGAGCCGAGTTCGAATCGGGTTTCGAGTATTAGAAAAAAAATAATTTTTAAATAAAAATTAATTTATAATTAAAAAACTGATTAAAATTTAAATCATATTTTATATAATACACAATTATAAATTCAAATTAGCATATATTTAAATAAAATATAATTATTTTATATATAATGACTAATTATATACATAATTATATACAATTATATATTATATTAACATATTTTAATATATAATTAAAAATATTAATTAATATTTTATTAATCGAGCTATTCGTCAAGTACTCCGAGTATCGAATTCAATACTCGAGCTCGACTCGATAACCGAATATTACTCGAACTCGACTCGAATTCGGGCAAACTCGAATCAAGCTCGAGCCGTTGACCGAGCTACTCGCGAGTACTCGAACTCGGCTCGGTTCATTTAACACCCTTAGGGGGAGAATAGAGTCACAAAAGGACCCATAACCAAGGGCAGAGTTACATATATGCGAGCTGGGGCAAAAATTTCACAATTGCCCTTTAAATATCATTTCATCTACTAAGCTTTCAAAACATTGCCCCAATAATAATTTGAAGAATGGGGACAAAGAGTAAAATCATATTAACATTGTGCTTTAACAGTATAAACTAATTTTTGCCCCACCTACTGCAAAGGGCTTGGCTCCGCCCCTGCTCATAACCTCAAATTTATGGGACAATAACATTATCCAAATTCCAAACTCTTCAAACTCTATGGCTCAGTTGAGTGCTAGTTTTGCAGCTAAAGAGAGTCACTGTTCCAAATTCATTCAAAAATGGTTGCACAAATCAAAGATTCCATGGAGTTGTCTAGTTGCACTTTCCTTTACACTTCACTCTTGCTTTGTGAATTTTATTTGTGGTCATTGCAGTGAATGATGAAAACTTAACTAGTTAAATCTTGGAAAATGGACAACTGTAAGTTGTAACAACAGTCCTGTTCCAAAACTAAAATTTAACTCCAAGCTTGCAGAAAGTGAGAAACTGGTGACATAACATCGTCCCTAAAAAGTTTAGGAATGGACTTTTCTGGTAATTTTACAAAAACCGCACCATCCCTGAAGATCAAACTAAGTTTAACAGTCATAAAGAGCCCATTGACATGCGAAACAGCCAGGATCTCTCATGAACAGATTACATTATTCAAGTTATGCACTAGTTTCCAGCCCAACACACTTCAATGAACTAGCTCTCCATTGTTGTCAGAAGTTGTTCTTTTGATAGGCCAAGGTGCCCCTCCCATGACAGCCTCGATATCTTTAATCTCTCGTGGAACCTTGGTCAAGTTCACGCAACCACTTGAAGTAACATACTGCGATCGGAAATACAAAAGCACAGAACGTTAAATTTTTTGGCCCAGCAGAATAATGTGTGGGGCAGTGTGCTTTCTTGACAAGAACTCAAAAGTATCTTGAATAAAACAGAATTAAGAAACTAAGCAAGTTGTTTATCCTGAATTGCTGAGTTTCCATACGAAATGAATGAAAAGAGCCACATGTGATCAATAACTGAAATATACTGGGATCAAAGAAGATTATGACTATATTCAGTAATGGACCAGAGTCTCCCTGTTCCTTGAAATAATGAAAATGGAGGAAGAATGATATGGTAATATGAGTCCAGGGTTGTTAATTATTTTTCCCAGAAGAGCACATAACTTGGCAAACAAATTAATCCAACACATCATGTTGATATAACTTAATCAGTTTCTAGCATTCGTAATATGCTTGCTAGAAGAAAACATATGTTCAATTGAAACAAGCAGCAAAATTTGAGTTCAAAATTTCAACTGCTAAAGGAGGGTCAATAACAGTACCACGTCACTTTCAATCCGGACACCGCCGAAGCCTCTAAATCTCCTAATCTGCTCATGATTGAAAAAGCTTGATGTAGCCGAGTTTTCCATGGCTGGAACTAACACAGCGTCAATGAAATAGCATCCAGGCTCAACAGTTATAACCTGCAATAAAATTCCCAAACTCTCAGATTTCCAGCTATATCTGACATATTTATGCAAAAACAAGAACTGGTTATAAACAAAAAGAAAACTCCAATCTAGAAGGAACAACTTTATTAAACCTGCAATACGAAAATTTTCAGATCTATACTTAGACGATAAATGTCAACAAACTACTTTTTCCACACATTCGTACATTTGAGAATCACTAAGTGGTCTCTGAGTTAACTAAGAATAGGTATATTTCCCACAACCCCTAACCATCGTTATCAACGAAATAGCTCCAGAAATTAGTTGTCATTATTATCCGCGGTCAACATTGCAAATTTAAATTTCCCAGAAGGTTAATGTGTAGGATACATTTTTGAGATTATCTAGAACTAGTATGCGCACAACGATAAGTGAAAAAAAAAGATAAGAAATCAAGAACTAGTTCATACAACAAATAAAAAACAAAATGAAGAGCCAAAAGTTAACTCTATCCCATAAAGAGTAAAATAAAATTAACGGAAAAAAAATCAAACTAACCATTCCCTCCAAGAGTTCTCTGCTAGTCCGCAGAGACCTTAATCCTGCTTCTTTAGGTCTCTCAGCTCCCTATAATCACATTGAACAGACATCAATCAAGGAGCGAAAACAATTAAAGGGGAACAGAACTGTAAGAGTATGAACACAGGTACCTTTAGATAACCCCCGGGATCATGAGTATCAATTCCTAGGAGGTGCCCAAGGCCATGAGGCATGAAAACTGCACCTAATCTCTTGGAAACCATGGCATCAACATCACTGAAGCAAAATGTAAAAAGATATAACTAAATATACCACCAAATCTTAGTACCAAATGAAAGTCCAAATCTCAATTGCAAAGTAGGATGAGTACCCAAGAAGAAGTCCCCCTTTCTTTAATGACTCTAAGACAATTCTCTCTGCCAATCTGGTTGCAAGGAGATATCAGAGTGACAAGAATAAGCACTTGAAGATGAACACCGAGGGTCTAATTGAAGATAATAAAGCTGGTGACCATTGATTTAACATAGATGCTATTTACGTATTGAAAATTTAAATTCTCTCCACACAGTAACACAACAAAACTTCTAGAGTAAGACAGTCAAACATCTCCTGACCTGGATATTACTGAAATCTTGATCTTAAAACAAAGTTCACTAGAAATCTTGAATCCATCTACAACTGACAAATTTTAATTCTTCCGGTCTTCAAATGCAATTGCATATACCAGTTGAAAAGGAAAAAGCATTTCTTCAATTTTATTGTTCATTCAAGACCAGCATTATTTTAGCATCATTTTTTTAGACCAGCGAGTTGTTTTCCTACGATTAGACCAGTCCATCATCAGAAAAATAATTTCCTGCCAATCTCACATAAGTTTAACTGTTTAAACAATGATCTCATTCACATCTGCCTCCTTTTACTTTCATTTAAAGAGACAATAAACAACTCGATATAACATGCTAAAGCTAAGTTGTTGTCCGTGTTCATATCGGGTAAAGAATCTTACATGTGCATATCAACCCAGCAAACTCCAGGTTTCATCTCAGAGATAACAGCATTATGGGCATCAAGAACAGCCTGCAGAATGGCGAAACAAATGGAAAAGTAGATAATTCTTTAGAAGAATGAGTCCCATGGTAGTGCACTTATATAAAAGAACATCCGAACAGCTTGAAAATATCAGCCGTCACTAGCCATATCATGTTTGTTTACTGCAGATTACCATTTTGGACAATATTTAATTGTGCTGACAATAAACACAAAAGAAGTCACCAGCGAGACAATCTCAAAAGTCCTTAACAAAACAACTGTCTGAAAATGAAAAACTCACATTATATACAAGTGCTTGATCATGAGTAAATTTCCCATTCACCTGCAAACACAAATATTACTATCAGAGAAACCCAACATTTGGTTTAGAAATGGGACTACTAGGGAAAGAGAGAAAGTAAGAAAAGAGGAAATATAAAATGGTATATATATATTTGCTAATACCACCAGCCATTTTACAGGAAAGCTTAGCACAGCATGAGAGAAAACTATATTGTGGTCACTGAGAGGGGCCGTAGGAGGGGGGAATAAACCATTTGGTAATGCAGCATAAAATTTGACTTTCTGTTTGAACTAGGCTACAAAAACAATAAAGTTCTACTGTCTACAGACAAGTAGTATCATCCACACATATTGATGTTCACAAAATCCATAGAACAGGCACACGTTCACTCAATAAGATCATGTCAGGATGTAGGTAGAAGGGTAGCAAACAGATCTTACGAATCTAACAATCAGTAAGTTAACAGGACCTGTGCAGTTACATATACATCAGCACATGTATTAAATGCTATGAGACATGACAAAGCATCAAATGCAAAGTTGAAACCACCATACAGTGTGCTGGTCCATTCAGTAAATTGAAGAATAAACTTACAGGGAAGGAGCAAGTAATGTCAGAACCATAAAAATGGTATTCAGCACCCATATCAAACAGTGACATATCTCCATCTTCCAACGTCTGAGAAGGAAAATAGATAACTGATTACACAAAGAATCTTTGTAATCTAAAGTACTCTAAAGCTACAAAGGAAAGTTCTACGACATAATCAAATCAAAGTAATCGGCGTAACCTACCCTGTCATTTGGTGCTGCAGCATGACCATAATGGAGAACAGCGCTGAACAACAGAAACAAACTTAAAATGATAGTTTTGAGCGAGTTAAGTATCTATTTTACTTTTGCAGAACATATAGAAGAATTGTCTTTCCCAATATCAAAGGAAATGGCCCATAAAATGACATTTACTGAAAGAAAGAGAAGAATGTCAACATGGAACCAAAGTAGCAGCCTTTGCAATATGCTAAAAATAAACGATGACCCTAAGTTGAATTGAAAATTCAACTACAAAGAATGTGTAGAAGGGAAGAACTAGAAACTAACAAACCTGTTTTCACCAGTGGCACAAATACATGTATATGAACAATGTCTACATCCACCAAACATGTAGGTATGATGAAGAAACATGCTTTCAAGCTGATACTCTTTAATACCCACTCTAGCATTTTTCATTACCTGAATGGAAGATAATTTCATAAGAAAACCGCCATCTACTAGTTTACACACGCAAAGGTAAAATAACTAAGTCTTTAAACAGTAACTTCAGAAAAAAAAGTTGCAAATTGCACTTAGTCTCTTGACTCTCTTCAGGTCTGAATATACTTTAACAAAAGGAAATGTGTCAGAAACAGTTGAAACGTCTCAACCTAATCAATAGATGCAATATCAAGGCTCCTCCGGAAGGCACGCGGGCTAGGATTGAAAGACATGTGACAGCCTTTTACAGGAACTGTTATGTGAAGGCGAAAGTTCTTTGACATTGAAAACACACTTCAGTTATTGCTCAAGCTACAGATTATGCTTCATATACTGTAGTAGGATCATCAGAAGTTACAAGGCTAATAATGGTGAGACTAGGGTTTAAACAATCAATGTTTTGTTGCTGTAAGTAGGAAAACATGATTTTTGATAAAATATTTTCTTTTTATAGGTAGCATTTTCCAGAGTTTGAAAGAAAGAATCATAGTTAAGCCCACGACATCAAGACTTCTCCAGTTCACCAATGAAGCCACTTTCCATAATACCAACAATTTCTATTCTCCGTAACATATTTCTCACGATTACATGCCAGTCCAGGAGTCAGTAAGGGGAATGATTATAGGCCATATATGCACCTTCATCAATAATATCGTAATATCTAAGTAGACAACCTTTAAGAAAATCTAAAGAGCACCAACCTGCACATGTGCTTCTGAGCTAATATCATTGGCAAACTGTATAAGAGCAAGTTCGAGCTTTGATTTTAAGACACGGCATTCAGTCAAAATCGGATGTAAGGTGTCCATATCGACCTCAAACTTCTCAATTCCCTGCCAAGATATACCGAATAGATTTTTCATTCAAGTTCAAATACTTCCACCAACATCTAAAGGAAATCTCATACATCCTTGTACTATGAAAACTCTGCTAACAAGACAAAAAAATACATAAATAAAAAAAAAAATTGTTGTTCTCCTTTACTATATAAACTGAAATTTCAAAAATGAAAAATAAAAAAATCCCAATAAAAAAAGGTGGAGGTTGTTGTCAGGATTTGAGAAGCCGAATTGCCCTATCTCACAATTCACATAAATCAATAATCACTATGCGCCACTTTTATGCGGATCATTATCGTCAACAGCACTTCTAGTTTACAACATTGAGGAAAAATGAAACAAGTATTTGTAAAAGCAATCTTTTAGTATTAAATCAAGGTTTTTTTTTTTTCTCTTTTCAGACGCGAAATCAAATACACGAATGAAAGAACGAATGTTTTGCCAAATATTCTTTTTTTTTTTCTACTAAGAATTATTACTGGTGTCAATTGATTTGAGCTAAAGTTAGAACAGAAGAACCAATTTTATCCCAGAAAGTAGAGTTACCATGCAAGTAGGATGTTTTTTCCATATGAAATAAAGAAGCCCAAGCCCAGTGACACATATATTCAAGAATACTGTTCAGTGATTGCCCTTGAGTTCAGGTGACACATATATTCAAGAATACTGTTCAGTGATTAAAATTCCTTCTGCTTGATATTAAACAAACCTCAAACTCTGCCGGCTTGGAGAAGTTATTGCTGTCAGTGTTGAGCCCACGCAACAGATACAACAATGGTTTTCCATGTCCTTTGTACAGATCATGCAACACTTTTGTAATCTCATCAGTATAGTACACGGTGCTAACCATGTATCTTTCCTGCAAAAATAAAGAATGAACTTCAATTGCATCATACCACTGGAATTCAGTGGTATTTAAGTTCACGCGACTGTTTATGCAATCACCTTGAAGTAGGACAAAGGCTTTATTTCTCCCAACCAAACAGCATATTCAGAAGGCAATCTCGGAGCAAATAGAATGGAATTCCCACTAGCCACATCCTATAGAGATCAGCAAAAAACGCACAATTTAAACAGAGGAAAGAAAAAACAAATTCATCCGGATATAAGAATGCATTTGAACGAAATTAATTTGAACCATCATGGTAACCAAAAACAGTACCATTACATCCTCCTCACAACAAAAGGGGAGGAAAGAAAATTCAAACTTACAATAGCTCCATAGAAGCCAGGTTCTCGAACTCCAAACAAGTAAGCAAAATAACTCTCCTGTCTAGAAATTAGAAATGAAACATTCGCTCAATCCAAAGTCATACAACAAAGAGTGTAAATCATTTTGAAACGAACATTGCAGATTATCATTGATCACGCACCTAAACAGTTCGGTGTGATCAGTACAGTATCGAGTTTTTTCCTCACCGCCCTAACCATCACAAATTTCAATTCGAATTTAACAAAAACTTATACTTAATCGAAAGAAAGTCTAAAAACATTAGGGTATCAACAATTTGTAATTAGAGAGGGGGAACAAACAGAATTATACACAGTACACGTACCTGGAGAAGAACGAAACTATGGTGAGGACGCGATGACGCAGAGAGGTGATCACGTAAAGATTTCAGCAGCTTGTCTCTGTTGAGACGATGTAGTTCCATCGGCACCTCCGGTGGAGAGAGCGAGGAAGCCATTGTTATCGGCTTCCGTTAGAAATGAAAATCGGTTTCAATCGCCGGATGTTATTGATTCCGGAGCCGGTGTGAATCGGGCTTTTTAACGCTTAGCAGCTTAGACCTTCTAATAATAAATGTGGGCCTCCAGAAACAAAACTGCTAGGCTTTTCATTTCGGCCCAAAAGTTTTTCAACTTGATTAGAAAAGTACATCAAAAGTCCAGCGATGGACATCTCTGTTGCAACTATTGTTGTGTTGAAACCCGTATGGACAAAATTTGTTGAAGGTGAAAAGGTGATGTGGTGATGGCGTGATGCCCGTCAGGGCCAAAATTAAAACAGAAAAGTACATCAAGAGTTTCACTCACCGGAGTCAGGAGGCGGTGGTGTATTCCTTGAATTAAGAGTATCTTGTTCTTAACCGGCAAATTTCGATAGGGGACGCCTCAATAATAACTGTGACTGATGCGTTAGCAAAATTTGGTCTTTCTTTGTCATATGGGCGACTCCCCCATCTATGATCACAGAGAATTTTAGGGATATTTTGTAATCAAGCACTCAACCCTCCTTTCAACAGATAGGAAAAGGGGAGTATCATGTTCTTTAATCATAATTTTAAGTTTGTTACTTTCAAAGAAGAAGGTCATAGAGAGTGTTGAGGCAGAAAAAAAGAAAAAAAAAAATACTATGGTTTATTTGGTTTCATTTAATTGCATAGCTTCTAAAGTTTTGTATAACATATTTTTTTAAAAAAAGAAATTTGCTCCGAATAACTCGAATTATGATGCATCTTCTTGCTAATGCGGATGGACCGATTTTGTATCAGTGAGAAATATGAGGATAAAGGCTATGATAGAAACTCTTTCCACAAGCTAACTTACAAACCTTTGACGACAGCATTTCTTGCTAGCTTCATAATTATATATAATCATTTTGAGATATGTGGAGAAAAATAAAATTGACCTTTTTTTCACGAAAAAATAAAACATTTATTCTGTCAAAAAAATCGCTGGGCAGGCCGCATGCAGGTGATGGCAGCAGCAGGGTTTGTTGTAAATCATTCACTTGTCGCTGAAAATGTGGGAGATCATTTGAATTTTGAAGGCCTGATTCATCTTCCAAGCTGATGATGCAATTGTTAGTATTTTCTTTTTGTGAATTCGACAAGGACGATGTTTCAATCGAAAACCCTTACAAACTCCGATTATTGTTTCTTCATCGAATCATCCAGTCTCCATCCGAAATCTGATTGGATATCTCGATTCAATTTTATGGGTTCCAAACTAATTAATCTCATTAATCACATTCTCTACTAGACCGATTCATCTTGTGAGTTTATTTCATATATCAAAATTTCAATTTTAGGTTAGCTACGACCATATATCTGAACCTTGAACTTGATTTTACAACATTAATGAGCAAGTCAAACTCTCTGTTAAAGACGATCAATTCCAACCCAAACATTAATAGCCAGCTGAGGAGAACAAATGAAATAAAATATGGGATTACAACATATTAGTGGTATAATCTTGGTAAATGTTGGAAATTAACAACCAAGAATAAATATAATTGTGACACATTTGTAATGTTTTGAAGGGAAGAGAGAAGAAAATCAAGACAGAGAGAAGGAAATGTTAAAATCCCAAATGGCGCGGAAAACCATAGAAATTAAAGTCTTATTAGAATCCTATTTTCAGGCCACACATCAAACAGTGTAAAGCTGGCAAAGGTTTTACCAAAGGTTATAATTCTTTGCTGAGGTTTTTTTTTTTTTTTTTCCTTCTTTTTGCCTTTCCTTAACAGTTTTTTCCACCAAGATTTCATGCCCATGTCTTCTTCTTATGCCTTTCTCTTATAAAGAATCCAGAATGTTGCCTGGAAGACAACTGATCATTTTTTAGTTGTCTGTACCTCAGGCAGCCGGAGAAGGCCGGGCAAGCAATCTTGGTGGCGGCGGTGGTGGTGCCCTTAAGAAACAAAAACAAAAATAAAATCATAATTCATCATCATCGTCGTCATCATCAACCATCATGCCGAACAAGAACTTTTTGGGTAATCCGACGACTTTTAGCCTGGATGGAGTTATTCATGACAGGCCAGGGCAATCTCATACCTGTTACCTTACGAATGCGACTTTGGACCATGGAATGTGGACGGATATTAATCCATTGAGCAGGAAACTCCCTATGTTCGTCATTCAACTTATTATTGTCATGACCATAACTCGACTCCTCCTCCTCCTCGCGAAACCTCTTCGTCAACCTCCTTTTGTAGCAGAGTATTTGGTAAGTTTTTTGGTTTCATTTTCCCCGTCTCCTGTTAATACCATTTTCTTTTTTCGCATTGTCCATTTCTGCGGGGAATTGGGTTTTTGCCTTTTTGATGACAGGGGAAGGAAATGTCATCAGAATTTGGTAACTTTAATCAGGAAATGTCATCTGTATTGTAAATGTCCATACTCCATTTACTCATGGCTTGATAAAAAAAAAATTTTCCTCCCTCGAATTGTTGAAAAATCTAGCTAAAGAAGGACCTAGATTCTTGTCATCAGAATGCATAATGGTAGAACTCACCAGTCACCAGCATATAGATTGAAAATGTTCTGTTACGAATAAATGCAAATGATGGTTTATCTGACAACAGTGTTTTTCAATCTGCAATTTTGCAGGCTGGTCTAGCGATCGGGCCATCATTGTTGTACATTTTGCCCGGGTTTCTTGCTGGCCCTCTAAGGAAATTCATCCTCAACACAGTCTTTGCCGTCCCTCGGGTTATGATGATGGAGACAGTTGCAAATTTAGGGCTCAACTATCACCTGTTCTTCCTTGGATTAGAGATGGACTTAACTGCGCTAACACGAGTTGGAAACAAAGCTTTAAGCATTGGCGTATCGGGATCTTTGTTCTCCTTCGTGGTTGGTGCTGCATTCTACTATTTTGGTTTCAATCGGTACAAAGAAAACTTCGCTTTGGGTTGCCTTTTCTGGGGTTCCGTCCTGTCAGTCACAGGCCTACAAACAGTTGGCGATTTGCTCGTGAAGTACAAACTCCTCCATTCCGAATTTGGGAGAGTCAGTTTGTCTTCAGCATTGGTTAACGGAGTTGTTTCTTGGATACTTCTCCTGATTTGCGCCTCAATGACGAGTAGCGGTCAGATGTTCTTCCTGTCGTTGTGGATGGGACTTGTGTTAGCCGGTTTTTTCTTCTACGCGGTCAGGCCAGCAATCTTATGGGCGATCAGACAAACTCAAGAAGGCGAAGAGTTCAGCGAATCCACCGTCTGTGTTACGCTGACCATGGTTTTGTTCTGTGGCTTGTTGACTGATATATGTGGCCTCAGTTCCTTGTATGGTGCATTTGTGTTTGGGCTGATCATACCAAAGGAGGTTCTAGGGCAGAGATTTCTTATGGTGCTTCAAGGTTTTGTCTCAGATTTGTTATTACCTTTGTACTATGCTAGTGTAGGGATGAGAGCTCATCTGGATAGTTCAGTGCTTCCTAAATCAGGGGATTGGTTGGTGGTTCTTCAAGTCATCTTTCTAGCTTTTCTGCCCAAACTCACCACAACTTTGGCTGTTTCTTATGTCTACAAAATCCCTTTTAGAGAAGGAATAGCCATTGGAGTCCTCATGAATGCCAAAGGCCTTGTTGCTCCCATCGCCTTAACTTGGGGGCGCGACCATTTGGTAATTTTTAAAGATTTCTCTCTCTCTCTCTCTCTCTCTCTCTCTCTCTCTCTCTCTCTCTCTCTCTCTCTCTCTCTCTCTCTCTCTCTCTCTCTATATATATATATATATATATATATATATATACTCCTTCTGTCCCCAAAATTATTGTCCAGTTTGGATTTTCACATACAATAATTTTTGGAACGGAGGGAGTGCCTAATCAGCGTCAAAATGAAACATTTGAGATTTTCATGATTTTGATATTGGGAATCTGTTTCATGCAGGCACTGGATGAGCATGGATATGCTATGATGATATTGCCAATAGCAATAATGACAATGGTAGCATCACCAATCTTGGGGTATCTTTACAAACCAAAACGACATTTCTCACCAAGCAAACATAGGGCACTTCAGAAACTCAAACCCGATGCCGAGCTTCGAATTCTCGCTTGCATCCACGAACTCCAAAGTGTTCCTGGCATCACGGCCCTGATCGAAGTTGCCAATGCGACGAGAAGATCGCCGATTTGTTTATTCGCGCTCCAACTGATCCGCCTCGCGAAACACACGACGGCGCTGCTGATCGAACACGGCCCCTGCGGTGGCACCAGCGGCTATCAGAACAACCGAAGAATCGACGGGCAAACTGACCAAATGATTGCCGCCTTCGAAATTCTGGAGCAAGAAAACAACTTCATTTCGGCTCAGCCGCTCACCGCCATGTCGGATTACGCGACGATGCACGAAGATGTTTGCACGATCGGGGAGGAGAAACGGGTCAGCCTCATCGTCTTACCGTTTCACAAGCGTCAAACGGTTCATAACCGAATGGAAGATGTCAACCCGGCTCACAAAGAAATAAACGAGAACATACTAACAAATGCGCCTTGTTCAGTCGGGATCCTCGTGGATCGCGGGTTCGGGTTGTATTCGAAGAGAGAATCCGAAGCTGAGACTGACACATTAATCCGAGTCTGTATGCTATACATTGGCGGACGCGACGACAGAGAAGCACTCACCTTCGCTTCGCGAACCATCGCGAATCCAAAGGTGTTGTTAACCGTGATTCGGTTCACCCGTGGTGGCAAAAATGTAGAGGAAAACGGCAAGAATAATAATAATAACAATCAAGTCAATGCAGTAAAACTAGACATCGAAACCGAACAACAACAGGATGAGGAATTCATTCATGAGTTCAGGCAGAGAAACATGGACAGAGAAAACTTGAGATACTTGGAGAAAGAGTCGCAAAACGGGGCGGAAACCGTCACGATAATGAAATCGGTGGCGGAAAGCTTTGATGTGTTTATAGTAGGGAGAGGGTTGGGGATGACGTCACCCTTAACCGCAGGGTTAGAAGATTGGAGTGAGTACCCAGAATTGGGAGCCATTGGGGATCTTCTGATATCATCAGATTTTCCTTCAACAACATCTGTGTTTGTAGTGCAACAGTATCTTGGGACGACTTCTGATCATAAAAAGGATGATCAGGATGCATCAGTCAAAGGAAATACTGTTGTTGCTAATAATAATAATGTAAAGGCAGACAAAGAGTTGGATGAGATCAATCCTTGATAAATATGGTTGAATTTACCATGATTTTTTTTTTTTTTTGGTTCAAATTTTCTGTTTGCAGATTTGCAAGAAAGTGAAATGTTGAACATGTGGCATTATAAGTTGTGTTTCCAATACAAAATTAAGTGCGTACACAGTTTTAATTTAGGCCTCAAGATCGCACTTACTACGTTTATGTCAAAAAAAAAATTTCGTGGGTGTTGCATTTTTATAGGAAACAATAAGTTGCAGAAGCTCTTACAATCTTGAACAAACATACATATGTATAACCCAAACTATATTGGGAGGGAATACTTTTTTTTTTTTTTCGGTTTTTGTTTCTAACTTGATGAACCATAATTGTAAGTAAAACGTGTCCTCAATTAACATTTGGTTTTTCAAAATATATTTCAATATATATATATATATATATATTGTAAGTAAATCTGTACATTTGTAGGAAGAGATTATTAAGTTTATTTGTGGCAATTTTGGGAAGAAAAAAAAATCAATGTACTATTTTTCGAGGCCATACAGAAGGTAAAAGTTATGAGCCAAATATAAGGTTAATTTACGATTTTTGTCTTCAAGTTTTGCTGAAGATTTTGTGGAAAATTTTGTCCGGCAAATGAGAAATAGTATATGGTTTCACACTTTTTCACTTACATTCACACCTGTTTTTTTCATTTAGTTTAAATTTGCAGCTTCAAAATAAAATGGGAAAGAGTACGACATCGTACACGGTGGAAGCAAGAGAATGATTGCATAAAAAATAAGCCAAAAGAAAAAAATAATCAAAAATGAAAATCATCATGGCTTAGGAGATCTTTACAAGATTGCATGGGAAAAGCATCAAAACTCAATCAAATAAAAGCATGAGTTTGGAATAAACTACCAATAATTAGTACAAACAACTATATCTGAATAAACAAATAAGTTTGACGAGTTCCAATGCCATTTCTGTCTTTTGTTGTTTCTGAATTTTGTTTTAATTTATTTTTTTTTGGTGCAGTTGAGCATGTTGTTCAATTAAATTTGCTCTGAGTTTGGACTGTAAGTGGTGGATGAGATCATGGTAGTATATGTAGTAGTTGGCATGTGCAGTAGTACATAACCGATGGCCTATTCAACTGGACCGCGTAATGTGTAACAAAATTAATTACCAGGATAGTCGAAATATGTATTCACAATGGAGAACAACAAAATATCCTATTTTCTTTTTATCCTTTTGGTAAAGATCTTTTGTTCTTCTCTTAAGTTTAAACTTATAGTTCAAACTGCCATGTCCTGAAACCCCTGAAAGATTTACTTTTTGTTGCCCATTAGTGTTAGTTATATGCTTTGCCTAAGAAATGTATCTTTGAGGAGCTAAACATGCATCCACACATGTGAAATAAATTGAAGCCTAGTCGATCTTGTTCTTGTTTTAGTTGTAATTTTTTTTCTTGCGTGACTTAAACTTTTAATTTTTGAAATAAACGTATAAGGTATAACTGTAACGGAAAAAGGAAAAAAAATTCAGAGTAAATGAGATAAAAACTTCATGGGACATGATATGTTGCATGCAAACTTCCAACGAGCCATGCGATTTGGTGGTGTCAAATTAAATTGACTTTAACTAAACACTAACTCAAATCTTCAATACGTTGACTTGTTCATTTGGATTTTTTTTGGTCAACTGGGTTGATCGTGCAATAATATAGCTAGGTTGCTTCAATTGGGCTGATCATCCAATCAGGTTACATAGCTTGGTTGCTTAACTGACAATCGAATTCTAAACGAGTCTGAGGAATTGAGTGTCGTAATATTGGTCATGATGGCGTCTTTGACATTGTTTTCTAAAAGGAATTACTTGTTCAATGCATGTTCTGTAATCTACTCGTTTTTTGTCAAGCAGATGACAAAATGAAGAAGATAAGATTTTATAGCTTTCTATTCTTTTTCCCAAGCTTCGATTAACTAACACGAACAAAATTTTATAAACTCCTAACTCACGAAATATATAATACTCTTTTTGTCTCAAAATTATTGTCCACTTTAAATTTTTCTTTTTAGTTCAATTTGTACTAGAACTAAAACTCCAAACTGAACAATAATTATGGGAGGAAGGGAATAACAACATTCCATCATCCAATGTGCAATCCTTGCACACCCTTGCGTTCTTTGTATTGCTAAATCAACTGGAGATTTTAGTCTCACTTATCAATATGTAGACACCCAATAATATCATTTATAAAAAAAAAAAAAAAAAAACAGAGAGAGCATAATATAACTATTTAACACTTGCCTAACTTTTTTTTTTCATCATTGTCTATCTTTCAACTGAAAATCTCATCACCTCAATCTTTAATATATAACATCACTAGCTACGTAAATGCATCTCCGCCACGATTCGAGAAAGTCGCTAAAAAAGGTAACCTTTGGCGTATGCTGAAGTCCACGCTGCAAATTATCAATTACAAATGCGAATACATGTTAAAAAAAAATAATACATTATCTCTTTCACTAAACAAATGCAATTCACAGAGTTTAATGATTAACTTGGGCAGACTTGGTACAAATACAGCGATGATCTGATGTGTGGAAACTTTTGCATCGCATATTAATTCTTTGAAATAATATGGTCGTATCTTAATCAATTTTCCTTTGGTTATTATTATTATTATTTTTTTCTCTTTATGGCTCTCGAACTTCTTTCTTCTTCTATTTTCCCCTTCTTTCAATCATCGAGTATACGAGGGAGCACGTACGTAAACATAGAAGATATATTAGCCCAGAAGCAGCGTGTTTGTACCAAGCTTAGCGTGTTTGACTTGCATCCACACAAGCTTTATACATAAAAAAAAAAAAAAGTTGCTCGTAATAAATATTAATTTTTACGTTTCAATATAATTATCTTGTTTATCAGAATACGACAAATATGAAAATTACTTTAGAGCGGATGAAAGGAAGGAGTACTCGATATTAATATCCAAAGTACTTTCTAAAAAGCAACGAAATGTTTTGCATGATTAAGTCGGTCGAATGATTTATCATCTGTTAAGTGCAACTATTTTAGTCTGTGTAAAATTCACCGTGGCAACTGTTTTCCGCCTTGACTATATAAATTTGAGTCATAAGTCTAATAAAAGACTTTTTATTTGGTCACTTTGCTTGTAATTTGTACAAACATGATTCAAAAAGAAGTCAATACTTCAGTATTCAACATGTTACTTGAAGGTAAAGCTATAGCTTTGTGATCAAGGGTAAGACAAACTTGACCGAGTGAAAGATAATCAGGTGTATGGATCTATGCGGATAGTAGGGGAAAACGGTTTTTTTAAAAAAAAAAAATATTAAACAACTTTAATGTACATTTACACATTCGTGCCTAGTTGGATTTTGAATGTCATATGAATATAATATTAATTAAAAGTCTCACAAATTAACTCAGATGGTTTGTTTGATAATCATTTGAGTAGAGCAAGTGTTGAGGTTTGTATAGAAACGAGTATACATGGCTATAAGGGTTTGTCATGAAAATTAGTTATGATAAGATTAGAAGTGCTGAATTATAAAGGTTATTTCAAGGTTTGCATTTATTTGGAAATTGGGGAATCGCTAATAAGTGATTGCTAAGATTGATAATCTCAACCTTATTCAAATAGTCAAGAATAGAGATTTTATCAACATGCATCAGGGCCTTGTTCGATTGCGAGCTGACGAATAGGAATTGAGTTATCGAACTGAGACATTTTCAAAGATCAAACTTTGTCGCATATTATATATGCCTTCTACTAAGTATTCGGTAGGAACCATTTCAGAAATAAATAAATAAATAAATATTCGATGGGCTCTCAATGAGTTGGCAGTCTAACTTCAGGACAAAACTATGATCGGAGTACGATATTATAAGATTTATTTTTTTAAAAAAAATCAACATTACTGGATCCTATTTAACTGTGGATAAACCCCTCTACATACCCCTTTGTGAGAATTGAACTCAGATCTAATGTCTGGAAGTCTAGCATCCTAACCACTAGATTGTCATTCAATTCTCGATATTATAAGATTTATTTTAAGTCAACGGGATGTTTAAATTTTGATTTCTGTTTATATCCTCCATGTTTGTAAAAAAAAAAAATGTCACAAATAAAATATGGAAGATCTGATAGAGAAAAAAAAAAGTCACCCAACGAAAATTTGGAACATTAAAAATAAAGACTTCTCGTATTTGTGTAAGTTTTATCATATAAACAGAACAAAAAAGGGCTAGCTATCTACCAAATTGTACTATAACATAACTATCCAAGGATTCATTACTTATTGCACGAAAGCTAAGGCTTTGTTTGTTTTCAAGTTTTAGATGGTTTTTTTAAATTATTATATTATTAACTGTCTCATCCCGGCATACTTTTTTACATTTTCAATACACCTTTTTATATTTTCAATACAAAAAATATCTAAAAACACACACTAAAAAAACGAAACAAACATACCCTAAATATCCGTCATATGTTAGCATATCAATGTCAATAAAATTGAAGGTGTGCCCAAAGTGTTAATATTTATACATTTACTAAAACCTCTTGGACTCAGTCTTATGTTCTCTTCTAGTGAATAATAAATAATTGTCTATCTGCAGAATTATTTTGGCTGCATATAGATGCTAAGTAATTAGAACTCTACGTGGATGCGAAGATGTGAAGACACTCCCTAATATTCTTTTGTATTATATACTCCCACCATCTCATTTTAATATTACTTCATTAAATTAAAACAATACAACAAAATTGAATGATAAAAATAGAACTAAGAGACTAGCTAACTAGAGCGAGATTATTTTAAGCCTTAAACTTATAATGCATTCATAGTGGTTCTATTTATAAGATACACATTGAAACTAAATTTAACTTCCAATTATTCGTTACAAATAGGACCAAGAAGAGTACCATCACCATTCTAGAATAATTATTTAGTTTCAATTTTTATTTTTAATAATAAAAATAAAAATACAAACTAAAAAATCATTTCAATAAGGAGAAAGAAAATATTAATGCGGACGTGTACACTTAATTTTTAAAACCTCGATTGGGTTAGGA